AGCAACGTTGTACCATGGTTGCACCATCGGATGGGGAGTGAGAATCAAGGATGCCGATGCATGGGAGCAGGTGAATCAAATAATGAAAGGGGAAAATAAAAACATAAATATTGGGAAATTAGAGCAAACGGATGGTCTGGAAACGGAGAAACAGAAGCAAAGCGATGAGAATTGCAGGAAGTGGGTGCATTAGGGTCACGGCGCTGATGCGGGTAGAGGCGTCTGTTTTCAGAAGGGGCGGTGACAGGGGAGAGGGGAGGGATTCAGAGTGGGGGTGGTCATACGAGGAGTCACGCGTTCTGCCGGAAGCTTGAGCTGATTTTTATATAGATACGTATAGAGCACATTGATGAACATCACACGGCAAACGTGTAAATAAATGCACGAGTAATGGTGCACAACGTCGATTCGTACAGAAGTGCATTGTCTTGAACGTTTCGAATGCCTCGAGGCTGGTGTGCACACGCCTTAGTGCGTTCGCATCTCCTCTCTGCTGGTGTTTAAACAAAAGCCTATCGCTCGTACACTTCGCTGTGAACCGTGGCACCCCAGTTCTTCTCCCAGCCATGGTGGTGAGTCCGGTCCTGGGGAAGCACGAATGTGGATTTCCCACCCACCCACCCATAGTGTAAAAAGGAAAGTCCTCCTCATATATATGTGACTCCACCAGAGGCGTACGGCAGAAGTGAATGACTGTGTAATAGACGACTGTGCTTTGCTGATATAAGGATGGAAACCGATCCGCAGATGTGTCTTTATTTCACTGGCTGCCTGTCGGTTGACCACATTTTCTCCACCTCTCTGAGCCGGTGATCTAAAACGACAACACAGCCACACACGCAGTTCTTTTGAGCTGGTGGTCTGGGTATATGTATGTACGTTGAACTTCTTTGGCGGGGATGCGGGGAGGAAACAAAAAAACTACACACAAAAAGCAGTTCTAAATAAATTAGTTTCCTTTTTATATTGAAAAGTGCATAGCTCCAGTGGCTCCCTAATATAGTAAGAAAGAGCATTCCAGAAGGCCATAGAAGCGTATCTGAAAGCGCGCGATGCGGTGACCGTCTTTGTTCGATGGCCAGCCAAAAGCTGCTGCGAGGATGACCGGGAGTTGGCGTGATGGTTTATGATCCTTGGCGAGATCAGAAAGGTATTGTGGTTCATTTGTGGCGAGCACTTTGTGTGTGTACTGAGTGCCACCTTGGATAAGGCTGACAGCTTTTCGGACATGCAATGCTGTGCAAACGCTCGCGCGCTGTAACATCGACCATGTGTTGCAGCAAGGGATCTGCGGTCGGCAAGAGCACCGGGACATTCACACGGGCACAGAAGGCAACCGGGGAGGGTCAGGGAGACGCAGCTGCTTGCGACGATGGTGAGAAACTCACAGGTTTTTTTTCAGTTTCAGTTTCATTTATTTGGTATAGCACTGTGAACCATTCGGCTCTTGAATCGGGTGCAACCGCAACAAACAAAAACATGGAACACGAAAACATCTTAAAGTGAATTTCGATTTAAAGCTTTCGTGACTGCAGGGATTCATCTTCATGGTTCTTTCGGTAAAGTCACGTAGAAGGGAAATAATAAAATAATAAAAATGAAAACATAATAAAATAATTCTCACGACCCTGTCTTTCCGACAGACCTGTTCTTCACCTGAGGACGGCTGCTTGCAGTTGTGGCCGAAACGTCGTGAGAATTATTTTATTATGTTTTATTTTTATTATTTTATTATTTCCCTTCTACGTGACTTTACCGAAAGAACCAAGAAGATCTTAAAGTGACTATGCGCAAACAGAAAAATCCAGGAAAAAACTGCAAAGTCTTCCAGAAAAAAACATCGTACACCAACGCTGAGCGCCACCTCCACCGCAAACTCCATGCGTTTACAAGAGTCTGTGCTCGTGCGCAGCCATTGCTGTCGACCAATGTGCTGGACAAGGGCCTCCCAACGCCGTGCGGATTGTTTTGAGTTGCTTGACCATACTTCACCGCACTCGTCAGTGCGGGTTGGTGATGGCGAGAGATCATAGACATTGAAGCATAGTACAGTGGAACAATGGGCTTTGCTACATTGGCGTCTGCTGCCAATGTAGCCCCACGGCCGCCTACAAAACCAGTTCAGAATTAGAATCTTTATTCATTCTGGAGGAATCCCATGAGCTATGAAGCTCTTTTTGCACAGATGTCCAGTAGGGACGAGTCAGCAAGCGACAACAAACAATACAAAAAAAAGATAGGATAGTTGTATGCATGGTGGTTGTGGTTGCCCATCCAAGTCCCAAAGCAGGCTCAATCCTGCTTAGCCTTCTGAGATCTGACGAGATCGGGCACATTGTGGGCGGTTTGTTCAAAGACTGCGGGTACCGCCCTCGGCTGTGCCGCTTTGGCAGGGACATCAAACGCAAGCGTTGCTACTCCAGCGCGTGTCGCGGTGATGACAAACTTGAGCCAGCGGTGGACATTCCACATTCTTGTTGCATGGGCCGGCCTATCCATTGAACAGCAGCACTGTTGACTTGCCACAGCATTGTATGGATCATTTTAACTGATTCTGGGGGGATGATGGACGGTGTTGACCTTAACCACAGTTATGTGAACTTGCGACATTCCGACTGTTACAGTCCACTCTTGTACACGTACAAACTGCATAGCCTGTAAGGTGGCCGAGTAGCTGAATGTCAAGAGCGTTGTGACAGCACTGCTGGGTCCTGGGTTGAAATGCAGTTTTTTAGATGCCCGTGATTAAACCGGGTTCTCAAGTGTCATGAGTTATCAATGACTGCACCGACATAATTAAGTAATCTTTAAGACGTAGGCTTCCACGAACAATATAATCCATAATGCAGGTTTTTTGGGTTAGAGCGCGTAAATATATAAATGTGTCGTTAAACCCGCCACCACCCGACACAGCCAATTAGTAAGGTTTGTCATGTGGATACATCCTCCTGTTTCGTTCCCTCTATTTAAGGAATGAAACAGGAGGATTTCTCCACAAATCTGGCTGTCGCCTGATGAAGCTAGTTGTAATTACTAGCGAAACGTCGTACTCAGATTGTAAATGTTGTGCCTTGGCTCTCCAACACATCGGTGTGCTGTACTAGTGACGAATTGGCTACGTTCTGTTTACGTGACAACCCTTACTAGTTGGCTGTGTCGGGTGGTGGCGGGATTTAACGACACATTCATATATTTATGCGATCTCACCCAAAAAACCTGCAATATGGATGAAGTAATCTTGTTAAAATATATTTGTCACTTGATTCGTATAAATTCTACTTCTGAGAAGGAAAAATTTTGTTTAGTTCACGACCGTGTGACGAACGCCGCTGAGAATGTGCAGCATTGCCTCGTGTGGATAAGAGACAGTTAAACGATAAACCAGTTAAACTATAAACTATTTTTAAAACTTTTTATTTTATTTTACCAAATAAGGTCCACTGAGCTAAGTAACTCTTTTTCAGAAGCGACCTGGCCAAAAATGATATCTCAACGAAGCGGCTTATCACATGCAAACGTATAGCAGTCGAATACTCTCGACACACATGCTTTTAAATGTGGAGGGAAAACCCGGAGGACTCGGAGAAAAATCCACGCGACCACGGGGAGAACATGCAAGCTCCAAATATACAGGCGTCAGGGTCTGGATCGAACCCACGACCATCTTATATACGGGGCGAGGTAGTCAACATCTCGCCATCGTGGCACCACAGTTAAAATAACCTCAGAAAATCACGACGTTTCGTTTGCAACACAAGCAATCATCATCAGGTGGGAAAACCTACGTGACTTTACCGAAAGAACCAAAGGGTATGGATCCCTGCAGTCACGAAAACTTCAAATCTAGATAGAACGTCAGAAGTAGTTCTGTGATGTAATATTCCAGAAGTGGTCCTCTAACACGTCTCTAACATGGGGCGATGTTAGACTTGTCAAATAAAACTCACAGAACAATTGTAATATAAAATGACAATGCAATGGGCTTGTTTCACCCAGTAAACCCTCACTGTCTCCCATTACTTTTTCAGAAAAGGTTCTAAGTGTTCTGCTGGTAGGGACTGATTATCGTTGTGTAGATTGAAATTTGGAAAGTTTGGACCGTGTGTGTGAAAATAATATATCAGGATATGATAGACATATAAGCTCTATAGCCCACTTAAGGGCAGTTCTGGGGTTTTTTCTTTTTCTAAACCAAATTTACGTTACCAATTATGTTCTGCTGTGTTCTCATGACAGGTAACACATCAAACTGTACAACACCAAATCCCTCATCTGCGGCCGCGATTGGAAATAATTATGTTACAAGTGGGAAGTCGGACGCTTCCCAAGTCCTTCTGGAAACTTCAGCCACGGTGTCGACACCAACTGCACCACAGCAAATGCTCTCCTCTCCCAAAGCAGAAACTTCGCCAACAACAACGACAACAAACGTTCCAACATCACCAGGATCCATTCAAACGGCTGGCTCGCCTGGTCAGGCATCAACTGAAACATCTCCTACATCTGCTGCATTGGCCTCAACCCCTGTAGCATCAGTGCCACCAGTGTCTGAAAATGACTTGCCCTCAACAGGGGTGATAAATTGGGGGACATTTGCCGAAACCTCCAGTGATACCTTATCAACATCAGTTGCAGCATCTGACGGAGCCCCTGTATCATCTGCGACTGATATCACATCGCCAGAATCACAGTACACAGGATTACCTCTGTCGAGTTCTCCTGCGTCATCTATCACTGATACCACATCCCCAGAATCACAGTACACAGGATCACCTCTGTCTAGATCTCCTGTATCATCAGTGACTGATATCACATCCTCAGAATCACAGCACACTGGATCACCTCTGTCTAATTCTTCTGTGTCATCAGTGAATGATATCACATCTCCAGAATCACAATACACAGGATCACCTCTGTCTAGTTCTGCTGTATCATCCATCAATGATATCACATCTCCAGAATCACAGTACACAGACTCACCAGTGTCTAGTTCTTCTGTGTCATCTGTGACTGATATCACATCTCCAGACTCACAGCACACAGGATCACCGCTGTCTGATTCTCCTGTACCAGATGTGGCAGTTGCTTCGACTGTACTAACATCACCTCTGAGTCTCTTCTCCACATCTCCTGTGTCACAGCAAACAACCTCTGAGGCATCATCTGTTTCTGTGTCCCCAAGTGACTCTGCTTCTACTGAGCTATATTCAGATCAAACATCTGACTCATCTGAACAAACATCAGAACCAACTTCACCAGCACTGTCATCATCATCATCTACACCAAGTGGCCCATCATCACCTGGGGGTTCTTCTGTATCATCCATATCTTCTTCTGTGGCTTCTGCATCTGCTCTTTCTCTTGAAACAAGTCAACCTCTTGTGTCATCTGATTCTCCAGAATCACAGTACACAGGATCACCTCTGTCTAGTTCTCCTGCGTCATCTATCACTGATATCACATCTCCAGAATCACAATACACAGAATCAGCACTGTCTCACTCTCCTATGTCATCTGCGACTGATATGACATCACCAGAATCACAGTACACAGAATCACCACTCTCTAGTTCTCCTGCGTCATCTGCGACTGATATCACATCGTCAGAATCACAGTACACGGGATCACCACTGTCTAGTTCTCCTGCATCATCTGCGACTGATATCACATCTCCAGAATCACAATACACAGAATCAGCACTGTCTAGTTCTCCTGCGTCATCTATCACTGATATCACATCTCCAGAATCACAATACACAGGATCACCTCTGTCTAGTTCTCCTGCGTCATCTATCACTGATATCACATCTCCAGAATCACAATACACAGGATCACCTCTGTCTAGTTCTCCTACGTCATCTATCACTGATATCACATCCCCAGAATCACAATACACAGGATCACCGCTGTCTGATTCTCCTGTACCAGATGTGGCAGCTGCTTCGACTGTACTAACATCATCACCTCTGAGTCCCTTCTCCACATCTCCTATGTCACAACAAACAACCTCTGAGGCATCATCTGTTTCTGTGTCCCCAAGTGACTCTGCTTCTTCTGAGCTATATTCAGATCAAACATCTGACTCATCTGAACAAACATCAGAACCAACTTCACCAGAATCATGGCAAACAACACTGTCATCATCATCATCTACACCAAGTGACCCATCATCACCTGGGGGTTCTTCTGTATCATCTGTTTCTTCTTCTGTGGCTTCTGCATCTGCTCTGTCTCTTGAAACAAGTCAAACTCTTGTGTCATCTGATACTCCAGAATCACAGTACACAGAATCACCACTCTCTAGTTCTCCTGCGTCATCTGCGACTGATATCACATCTCCAGAATCACAGAACACAGAATCACTAGTGTCTAGTTCTCCTGTGTCATCTGCGACTGATATCACATCACCAGAATCACAGTACACAGGATCACCTCTGTCTAGTTCTTCTGCATCATCTGCGACTGATATCACATCTCCAGAATCACAGTACACGGGATCACCTCTGTCTAGTTCTCCTGCGTCATCTGTGACTGATATCACATCTCCAGAATCACAGTACACGGGATCACCACTGTCTAGTTCTCCTGCATCATCTGCGACTGATATCACATCGCCAGAATCACAGTACACAGGATCACCACTGTCTAGATCGTCTGTGTCATCTGCGACTGATATCACATCTCCAGAATCACAATACACAGAATCACCAGTGTCTAGTTCTCCTGCATCATCTGCGACTGATATCACATCGCCAGAATCACAGTACACAGGATCACCACTGTCTAGTTCTCCTGCATCATCTGCGACTGATATCACATCGCCAGAATCACAGTACACAGGGTCACCATTGTCTAGTTCTTCTGTGTCATCTGTGACTGATATCACATCTCCAGAATCACAGTACACGGGATCACCTCTGTCTAGTTCTCCTGCGTCATCTGTGACTGATATCACATCTCCAGAATCACAGTACACGGGATCACCACTGTCTAGTTCTCCTGCATCATCTGCGACTGATATGACATCGCCAGAATCACAGTACACAGGATCACCACTGTCTAGATCGTCTGTGTCATCTGCGACTGATATCACATCTCCAGAATCACAATACACAGAATCACCAGTGTCTAGTTCTCCTGCATCATCTGCGACTGATATCACATCGCCAGAATCACAGTACACAGGATCACCACTGTCTAGTTCTCCTGCATCATCTGCGACTGATATCACATCGCCAGAATCACAGTACACAGGGTCACCATTGTCTAGTTCTTCTGTGTCATCTGTGACTGATATCACATCTCCAGAATCACAGTACACAGGATCACCGCTGTCTGATTCTCCTGTACCAGATGTGGCAGCTGCTTCGACTGTACTAACATCATCACCTCTGAGTCTCTTCTCCACATCTCCTGTGTCACAACAAACAACCTCTGAGGCATCATCTGTTTCTGTGTCCCCAAGTGACTCTGCTTCTACTGAGCTATATTCAGATCAAACATCTGACTCATCTGAACAAACATCAGAACCAACTTCACCAGAATCATGGCAAACAACACTGTCATCATCATCATCTACACCAAGTGGCCCATCATCACCTGGGGGTTCTTCTGTATCATCCGTATCTACTTCTGTGGCTTCTGCATCTGCTCTTTCTCTTGAAACAAGTCAACCTCTTGTGTCATCTGATTCTACAGAATCACAGTACACAGGATCACCTCTGTCTAGTTATTCTGTGTCATCTGTGACTGATATCACTTCTCCAGAATCACAATACACAGGATCACCTCTGTCTAGTTCTCCTGCGTTATCTATCACTGATATCACATCTCCAGAATCACAATACACAGAATCAGCACTGTCTCGCTCTCCTGTGTCATCTGCGACTGATATGACATCACCAGAATCACAGTACACAGAATCACCACTCTCTAGTTCTCCTGCGTCATCTGCGACTGATATCACATCTCCAGGATCACAGAACACAGAATCACCAGTGTCTAGTTCTCCTGTGTCATCTGCGACTGATATCACATCACCAGAATCACAGTACACAGGATCACCTCTGTCTAGTTCTTCTGCATCATCTGCGACTGATATCACATCTCCAGAATCACAGTACACGGGATCACCACTGTCTAGTTCTCCTGCATCATCTGCGACTGATATCACATCGTCAGAATCACAGTACACGGGATCACCACTGTCTAGTTCTTCTGTGTCATCGGCGACTGATATCACATCTCCAGACTCACAGCACACAGGATCACCGCTGTCTGATTCTCCTGTACCAGATGTGGCAGCTGCTTCGACTGTACTAACATCATCACCTCTGAGTCTCTTCTCCACATCACCTGTGTCACAACAAACAACCTCTGAGGCATCATCTGTTTCTGTGTCCCCAAGTGACTCTGCTTCTACTGAGCTATATTCAGATCAAACATCTGACTCATCTGAACAAACATCAGAACCAACTTCACCAGAATCATGGCAAACAACACTGTCATCATCATCATCTACACCAAGTGGCCCATCATCACCTGGGGGTTCTTCTGTATCATCCGTATATTCTTCTGTGGCTTCTGCATCTGCTCTGTCTCTTGAAACAAGTCAACCTCTTGTGTCATCTGATTCTCCAGAATCACAGTACACAGGATCACCTCTGTCTAGTTCTTCTGTGTCATCTGTGACTGATATCACATCTCCAGAATCACAATACACAGGATCACCTCTGTCTAGTTCTCCTGCGTTATCTATCACTGATATCACATCTCCAGGATCACAGAACACAGAATCACCAGTGTCTAGTTCTCCTGTGTCATCTGCGACTGATATCACATCACCAGAATCACAGTACACAGGATCACCTCTGTCTAGTTCTTCTGCATCATCTGCGACTGATATCACATCTCCAGAATCACAGTACACAGCATCACCACTCTCTAGTTCTCCTGCGTCATCTGTGACTGATATCACATCTCCAGAATCACAGTACACAGGATCACCTCTGTCTAGTTCTTCTGTGTCATCTGTGACTGATATCACATCTCCAGAATCACAATACACAGAATCAGCACTGTCTAGTTCTCCTGCGTCATCTATCACTGATATCACATCTCCAGAATCACAATACACAGGAACAGCACTGTCTAGTTCTCCTGCGTTATCTATCACTGATATCACATCTCCAGAATCACAGTACACAGGAACAGCACTGTCTCGTTCTCCTGTGTCATCTGCGACTGATATAACATCACCAGAATCCCAGTACACAGAATCACCACTCTCTACTTCTCCTGTGTCATCTGCGACTGATATCACATCTCCAGAATCACAGTACACAGGATCACCTCTGTATAGTTCTCCTGTGTCATATGTGACTGATATCACATCTGCAGAATCACAGTACACAGGATCACCACTGTCTAGTTCACCTGTACCAACCGTGACTGATCTCACATCACCGGTGTCCCAGCAGACAGAGACAATGACTGCAAGTGTTCCTGTACCAACTGTGACAGGTGCTTCTGACGCGACTGTGCTAACATCACCTATGAGCCCCATGTCCACATCTGCAGTGTCACAGCAAACAACATATGAGACATCGTCTGTTTCTGTGTCACCAAGTGATTCTACTTCTACCGAGGTATATTCATCTCAAACAGCCGTGACATCTGACATATCTGATCAAACATCTCCAGAATCACAGTACACAGGATCACCACTGTCTAGTTCGGCTGTATCATCTGTGACTGATATAACATCTCCAGAATCACAGTACACAGGATCACCTCTGTCTAGTTCTTCTGTGTCATCTGCGACTGATATCACATCTCCAGAATCACAGTACACAGGATCACCTCTGTCTAGTTCTCCTGTGTCATCTGTGACTGATATCACATCTCCAGAATCAATACAAACAGATCTAACATCTCAAGAAATAACATCTTCTTTCACATCATCAAGAGGTCCATTGGTAACAAGTGCCCGATCGGCTTTTTCACTATCATCAATCGCAGTGAGTTCTATATCATCTATATCGGCTTCATCACCAGAATCCATGGCTTCTACATCTGCTGCTTCACACGTAACATCCAGTTTTACATCTGAGCAGTCAAGCCACCTCACGCGCTCAGAGGAAGCAACTCCCTCTGATTCTCTTGCATCAACATCTCCGAAATTTCAAGAAACAACATCATCGTTGGCATCATTAGCATCGCCTGGTGCGGCTTCCTCAACGCCGTCGCAGGCCGTCACGTCTCCAGCTTCACAGCCGACCGCGACTTTCTGGTCCATCGCCGCGGTAACGACCGTCGCCCTGACCACAGCCACCGAATCTCGGGCCCCCGAGGCCCCGGCGACGCTGAACGAGACGATGGTCGCCATGGCGGCCCCCGATCCTCGCTTATCCGAGTCTCCCGACGAGCAGACATTCAGCCTCAGGTTCAAAGTTCTCAACAAGGAGTTTGTCCCGGAGCTTCGCGATCGGAGCTCGGACGAGTTCCAACAACTGTCGACTGATTTGAATAAGGAGGTAAGGCTGCAGCCTCGTCACGTACTGTCATTAGGGATTTACTCAGTCTAATCAAGTTTATATGAATGGAGAGCCATCAATTCAAGGCTCTTGATTCTTGAGACAGTGACAAAATGCAATAATGTAGTTGGCAGGGGCATGGAAGAATTGAGGAATGAGTAATAGCGATGTAGGTAGGTATGTATGTTGAACTTCTTTCGCACCGAACGTAACCAACCGTGCTAATCGGCGGTGTGGGGGAAGGACAACAAACTAAACACACAAAGCAGCTCTAAATACATGGATTTTCAATATAGGTTTAAAAGTGCATAGCTCCAGTGGATGTCTAATGTGGGAAGGAAAAGCATTCCAGACAGCCGCAGAGATAAAGGGTACTTAGGGATCACAAAAGGGTAGGGGAGGGACGGGATGGAGTGGAGGGCCGAGGGGAGGGAAGAGCATGGGCAGTCGAGAAGAGGTGAGGCTTCAAGAGAGGAAGACGGAGGTTTAGGAGGCAGACTGCTTAATGTACAAGGGAAGTGTATTTCAGAGGAGGGGTGTGAATATTAAGCAGGAGTGAGCTTTGAGCTTTGCCCACTCACCCTTGGCATTTGGGTAAAAATAAATACCTGAAAAACGGAGATATCAAAGAATGTATGCTATATTTTAGCAGCAACGCCACTCACATTGTCTGACGCAAACTTTTCTTCGACATGTTTTACGTGAAAATCTCATGCATAAACGTTGTGCACCAATATTTTCAAAGCGCAGCAAACTTTACAGGTCTATCGTTTAACGTACATTGATTGCAACCCAGTGCCTTAAGCGGCCATGTTGTGCACTGGAATTCGACCCGCGTGGTGTTTTCCTCTCTCTCTGTGACTTTACAGGTGAAATCCATTTTCAAGAGTGGGCCACTTTCGAAGCATTTTCGACGGAGCAAAATACATTCGTTCAGGTGACAACAGTAGCAGTCAAATCTGTTTGTTGCTATTATTATTATTACTGTGAACCATAGTGCAATGCGGTTAGCACATTTGGCTACGTACGGTACGATAGAAGTTCAACAATCACACATACCATGTTGCTAAAGCGGCCCCTCGTGATTCATGGAGGGCTCTTGCCTATAACCACCGGGAATACGGGACGGAATTCGTTCAATGGATAATGCCCTACTGATGGGCATCTGACGGCAGCTTTTAAGCAAATGCTGCTCGGAAAACTTTGGGAGTTCAGAAAGCCATTTTGATTGTTGATCGACACGAGTGTATTATTTATTATTCACGCTTTCCAACTAATGGATGAAAGTGGGGGGGGGGGGGGGGCAACGATTATCTCGTAAAGATGATCCACAAAAACTTGGTAGGACTCTTTTGAGAAAGAGTTGAGACTCTGTCTCGGCCTCGCTGTGCGCTGCGTTGCACCACTATCCGAGTAGATAACCTCGCATCCAATCAACTTTCAGAGCCAGGGTGAACATCTCACTCCAAACGTATTTAATGAATTGAACGTGGTAAAACTGATGGAAAAACACAGCACAAATACAGCATGTTAATACTTGGTAATATCAATACAATGAATGAACACTACAGCATCATAACATTGTCTTAGATAACATGAAACTCAACAATAGATCCTGGATGGACCAGGCACCCACATTAGTACTGAACAGCTATACAAAAGAGTAAGCTACTGTATTAAGCAAGGGCACATCGTGTAATCACCACACTGCAGCCTAAATGTACAGCACTACACATAATACTGAACTGTGGATGAGATATTTCGTCATCCTTGCTCTCAAGATCGCAATAAGGTTACATGGGTACGAATCTGACTCGACTTATCCAATTGCAAGTAACATTTACAATAAGGCAAGTTGCAGGCTTCGTTGTTAACTAGGCCTCAGATTAATCGTAACAATTTTACAGCATTATAAAGGCATTTACAGCATTATAACGGTCATTCTAACATTATAACAGCATTCCCAATATTATAGAACATAAACGGACTTACAGACAATGCTTCTTAAAAGTCCCACAATGAACAGTTACAGCTGTCTTCACGGAAACGCTATTTGTGCCACCATTTTGAACTCTGTGTAATGGCTAGCCCCTGCCTCGTGGCTGAGAGGCTGTCAAATTGTAATTTCCTGGTCACGTGACCAAACTCAACCTCAATACAGGAAATTCCTGTTTACACACACCCCCACTCCTGCCGTGGAGCAAAACACCTGCCGTGAGGCAGAATCGACTCAGTGCAGCCTTCCTGTGTGATGGTAACTTCTCTAATGTCGCACGTTTTCAGTGTGAGACTCACATGTGAATATATATTTTTGTATTTCTTAGCAAAGGTTCGGTGAACTGCGGCGGAACTCTGAAGTTTAATAAGCCAAAAGACAGGGAGATACTGGCAGAAGATGTTCACGAGCAGTTCGTCGGCGGAACGACTGGAGGCAATGCCTTAGGACCATTTGCCCTTGCGTGTGGCAGCAGTTCGGTAGATGGTACGTACCGTGCAACGTGTTGTTACCGGCGCTTCGCAGAAAGCGGTTCTTGTTTTATAGACCCCACAGGGATGATGGGTCGAGTGGCTCTGCCGCAGCCTACTCGCGAATCCTCTTGTCTCAAATTTCTCTCCGCTCATTCTTCCTCCCTCTGCTTCTCCCCTCACCTCAAGGATTCATGTCTCATTCAGTGGATGTGTCCCCAGGTCACTGCGTAGAGTGGAGTGGGCCCCGTCACACGTGGGTGTGCACTACTGCAGAAATACTTTACGGATCGCCGACGCCGAAAAAAAACCCAATGGAAATTAAGCCGGGAGTGTTACTGAAAATAATTCATGAGAGCACTTGTACAGAAATACGCTCGTCAAGTTTGTAGCAATCACTTCCACATATTCATCAGAGATCTGGATTGCATACAGTTATAGTCTAACAAGTCATTGGCAATTGTTCCCGAATATTGGGCCTTTGTAAATTTCACTCCTTTTCATCGAGTAAACGTGCCCGCAGGAACCCCGTCCACGGAGACGGAGCGAAGCGGCTCGTTGTGCAGACGCTAGATGGGGTTGCTGCATCTCAGAACCGTGGGTGATGCTGATTGGCGTTGATTTGACTGCTTAAGGGGAGGGAGCTGGTAACCTACTTTTCATTTAGAGCTTAAATAAGATGACAGCCCAGCAGTGCTTTGATGTTGTCTGCCGGTCGAGTCGCCCTCACAAAGAGCTTGTTAGCTCAATTTGCATTACTCACCCCCCTCACCCATTCACTCGGTCACTCACCCGGTCAGTCACCCACCCAGTCACCCACCCACTGACGCACACACTCAACCACTAATTCACTCATTCATCCACTCGCCCACTCACCTTACCCATTCACTCAGGCACTAACACGCCCACTCACCCACTACCACACCCAATCACCCACTAACTCACCCATTCAATCACCCACCAGCTCACGCACCTACTCACCCACTCACCCACCTGCTCACTAATTGTCTGCCTACCGAGTCGCCCTTGAAAAGGAGCCTCTTAGCCCAATGGGGCTTTACTTGGAGGGAAATAAACCTACGAGTCTTCCGATTCTGCGTTGAAATACAGTACGAGTCAGAGACTGAATGCCCCCTTCTTTGTCGCACCCCGAGTTATTGTCATCGTCATCAGCCATGCTCTATGCACTGCTGGATGAATGGCACCCCCAACTCGTCAGTCTCCGTTTACGTGGAGGTCACGCTCCCGAGCGAGCTCCCTCCTAATTCGACCGCTGCTCTCGAAATGAGTTTCAAATCTCGTGGCGTGTGCTAAATATTTCCTTGCTTGTTATTTAACTTCATGTTTTTAATCTTTTCAGACGTACATCAGGATGCCAAAGATTGTACGTTCACAACTCTTTACACGACCGTGGCCACGCTCCCAGGAAAGACATCTAAATCTGACCAAACCGATGCATCAACGCTAGCAGAAACATCAAGTGCACCTGTGACGGCTGAGACGGCTGCCGCAACGATGATCCCACCGACTGTGTCCTCAGGGCAAGCGTCGTCTGTCAGCGTGCTATCTACATCGCCTCTTTCACTTCGGACGAGTCCCTTCTCCACATCTCTTGTGTCACAACGAACAAGCTCTGAGGCAGCATTCGTTTCCGCGTCACCAAGTGACTCTGCTTCTACTGACCTATATTCAGATCAAACATCTGACTCATCTGAACAAACATCAGAACTAACTTCACCAGAATCATGGCAAACCACACTGTCATCTTCATCATCATCTACAACAAGTGGCCCATCATCACCTGGAGGTTCTTCTGTATCATCCGTATCTTCTTCTGTGGCTTCTGCATCTGCTCTGTCTCTTGGAACAAGTCAACCTCTTGTGTCATCTGTTTCCTCTATCACTTCTCCAGAATCACAGTACACAGAATCACCTCTGTCTAGTTTTTCTGTGTCATCTGTGACTGAAATCACATCTCCAGAATCACAGCACACAGAATCACCAGTGCCTAGTTCTCCTGCGTCATCAGTGACTGATATCACATCTCCAGAATCACAGCAGACAGGATCACCTCTGTCTAGTTCTCCTGTGTCATCTATCACTGATATCACATCTCCAGAATCACAGTACACAGGATCAACAGTGTCTAGTTCTCCTGCGTCATCTGTGACTGATATCACATCTCAAGAATCACAGTACACTGCATCACCATTGTCTAGTTCTGCTGTGTCATCTATCATTGATATCACATCTCCCGAATCACAGTACACAGGTTCACCACTGTCTGATTCTCCTGTACCAGATGTGGCAGCTGCTTCGACTGTACTAACATCATCACCTCTGAGTCTCTTCTCCACATCTCCTGTGTCACAACAAACAACTTCTGAGGCATCATCTGTTTCTGTGTCCCCAAGTAACTCTGCTTCTACTGAGCTATATTCAGATCAAACATCTGACTCATCTGAACAAACATCAGAACCAACTTCACCAGAATCATGGCAAACAACAGTGTCATCATCATCATCTACACCAAGTGGCCCATCATCACCTGGGGGTTCTTCTGTATCATCCCTATCTTCTTCTGTGGCTTCTGCATCTGCTCTTTCTCTTGAAACAAGTCATCCTCTTGTGGCATCTGATTCTCCAGAATCACAGTACACAGGATCACCTTTGTCTAGTTCTCCTGCGTCATCTGCCACTGATATCACATCTCCAGAATCACAATACACAGAATCAGCACTGTCTAGTTTTCCTGCGTCATCTATCACTGATATCACATCTCCAGAATCACAATACACAGAATCAGCACTGTCTAGTTTTCCTGCGTCATCTATCACTGATATCACATCTCCAGAATCACAGTACACAGGATCACCTCTGTCTAGTTCTCCTGTGTCATATGTGACTGATATCACATCTGCAGAATCACAGTACACAGGATCAGCACTGTCTAGTTCACCTGTACCAACCGTGACTGATCTCACATTACCAGTGTCCCAGCAGACAGAGACAATGACTGCAAGTGTTCCTGTACCAACTGTGACGGCTGCTTCTGACGCGACTGTGCTAACATCACCTATGAGCCCCATGTCCACATCTGCAGTGTCACAGCAAACAACATCTGAGACATCGTCTGTTTCTGTGTCACCAAGTGATTCTACTTCTACCGAGCTATATTCATCTCAAACAGCCGTGACATCTGACATATCTGATCAAACATCTCCAGAATCACAGTATACAGGATCACCACTCTCTAGTTCTCCTGTGTCATCTGTCACTGATATCACATCTCCAGAATCACAGTTCACAGGATCAGCACTGTTTAGTTCTTCTCGGTCATCTGCGACTGATATCACATCTCGAGAATCACAGTACACAGGATCACCTCTGTCTAGTTCTCCTGTGTCATCTAACACTGATATCACATCCCCAGAATCGCAGTACACAGAATCAGCACCGACTAGTTCTGCTGTATCATCTATCACTGATATCACATCCCCAGAATCACAGTACACAGGATCACCAGTGTCTAGTTCTCCTGCGTCAACTGTCACTGATATCACATCTTCAGAATCACAGTACACAGGATCACCTCTGTCTAGTTCTTCTGTGTCATCTGTGACTGACATCACATCTTCAGAATTACAGTACACAGAATCACCATTGTCTAGTTCTCCTGTGTCATCTGTGATTGACATCACATCCCCAGAATCACAGTACACAGCATCACCAATGTCTAGTTCTACTGCGTCATCTGTCACTGATATCACATCTTCAGAATCACAGTACACAGGATCACATCTGTCTAGTTCTCCTGTGTCATCTGTCACTGATATCACATCTTCAGAATCACAGTACACAGGATCACCAATGTCTAGTTCTCCTGTGTCATCTATTAATGATATCACATCTCCAGAATCACAGTTCACAGGATCACCTCTGTCTAGTTCTCCTGTGTCATCTATCACTGATCAAATATCTCCAGAATCACAGTTCAAAGGATCACCAATGTCTAGTTCTTCTGTGTCATCTGCGACTGATATCACATCGCCAGAATCACAGTACACAGGATCACCACTGTCTAGTTCTTCTGTGTCATCTGCGACTGATATGACATCGCCAGAATCACAGTACACAGGATCACCACTGTCTAGTTCTTCTTTGTCATCTGCGACTGATATCACATCGCCAGAATCACAATACACAGACTCACCAGTGTCTAGTTCTTCTTTGTCATCTGTGACTGATATCACATCTCCAGACTCACAGCACACAGGATCACCGTTGTCTGATTCTCCTGTACCAGATGTGGCAGCTGCTTCGACTGTACTAACATCATCACCTCTGAGTCTCTTCTCCACATCTCCAGTGTCACAACAAACAACCTCTGAGGCATCATCTGTTCATGTGTCCCCAAGTGACTCTGCTTCTACTGAGCTATATTCAGATCAAACATCTGACTCATCTGATCAAACATCAGAACCAACTTCACCAGAATCATGGCAAACAACACTGTCATCATCATCATCATCTACACCAAGTGGCCCATCATCACCTGGGGGTTCTTCTGCATCATCCGTATCTTCTTCTGTGGCTTCTGCATCTGCTCTTTCTCTTCAAACAAGTCAACCTCCTGTGTCATCTGATTCTCCAGAATCACAGTACACAGGATCACCTCTGTCTAGTTCTCCTGTGCCATCTGCGACTGATATTACATCTCCAGAATCACAATACACAGAATCAGCACTGTCTCGTTCTCCTGTGTCATCTGCGACTCATATAACATCTCCAGAATCACAGTACACAGGATCACCACTGTCTAGTTCACCTGTACCAACCGTGACTGATCTCACATCACCGGTGTCCCAGCAGACAGAGAAAATGACTGCAAGTGTTCCCGTACCAACTGTGACGGGTGCTTCTGACGCGACTGTGCTAACATCACCTATGAGCCCCATGTCCACATCTGCAGTGTCACAGCAAACAACATCTGAGACATCGTCTGTTTCTGTGTCACCAAGTGATTCTACTTCTACCGAGGTATATTCATCTCAAACAGCCGTGACATCTGACATATCTGATCAAACATCTCCAGAATCACAGTACACAGGATCTGTACTGTATAGTTCTCCTCTGTCATCTGTGACTGATATCACATCTCCAGAATCACAGTACACAGGATCACCACTGTCTAGTTCGGCTGTATCATCTGTGACTGATATAACATCTCCAGAATCACAGTACACAGGATCACCACTGTCTAGTTCGGCTGTATCATCTGTGACTGATATAACATCTCCAGAATCACAGAACACAGGATCACCTCTGTCTAGTTCTTCTGTGTCATCTGCGACTGATATCACATCTCCAGAATCACAGTACACAGGATCACCTCTGTCTAGTTCTCCTGTGTCATCTGTGACTGATATCACATCTCCAGAATCAATACAAACAGATCTAACATCTCAAAAAATAACATCTTCTTTTGCATCATCAATAGGTCCATTGGTAACAAGTGCCCGATCGGCTTTTTCACTATCATCAATCGCAGTGAGTTCTATATCATCTATATCGGCTTCATCACCAGAATCCATGGCTTCTACATCTGCTGCTTCACACGTAACATCCACTTTTACATCTGAACAGTCAAGCCACCTCACGCGCTCAGAGGAAGCGACTCCCTCTGATTCTCTTGCATCAACATCTCCGAAATTTCAAGAAACAACACCATCGTTGGCATCATCAGCATCGCCTGGTGCGGCTTCCTCAACGCCGTCGCAGGCCGTCACGTCTCCAGCTTCACAGCTGACCGCGACATTCTCGTCCATCGCCGCTGTAACGACCATCGCCCTGACCACAGCCGCCGAGTCTCGGGCCCCAGAGGCCCCGGCGACGCTGAACGAGACGATGGTCGCCATGGCGGCCCCCGATCCACGCTTATCCGACTCCCCCGATGAGCAGACGTTCAGCCTCAGGTTCAAAGTTCTCAACAAGGAGTTTGTCCCGGAGCTTCGCGATCGGAGCTCGGACGAGTTCCAACAACTGTCGACTGATTTGAATAAGGAGGTAAGGCTGCAGCCTCGTCACGTACTGTCATTAGGGATTTACTCAGTCTAATCAAGTTTATATGTATGGAGATCCATCAATTCAAGGCTCTTGATTCTTGAGACAGTGACAAAATGCAATAATGTAGTTGGCAAGGGCTTGGAAGAATTGAGGAATGAGTAATAGCGATGTAGGTAGGTATGTATGTTGAACTTCTTTCGCACCGAACGTAACCAACCGTGCTAATCGGAGGTGTGGGCGAAGGACAACAAACTAAACACACAAAGCAGCTCTAAATACATGGATTTTCAATATAGGTTTAAAAGTGCATAGCTCCAGTGGATGTCTAATGTGGGAAGGAAAAGCATTCCAGACAGCCGCAGAGATAAAGGGTACTTAGGGATCACAAAACGGTAGGAGAAAGACAGGATGGAGTGGAGGGCCGAGGGGAGGGAAGAGCATGGGCAGTCGAGAAGAGGTGAGGCTTCAAGAGAGGAACAGAAGGAGGTTTAGGAGGCAGACTGCTTAATGTACAAGGGAAGTGTATTTCAGAGGAGGGGTGTGAATATTAAGCAGGAGTGAGCTTTGAGCTTTGCCCACTCACCCTTGGCATTTGGGTAAAAATAAATACCTGAAAAACGGAGATATCAAAGAATGTATGCTATATTTTAGCAGCAACGCCACTCACATTGTCTGACGCAAACTTTTATTCGACATGTTTTACGTGAAAATCTCCTGCATAAACGTTGTGCACCAATATTTTCAAAGCACAGCAAACTTTACAGGTCTATCGTTTCACGTACATTGACTGCAGCCCAGTGCCTTAAGCGGCCATGTTGTGCACTGGAATTCGACCCGCATGGTGTTTTCCTCTCTCTCTGTGACTTTACAGGTGAAATCCATTTTCAAGAGTGGGCCCCTTTCGAAGCATTTTCGACGGAGCAAAATACATTCGTTCAGGTGACAACAGTAGCAGTCAAATCTGTTTGTTGCTGTTATTATTATTACTGTGAACCATAGTGCAATGCGGTTAGCACATTTGGCTACGTACGGTACGATAGAAGTTCAACAATCACACATACCATGTTGCTAAAGCGGCCCCTCGTGATTCATGGAGGGCTCTTGCCTATAACCACCAGGAATACGGGACGGAATTCGTTCAATGGATCATGCCCTACTGATGGGCATCTGACGGCAGATTTTAGCAAATGCTGCTCGGAAAACTTTGGGAGTTCAGAAAGCCATTTTGGTTGTTGATCAACACGAGTGTATTATTTATTATTCACGCTTTCCAACTAATGGATGAAAGTAGGGGGGGGGCAACGATTATCTCGTAAAGATGATCCACAAAAACTTGGTAGGACTCTTTTGAGAAAGAGTTGAGACTCTGTCTCGGCCTCGCTGTGCGCTGCGTTGCACCACTATCCGAGTAGATAACCTCGCATCCAATAAACTTTCAGAGCAAGGGTGAACATCTGACTCCAAACGTATTTAATTAATTGAACGAGGTAAAACTGATGAAAAAAAACAGCACAAATACAGCATCTGTAAATACTTTGTAATATCAATACAATGAATACTACAGCGTCATAACATTGTCTTAGATAACATGAAACTCAACAATAGATCCTGGATGGACCAGGCACCCACATTAGTACTGAACAGCTATACAAGAGAGGAAGCTACTGTATTAAGTAAGGGCACATCGTGTAATCACCATACTGCAGCCTAAATGTACAGCACTACACATAATACTGAACTGTGGATGAGATATTTCGTCATCCATGCTCTCAAGATCGCAATAAGGTTACATGGGTACGAGTCTGACTCGAATAATTCAATTAGAAGAAACATTTACAATAAGGCAAGTTTCAGGCTTTGTTGTTAACTAGGCCTCAGATTTATCGTAACAATTTAACAGCATTATAAAGGGATTTACAGCATTATAACGGTCATTCTAACATTATAATAGCATTCCCAATATTATAAGAACATAAACGGACTTACAGACAATGCTTCTTAAAGTCCCACAATGAACAGTTACAGCTGTCTTCACGGAAACGCTATTTGTGCCACCATTTTGAACTCTGTGTAATGGCTGGCCCATGCCTCGTGGCTGAGAGACTGTCAAATTGTAACTTCCTGGTCATGTGACCAAACTCAACCTCAAAACAGGAAATTCCTGTTTACAAACACCCCCACTCCTGCCGTGGAGCAAAACACCTGCCGTGAGGCAGAATAGACTTAGTGCAGCTTTCCTGTGTAAACTCGCGGAGTAAGAACAATAAAACATTCAGTTGATGGCAACTTCTCTAATGTCGCATGTTTTCAGTGCGTGACTCACATGTGAATATATATTTTTGTATTTCTTAGCAAAGGTTCGGTGAACTGCGGTGGAACTCTGAAGTTTAATAAGCCAAAAGACATGGAGATACTGGCAGAAGATGTTCACGAGCAGTTCGTCGGCGGAACGACTGGAGGCAATGCCTTAGGACCATTTGCCCTTGCGTGTGGCAGCAGTTCGGTAGATGGTACGTACCGTGCAACGTGTTGTTACCGGCGCTTCGCACAAAGCGGTTCTTGTTTTATAGACCCCACAGGGATGATGGGCGAGTGGCTCTGCCGCAGCCTCCTCGCAAATCCACTTGTATCAAATTCTTAGGTTTTTTTGGTAAAGTCACAGTTACCGAAAAGTTACCGAAAAAACCTAAGAATATGAATCATTGCAGTCACGAAAGCTTCAAATCTAGAACCCTTGTATCAAGTTTCTCTCCGCTCATTCCTCCTCCCTCTGTTCCTCCCCTCACCTCAAGGATTCATGTCTCACTCAGTGGACGTTTCCCCAGGTCACTGCGTAGAGTGGAGTGGGCCCCGTCACACGTGGGTGTGCACTACTGCAGAAATACTTTACGGATCGCCGACGCCGGAAAAAAACCCAACGGAAATTAAGCCGGGAGTGTTACTGAAAATAATTCATTAGAGCACTTGTACAGAAATATGCTCGTCAAGTTTGCAGCAATCACTTCCACATATTCATGAGAGATCTGGATTGCATACAGTTATAGTCTAACAAGTCATTGGCAATTGTTCCCGAATATTGTGCCTTTGTATATTTCACTCCTTTTCATCGAGTAAACGTGCCCGCAGGAACCCCGTCCGCGGAGACGGAGCGAAGCGAAATGGCTCATTGTGCAGACGCTAGATGGTGTTGCTGCATCTCAGAACCGTGTGAGATGCGGATTGGCGTTGATTTGACTGCTTAGGGGGAGGGAGCTGGTAGCCTACGTTTCATTTAGAGCTTAAACAAGATGACAGCTCAGCAGTGCTTTGATGTTGGCTGCCGGTCGAGTCGCCCTCACAAAGAGCTTCTTAGCTCAATTTGCATTACCCACCCCCCTCACCCACTCACTCGGTCACTCACCCGGTCAGTCACCCACCCAGTCACCCACCCACTGACGCACACACTCAACCACTAATTCACTCATTCACCCACTCGCCCACTCACCTTACCCATTCACTCAGGCACTAACACGCCCACTCACCCACTACCACACCCAATCACCCACTAACTCACCCATTCAATCAGAGGTGTGGACTCGAGTCATGTGACTTGGACTCGAGTCAGACTCGAGTCATGAATTTGATGACTTCAGACTCGACTCGGCAAAATGTACAAAGACTTGCAACTCGACTTGGACTTGCATAACAATGACTTTGTCCCACCTCTGAGGTGTGGACTCGAGTCATGTGACTTGGACTCGAGTCAGACTCGAGTCATGAATTTGATGACTTCAGACTCGACTCGGCAAAATGTACAAAGACTTGCAACTCGACTTGGACTTGCATAACAATGACTTTGTCCCACCTCTGTCAATCACCCACCAGCTCACGCACCTACTCACCCACTCACCCACCTGCTCACTAATTGTCTGCCTGCCGAGTCGCCCTTGAAAAAGAGCCTCTTAGCCCAATGGGGCTTTACTTGGAGGAATAAACTTATGAGTCTTCCAATTCTGCGTTGAAATACAGTACGAGTCAGAGACTGAATACCCCCTCCTTTGTCGCACCCCGAGTTATTGTCATCGTCAACAGCCATGCTCCATGCACTGCTGGATGAATGGCACCCCAACTCGTCAGACTCCGTTTCCGTGGAGGTCACGCTCCCGAGCGAGCTCCCTCCTAATTCGACTGCTGCTCTCGAAATGAGTTTCAAATCTCGTCGCGTGTGCTAAATATTTCCTTGCTTGTTATTTAACTTAATGTTTTTATCTTTTCAGACGTACATCAGGATGCCAAAGATTGTACGTTCACAACTCTTTACACGACCGTGGCCACGCTCCCAGGAAAGACATCTAAATCTGACCAAACCGATGCATCAACGCTAGCAGAACCATCAAGTGCACCTGTGACGGCTGAGACGGCTACCTCTACAATGATCCCACCGAATGTGTCCTCAGGGCAATCGTCGTCTGTCAGCGCGCTATCTACATCGCCTCTTTCACTTCGGACGAGTCCCTTCTCAACATCTCTTGTGTCTCCAAGTGACTCTGCTTCTACTGACCTATATTCAGATCAAACATCTGACTCATCTGAACAAACATCAGAACCAACTTCACCAGAATCATGGCAAACAACACTGTCATCATCATCATCATCTACAGCAAGTGGTCCATCATCACCTCGGGTTTCTTCTGTATCATCCGTATCTTCTTCTGTGGCTTCTGCATCTGCTCTGTCTCTTGGAACAAGTCAACCTCTTGTGTCATCTGTTTCTCCACAATCACAGTACACAGGATCACCACTGTCTAGTTCTCCTGTGTCATCAGTGACTGATATCACATCTCCAGAATCACAGTACACAGGATCAGCACTGTCTAGTTCACCTGTACCAACCGTGACTGATCTCACATCACCGGTGTCCCAGAAGACAGAGACAATGACTGCAAGTGTTCCTGTACCAACTGTGACGGTTGCTTCTGACATGACTGTGCTAACATCACCTATGAGCCCCATGTCCACATCTGCAGTGTCACAGCAAACAACATCTGAGACATCGTCTGTTTCTGTGTCACAAAGCGATGCTGCTTCTACCGAGCTATATTCATCTCAAACAGCCATGACATCTGACATATCTGATCAAACATCTCCAGAATCACAGTATACAGGATCACCACTCTCTAGTTCTCCTGTGTCATCTATCACTGATATCACATCTCCAGAATCACAGGACACAGGATCACCTGTGTCTAGTTCTTCTGTGACATCTGTGACTGATATCACATCTCCAGAATCACAGTACACAGGATCACCGCTGTCTGATTCTCCTGTACCAGATGTGGCAGCTGCTTCGACTGTACTAACATCATCACCTCTGAGTCTCTTCTCCACATCTCATGTGTCACAACAAACAACCTCTGAGGCATCATCTGTTTCTGTGTCCCCAAGTGACTCTGCTTCTACTGAGCTATATTCAGATCAAACATCTGACTCATCTGAACAAACATCAGAACTAACTTCACCAGAATCATGGCAAACAACACTGTCATCATCATCATCATCTACACCAAGTGGCCCATCATCACCTGGGGGTTCTTCTGTATCATCCGTATCTTCTTCTGTGGCTTCTGCATCTGCTCTTTCTCTTGAAACAAGTCAACCTCTTGTGCCATCTGATTCTCCAGAATCACAGTACACAGGATCAACACTCTCTAGTTCTTCTGTGTCATCTTTCACTGATATCACATCTCCAGAATCACAGTACACAGGATCACCACTGTCTAGTTTACCTGTACCAACCGTGTCTGATCTCACATCACCGGTGTCTCAGAAGACAGAGACAATGACTGCAAGTGTTCCTGTACCAACTGTGACGGCTGGGTCTGACGCGACTGTGCTAACATCACCTATGAGCCCCATGTCCACATCTGCAGTGTCACAGCAAACAACATCTGAGACATCGTCTGTTTCTGTGTCACAAAGCGATGCTGCTTCTACCGAGCTATATTCATCTCAAACAGCCGTGACATCTGACATATCTGATCAAACATCTCCAGAATCACAGTATACAGGATCACCACTCTCTAGTTCTCCTGTGTCATCTGTCACTGATATCACATCTCCAGAATCACAGTTCACAGGATCAGCACTGTCTAGTTCTTCTCGGTCATCTGCGACTGATTTCACATCTCCAGAATCACAGTACACAGGATCACCTCTGTCTAGTTCTCCTGTGTCATCTATCACTGATATCACATCCCCAGAATCACAGTATACAGGATCACCAGTGTCTAGTTCTCCTGCGTCATCTGTCACTGATATCACATCTTCAGAATCACAGTACACAGGATCACCTCTGTCTAGTTCTTTTGTGTCATCTGTGACTGACATCACATCTTCAGAATTACAGTACACAGAATCACCATTGTCTAGTTCTCCTGTGTCATCTGTGACTGACATCACATCTCCAGAATCACAGTACACAGCATCACCAATGTCTAGTTCTCCTGTGTCATCTATGACTGATATCACATCTCCAGAATCACAGTTCACAGGATCACCTCTGTCTAGTTCTTCTGTGACATCTGTGACTGATATCACATCTCCAGAATCACAGTACACAGAATCACCAGTGTCTAGTTCTCCTGTGTCATCTGTCACTGATATCACATCTCCAGAATCACAGTTCACAGGATCACCAGTGTCTAGTTCTTCTGTGACATCTGCGACTGATATCACATCTCCAGAATCACAGTACACAGGATCACCTCTGTCTAGTTCTCCTGTGTCATCTGCCACTGATATCACATCTCCAGAATCACAGCACACAGGATCACCACTGTCTGATTCTCCTGTACCAGATGTGTCAGCTGCTTCGACTGTACTAACATCATCATCTCTGAGTCTCTTCTCCACATCTCCTGTGTCACAACAAACAACCTCTGAGGCATCATCTGTTTCTGTGTCCCCAAGAGACTCTGCTTCTACTGAGCTATATTCAGATCAAACATCTGACTCATCTGAACAAACATCAGAACCAACTTCACCAGAATCATGGCAAACAGCACTCTCATCATCATCATCATCTACACCAAGTGGCCCATCACCTGGGGGTTCTTCTGTATCATCCGTATCTTTTTCTGTGGCATCTGCGTTTGCTCTTTCTCTTGAAACAAGTCAACCTCTTGTGTCATCTGTTTCCTCTATCACATCTCCAGAATCACAATACACAGGATCACCTCTGTCTAGTTCTGCTGTGTCATCTGTGACTGATATCACATCTCCAGAATCACAGTTCACAGGATCACCTCTGTCTAGTTCTTCTGTGACATCTGTGACTGATATCACATCTCCAGAATCACAGTACACAGAATCACCAGTGTCTAGTTCTCCTGTGTCATCTGTCACTGATATCACATCTCCAGAATCACAGTACACAGGATCACCGCTGTCTGATTCTCCTGTACCAGATGTGGCAGCTCCTTCGACTGTACTAACATCATCACCTCTGAGTCTCTTGTCCACATCTCCTGTGTCACAACAAACAACCTCTGAGGCAACATCTGTTTCTGTGTCCCCAAGTGACTCTGCTTCTACTGAGCTATATTCAGATCAAACATCTGACTCATCTCAACAAACATCAGAACTAACTTCACTAGACTCATGGCAAACAACACTGTCATCATCATCATCATCTACACCAAGTGGCCCATCATCACCTGGGGGTTCTTCTGTATCATCCGTATCTTCTTTTGTGGCTTCTGCATCTGCTCTTTCTCTTGAAACTAGTCAACCTCTTGTGTCATCTGATTCTCCAGAATCACAGTACACAGGATCAACACTCTCTAGTTCTTCTGTGTCATCTATCACTGATATCACATCTCCAGAATCACAGTACACAGGATCACCACTGTCTAGTTCACCTGTACCAACCGTGTCTGATCTCACATCACCGGTGTCCCAGAAGACAGAGACAATGACTGCAAGTGTTCCTGTACCAACTGTGACGGCTGCTTCTGACGCGACTGTGCTAACATCACATATGAGCCCCATGTCCACATCTGCAGTTTCACAGCAAACAACATCTGAGACATCGTCTATTTCTGTGTCACAAAGCGATGCTGCTTCTACCGAGCTATATTCATCTCAAACAGCCGTGACATCTGACATATCTGATCAAACATCTCCAGAATCACAGTATACAGGATCACCACTCTCTAGTTCTCCTGTGTCATCTGTCACTGATATCACATCTCCAGAATCACAGTTCACAGGATCAGCACTGTCTAGTTCTTCTCGGTCATCTGCGACTGATATCACATCTCCAGAATCACAGTACACAGGATCACCTCTGTCTAGTTCTCCTGTGTCATCTATCACTGATATCACATCCCCAGAATCACAGTACACAGAATCAGCACCGACTAGTTCTGCTGTATCATCTATCACTGATATCACATCCCCAGAATCACAGTACACAGGATCACCAGTGTCTAGTTCTCCTGCGTCATCTGTCACTGATATCACATCTTCAGAATCACAGTGCACAGGATCACCTCTGTCTAGTTCTTCTGTGTCATCTGTGACTGACATAAAATCTCCAGAATCACAGTACACAGCATCACCAATGTCTAGTTCTCCTGTGTCATCTATCACTGATATCACATCTCCAGAATCACAGTTCACAGGATCACCTCTGTCTAGTTCTTCTGTGACATCTGTGACTGATATCACATCTCCAGAATCACAGTACACAGAATCACCAGTGTCTAGTTCTCCTGTGTCATCTGTCACTGATATCACATCTCCAGAATCACAGTTCACAGGATCACCTCTGTCTAGTTCTTCTGTGACATCTGTGACTGATATCACATCTCCAGAATCACAGTACACAGGATCACCAGTGTCTAGTTCTCCTGCGTCATCTGTCACTGATATCACATCTTCAGAATCACAGTACACAGGATCACCTCTGTCTAGTTCTTTTGTGTCATCTGTGACTGACATCACATCTTCAGAATTACAGTACACAGAATCACCATTGTCTAGTTCTCCTGTGTCATCTGTGACTGACATCACATCTCCAGAATCACAGTACACAGCATCACCAATGTCTAGTTCTCCTGTGTCATCTATGACTGATATCACATCTCCAGAATCACAGTTCACAGGATCACCTCTGTCTAGTTCTTCTGTGACATCTGTGACTGATATCACATCTCCAGAATCACAGTACACAGAATCACCAGTGTCTAGTTCTCCTGTGTCATCTGTCACTGATATCACATCTCCAGAATCACAGTTCACAGGATCACCAGTGTCTAGTTCTTCTGTGACATCTGCGACTGATATCACATCTCCAGAATCACAGTACACAGGATCACCTCTGTCTAGTTCTCCTGTGTCATCTGCCACTGATATCACATCTCCAGAATCACAGCACACAGGATCACCACTGTCTGATTCTCCTGTACCAGATGTGTCAGCTGCTTCGACTGTACTAACATCATCACCTCTGAGTCTCTTCTCCACATCTCCTGTGTCACAACAAACAACCTCTGAGGCATCATCTGTTTCTGTGTCCCCAAGAGACTCTGCTTCTACTGAGCTATATTCAGATCAAACATCTGACTCATCTGAACAAACATCAGAACCAACTTCACCAGAATCATGGCAAACAGCACTCTCATCATCATCATCATCTACACCAAGTGGCCCATCATCACCTGGGGGTTCTTCTGTATCATCCGTATCTTTTTCTGTGGCATCTGCGTTTGCTCTTTCTCTTGAAACAAGTCAACCTCTTGTGTCATCTGTTTCCTCTATCACATCTCCAGAATCACAATACACAGGATCACCTCTGTCTAGTTCTGCTGTGTCATCTGTGACTGATATCACATCTCCAGAATCACAGTTCACAGGATCACCTCTGTCTAGTTCTTCTGTGACATCTGTGACTGATATCACATCTCCAGAATCACAGTACACAGAATCACCAGTGTCTAGTTCTCCTGTGTCATCTGTCACTGATATCACATCTCCAGAATCACAGTACACAGGATCACCGCTGTCTGATTCTCCTGTACCAGATGTGGCAGCTCCTTCGACTGTACTAACATCATCACCTCTGAGTCTCTTGTCCACATCTCCTGTGTCACAACAAACAACCTCTGAGGCAACATCTGTTTCTGTGTCCCCAAGTGACTCTGCTTCTACTGAGCTATATTCAGATCAAACATCTGACTCATCTCAACAAACATCAGAACTAACTTCACTAGACTCATGGCAAACAACACTGTCATCATCATCATCATCATCTACACCAAGTGGCCCATCATCACCTGGGGGTTCTTCTGTATCATCCGTATCTTCTTTTGTGGCTTCTGCATCTGCTCTTTCTCTTGAAACTAGTCAACCTCTTGTGTCATCTGATTCTCCAGAATCACAGTACACAGGATCAACACTCTCTAGTTCTTCTGTGTCATCTATCACTGATATCACATCTCCAGAATCACAGTACACAGGATCACCACTGTCTAGTTCACCTGTACCAACCGTGTCTGATCTCACATCACCGGTGTCCCAGAAGACAGAGACAATGACTGCAAGTGTTCCTGTACCAACTGTGACGGCTGCTTCTGACGCGACTGTGCTAACATCACCTATGAGCCCCATGTCCACATCTGCAGTTTCACAGCAAACAACATCTGAGACATCGTCTATTTCTGTGTCACAAAGCGATGCTGCTTCTACCGAGCTATATTCATCTCAAACAGCCGTGACATCTGACATATCTGATCAAACATCTCCAGAATCACAGTATACAGGATCACCACTCTCTAGTTCTCCTGTGTCATCTGTCACTGATATCACATCTCCAGAATCACAGTTCACAGGATCAGCACTGTCTAGTTCTTCTCGGTCATCTGCGACTGATATCACATCTCCAGAATCACAGTACACAGGATCACCTCTGTCTAGTTCTCCTGTGTCATCTATCACTGATATCACATCCCCAGAATCACAGTACACAGAATCAGCACCGACTAGTTCTGCTGTATCATCTATCACTGATATCACATCCCCAGAATCACAGTACACAGGATCACCAGTGTCTAGTTCTCCTGCGTCATCTGTCACTGATATCACATCTTCAGAATCACAGTGCACAGGATCACCTCTGTCTAGTTCTTCTGTGTCATCTGTGACTGACATAAAATCTCCAGAATCACAGTACACAGCATCACCAATGTCTAGTTCTCCTGTGTCATCTATCACTGATATCACATCTCCAGAATCACAGTTCACAGGATCACCAGTGTCTATTTCTTCTGTGACATCTGTGACTGATATCACATCTCCAGAATCACAGGACACAGAATCACCAGTGTCTAGTTCTCCTGTGTCATCTGTCACTGATATCACATCTCCAGAATCACATTTCACAGGATCACCTCTGTCTAGTTCTTCTGTGACATCTGTGACTGATATCACATCTCCAGAATCACAGTACACAGAATCACCAGTGTCTAGTTCTCCTGTGTCATCTGTCACTGATATCACATCTCCAGAATCACAGCACACAGGATCACCGCTGTCTGATTCTCCTGTACCAGATGTGTCAGCTGCTTCGACTGTACTAACATCATCACGTCTGAGTCTCTTCTCCACATCTCCTGTGTCACAACAAACAACCTCTGAGACATCATCTGTTTCTGTGTCCCCAAGTGACTCTGCTTCTACTGAGCTATATTCAGATCAAACATCTGACTCATCTGAACAAACATCAGAACCAACTTCACCAGAATCATGGCATACAACACTCTCATCATCATCATCTACACCAAGTGGCCCATCATCACCTGGGGGTTCTTCTGTATCATCCGTATCTTCTTCTGTGGCTTCTGCATCTGCTCTGTCTCTTGAAACAAGTCAACCTCTTGTGTCATCTGTTTCCTCTATCACTTCTCCAAAATCACAGTACACAGGATCACCTCTGTCTAGTTCTCCTGTTTCATCTTCGACTGATATCACATCTCCAGAATCACAGTACACAGAATCCTCACCAACTAGTTCTCCTGTGTCATCTGTGACCGATACCACATCTCCAGAATCACAGTACACAGGATCACCACTGTCTAGTTCACCTCTACCAACCGTGACTGATCTCACATCACCAGTGTCCCAGCAGACAGAGACAATGACTGCAAGTGTTCCTGTACCAACAGTTACTGCTGCTTCTGGCGCAACTGTGCTAACATCACCTATGAGCCCCATGTCCACATCTGCAGTGTCACAGCAAACAACATCTGAAACATCGTCTGTTTCTGCGTCATCAAGCGATTATGCTTCTACCGAGCTATATTCATCTCAAACAGCCGTGACATCTGACATATCTGATCAAACATCTCCAGAATCACTGCCGTTCACCGACTTGTCATTTGCGTCAAGCGCGTCTCCATCAGCTGTGACATCGCAAGAGTCACAACAGACTGAATCGTTCACTTCTGGGTTTTCTGTCTCAACTGTGACAGCTGCTTCTAGGATAACTCCGCTACCTATGAGCCCCGTGTCTACATCCCCCGTTTCTCGATTGTCATCGACACATGCAGCGTCTGCGTCACCAGGTGCTTCTCTTTCCACGGAGATATTTTCACCTCAAACCTTCACGGCATCCGAATCGTCTGACCAAACTTTGGGACCAACTTCATTCACTTCGACACATCCAGAATCGCGGCAAACAACACCGTCCTCCTCAGTACCCAGTGGCTCACCATCGGCTCAATATTCCTCAATGCCACCTGCATCGGCTTCATCATCGGAATCCATGGCTTCTACATCTGCTTCTTCACGCACAACATCCACTTTTACGTCTGAGCAGTCAAGTCACCTCACGCGCACGGAGGAAGCGACTCCCTCTGATTCTCTTGCATCAACATCTCCGAAATCTCAAGAAACAACGCCACCGTTGGCATCATCAGCATCGCCTAGTGCGGCTTCCTCAAGGCCGTCGCAGGCCGTCGCGTCTTCAGCTTCACTCCCGACCGCGACGTTCTCGTCCATCCCCACGTTAACGACCGTCGCCTTGACCACAGCTGCCGAGTCTCGGGCCTCCGAAGCCCCGGCGACGCTGAACGAGACGATGGTCGCCAGGGCGGCCCCCGATCCTCGCTTCTCCGACTCCCCCGACGAGCAGACGTTCAGCCTCAGGTTCAAAGTTCTCAACAAGGAGTTTGTCCCGGAGCTTAGCGATCGGAACTCGGGCGAGTTCCGACAACTATCGAGCGATTTGAATCAGGAGGTATGGAACATTGAGTTACTCGGAATGAATGTTTGTTGCACATGCATTTACAGATGAAGGCCGTTGTTCATCTTTTGCAGTTGCGCAGCTATTACGGAGTGTGCAGGCGGTGCAACTGCACCAGGCCCCATGAGCCAGAGGGGCCCAGGTACCGGGGCCACGAAAGTGAAAAATTGGTTCAGGGCGGCCACCATTTCATTCCGTGCACCAGGGGCCCCGTGCCAACCTCGCTGTAAAAACAGCGTATCGTGTTGAAGGATGAATCCTACATTTTACCTTTTAGCTACAGTATGTCTCGGCCAACAATAATCAATAGCAACACAGACCTTTTTAGGAGGGCGGTCCTAGCGTTGGGATGTTTGGCCAAGCCCTGAATGATTATGAAAAAGAAGAATAAGAAAAAGAAGAATAGTTGATGTTTTACTTACGTGACTTAACCGAAAAACCTAAGAATATGAATCTTTGCAGTCACGAAAGCTTCAAATCTAGAAGAAGAATAGGGTTTACCCTTTCTGGCAATAAAACAGGTGTTAAGATGTTCAAACGCCAAATATATACCTTGTGCAAGGAATCAAGTGTATAATAACCACAGCTACTTGTGGTGAACATACAAGGGTAAAACCTATGCTTATTTTTAATACTTTGATACTGGCAAAAAGTTCCCATGATATACCCTGAAAGAATGTTTCACATGCGGGAGTACGCTAACATAACCATAACAGTTGCATGCGCACAAGGGGATAACGGTGGAAAGCAGTGATCACGCTTACTGTACTGCCGGCTCCTGATCACTCATCGAATGGTAATCTTCATGAGCCCCAATTCACCCAGACTCAAACAACAGTGAAGTGCAGAAAAGTGGTGCCAGGCTACCTAATTGTTGTCCTCCCAGAACGCTTTTTGCAAACTTACACAAGGAAAAAAGTGCGTATGTACGTTGAACTTCTTTCGCACCGCACGTAGCCAGCCGTGCTAATTGTAGGTGCCTGTTTAATTATGCATCTTTGATGTGTGAAATCTTAATTGACATCCTGTGCATATAATGTCTTAGAAAATACTGTGCAGTATATCATTTAAACTAGTTTGATCGAGTTATTTTAAACATTTATCAACATTATTCATGGATGTATATCATCATGATAAAATGGCCAATCCAGCAGTGGGTTAACCATGGCTGATGTTGAACCAGTTACCTTTATATCTAGATTTTACTGAACTACTGGAATGGCATGTGAGCTGTAATTGTGTGTGCCTGTTATATTGCATTCCACAGGTGAAATCCATTTACAAAAGCGGTCCACTATCGAAATACTTCAAGCGGAGCAGGATGCATTCGTTCAGGTGAGACTTCACCTTACATTCTCTCGCTCCCGAAGTTTGCTCAGTAGCAAGCGACAATCAGGTCAAGTCAAAGAAGCCATCACGGCCAGTGTCACTGGTGCCGTTTCACGTGGTTGTCTTTTTTTTGCTCTCATTTATATTTTGCTTAATTGCTGTACCTTTACATTCCTGCTTTTGTCCCCAGGTCACTGTTGCATCCTGGTCTCTTGAGTCCTCGCTTGGTTGAACAAAATCAACTTGATTAATCCCTGCCTCACACACACATGTCTCTTACAATACAATTGACCGTTCTGCTTGTCGTACGGCTTCTGATGTAGATGCAGTGCAACAACTTACAATTTCACATTCAGGTTATCAAGCCATATCCATACGGAAGAAGAAGAATTGACCGTTACACTCCTTTAAAGTGGTTTATGTAGCCTGCGGTGCGTCTGTCGCTTACCATCGGAGTTGACCATCTCTGCTTTTCCAAACACATAGTTAAATCCGAAACCAACTATTAAGGCTTTGGCTCGCATCGTGATTGTCATTTACACGTATAGCCTTGTTTTTTTTGTTCCGTAGGGAAGGCTCGGTGGACTGCCACGGAACCCTGAAGTTTAAAAGGCCAAAAGACAAAGACATCCTGGCAGAAGAAGTTCACGAGGAATTCCTTGATGGCACAAACGGAGGAAATGAATTGGGGGCATTCGTTCTTGCCTGTGGCAGCAACTCTGTGGATGGTGGGTATGACGGATGTCTTCCTGGTTTTCCAATTAATCCGAAACATCTGAATATTGGGCCTACTTACAAAGATTTGTACGATCCAGATTTGTTTTTGGCGTTGTTTCAGATTGGTCTGAAAACGCGATATTGTAGGAAATGACATCGCCCCTATCCCATCGCTTCTGCTCCTTTCCCAGCAAAGTGCCGTTACGTGACGTAACTGTGACGACGTGTGAAATAACTATTAAATATATATAACAGGATTGAAATATAGAAAGCTTTACATTATAATTACAGGTTGTATTGATTTTACACACTTTGTATTCAAATGTTAATACTTAGAATTACTAAAATTATTACATTTCTTTTTGTAATTCATGGGAATTATAAGCAGTATATACATTTAAATTCGACAATATTAAAATACAAGAACAAATGAGACATTGGTCCTGAATATCAGATCATCCGATATCTTGAAATATTTGACCTGAAACCCACCCTGTGTAGGTGGAGTGTGTACGGATTTTAATAATCAATAAGATCGCTGGCATTGTCGATATACAGCATAAAGAAAATGTGTAACAACCATTTTCCCATAACGGTGAAAGGCCATTAGCTTTTTGAAATACCTAAATTTGATTTATCTCAGTAAAAGGCCCTTTGGGGTGGAGTTTATTTTACTTAAATTATTTGCCTGCTATAAATGTCCACTATTATGTGTGGCCAGATCACTTCTTTAAAAGAGCTACATAGCTCAGTGGGCCTTACCTGGTAAAATAAAAAAATTGTTTGGTTTTTAATAGATTGTAATTTTTTTGTGATTTGCTTCCCTTTCTTATACTTTGCACTCCTATCATGTTTTTGAACTTGTTTGTTGTAACATTCTGACCTGCCCCGACTGGACATGTGAAAATGAGCTTAATAGCTCATCGGATTCCTCCAGTATGAGTAAAAATTCAGATTTTGACCAATTTGGCAACCCGAGTTCGATTCCCGACCATGGTTAATTTTAGTGGCGTATGATATCTGAACCAGTCCTGGGCCCCCCTTCTCCGAGTCGTACTGAAGTATGGTCCGTGAGGGATGGTGACGTCAATTGAGAGCCCTTCATTCAGTAGTGGCTGATGATGATGAAGTTATTATCGAGCTGTTTATTATTCATATTTGCTGGTTTTCTCATTTTCAGACATACATCAGGATGGTGACAAATGTCAGCTCACGACACCGTACACATACACGACCACCTCCTCCAGCGAAGCGAGTGAATCCGAGCAAAGCCATTCGCCTACCACCACTGCTGATACCTCCACTCTGCTCGAGTCGGTACCAACGGGGATGTCACGTATCGCCCCTGTGACAACTGTGACGACTGTTTCCAAGACATCCGCACCGACTGCGACTTTGACATCACCAGTCATCATCGTCATTGTCATCGTCAGCTGAGACTGCTGAGTCTACATCTCCGGTATCACAACAGAAAACATCTGGAGCAGCATCTGTGTCCGTATCGCTGAGTGATTCGGCTTCTACTGAGCAAATTTCAACACTGACTACCAATGCAATATCAGCATCATCTCCATACGAATCCACATCTCCAGAATCCTGGCAAACAACACCATCTTGGACATCGATGGACTCTTCTGTATCATCTCCATCTGCTTCATCTTCCGTGTCTGTGGCTTCTACATCTCCTGTGTCTGAGGGCTCAAGTCTACCTCCAGCATCATCAGTTTCATCTGTCACATCTCCACAGTCACAGCACACAGGATCACCACTGTCTAGTTCTCCTGTATCAACTGCAACTGATTTCAGTTCTCCAGTGTCTCAACAGACTGAAACGTTTGCTTCGAGTCTTCATGTTGAAACTGTGGCAGCCACTTCTCGCGTAACTGTCCTAACATCATCGCCTATGAGCCCCATATCTGCTGCGTCTCAAGCCCCAAGTCAATCTCCTGTATCATCGTTTTCATCTCTCACATCTCCAGAATCAGAGTACACGGGGTCATCGTTACCAAGTGTTCCCATATCAACTGTGACCAATTTAACAACGTCACCTCTGAGTCCCTTGTCCACATCTCCTGTGTCACAACAAACGTCTGAGGCATCGTCTGTTCCCGTGTCACCAAGTGATTTTGCTTTTACTCGACTCCATTCGGCTCAAACATCTGACTCGTCTGAACAAACATCAGGACCAACTTTACCAGCGTCATGGCAAACGACAGCATCTTCATCAGCACCAAGTGGCCCATCATCGACCATGGTCTCCTCTGTATCGTCTTCCTTTGAGTCAACTCCGGTGTCTGAGGCTTCTACATCTGCTGCGTCTGAAGGCCCAAGTCAATCTCCGGTGCCATCAATTTCATTCAATGAAACTGCCACGTCTCCAGAATCGCCGTTGACCGACTTCTCATTTTCACCAAGTGCCCCTCTATCAGCTGCTACTGATGCCACTTCTGCAGTATCTCAACATACAGAAACGTTAATTTCAAGTGTTCCTTTGTCAACTGTGACGGCCGCTTCCAAAATAACTTCACTGACGTTTACGCAGCAAAGCGCATCCATAAGTCCCGTGCCTACATCTCCTGTTTCCCAATTATCAACAATACCAGCAACATATGTGTCGCCGAGTGGCTCTGCTTCTACCGAGCTATATTCTTCTACTAAGCTGTTTCCAACTGTCACGATGTCTGAATCATCTGACCTAACATCAGCATCATCTGAATCCACATTTACAGAATCGTGGCAAACAACGCCATCATCATCAGAACCAACTGGATCATGGATGACTACGGACTATTCTTTATCACCGGATTTATCTCCAGTGTTCGTGGCTTCTACATCTCCTGTGTCTAAGGGCTCAAGTCAATCTCCAGCGTCATCCCTTTCAGTCGTCACATCTCCAGAATCACAGCACACAGTATCAACTCTGTCTAGTTCACCTGTACCAACCGTGACTGATCTCACATCACCAGTGACCAGGCAGACAGAGACAATGGCTTCAAGTGTTCCTGTACCAACTGTGACAGCTGCTTCTAGTGCGACTGTGCTCACATCTTCACCGATGAGCCCCATGTTCACATCTGCAGTGTCACAGCAAACAGCATCTGAGGCATCGTCTGTTTTGTGTCACAAAGCGATGCTGCTTCTACCGAGCTATATTCATCTCAAACAGCCGTGACATCTGACATATCTGATCAAACATCTCCAGAATCACAGTATACAGGATCACCACTCTCTAGTTCTCCTGTGTCATCTGTCACTGATATCACATCTCCAGAATCACAGTTCACAGGATCAGCACTGTCTAGTTCTTCTCGGTCATCTGCGACTGATATCACATCTCCAGAATCACAGTACACAGGATCACCTCTGTCTAGTTCTCCTGTGTCATCTATCACTGATATCACATCCCCAGAATCACAGTACACAGAATCAGCACCGACTAGTTCTGCTGTATCATCTATCACTGATATCACATCCCCAGAATCACAGTACACAGGATCACCAGTGTCTAGTTCTCCTGCGTCATCTGTCACTGATATTACATCTTCAGATTCACAGTACACAGGATCACCTCTGTCTAGTTCTTCTGTGTCATCTGTGTCTGACATCACATCTTCAGAATTACAGTACACAGAATCACCAATGTCTAGTTCTCCTGCATCATCTGTCACTGATATCACATCTTCAGAATCACAGTACACAGGATCACCTCTGTCTAGTTCTTCTGTGACATCTGTGACTGATATCACATCTCCAGACTCACAGCACACAGGATCACCGCTGTCTGATTCTCCTGTACCAGATGTGGCAGCTGCTTCGACTGTACTAACATCATCACCTCTGAGTCTCTTCTCCACATCTCCTGTGTCACAACAAACAACCTCTGAGGCATCTGTTTCTGTGTCCCCAAGTGACACTGCTTCTACCGACCTATATTCAGATCAAACATCTGATTCATCTGACCAAACATCAGGACAAACTTCACCAGAATCATGGAAAACACTGCACCCAGGGTCACCCATGTCTACTTCTCCTGTATCAACCGTGACTGATCTCACATCACGGGAGTCCCAGCAGACAGATACGTTGGCTTCCACTGCACCGATCACATCGGTCACGGCCGTTTCTGATTTGCCTCCGTGGATTGTGGTGTCATCCGCTACCTCGCCTGATGGCACCCTACCGACTAGTGCCGAGTCACAACCAACGTCGGAAGTCTGGGGCAGCCTCGACCGCAGTTTCATCAGTGACGGCGCCAACTCCAGCAGCGCACACCGACAATTGCACGGCCGAGTCGTCAACATTCCTGGATGCGACCTCTCCATCAGTATCTTTAGAATCCCTGCACACAGCAGTAACGGTTGGTTCATCGGCGTCGACAGACATCGGATTTACATCGACCGGCCACTCCTCGGCGACCACGGTATTTTCGTCATCGTCAGCTGCGGGGTTCATTCCTGTGCCCGGTTTTTCTCCCAGTGAGCAGCCGATGTCAGCGTCATCACCATCATCATCCTCACCGGAAGCAACGTCCTTCGGAACTTCTGAGCAGACCATTGTCGTGTCCCCACTTACACTGGGAACGTTTCCCACTTCGCCGGAGCCGCCAAAGTCAACGGCGTCCACCGATTCATCGCCGCAGATCCCTGCGGAACGTGGCGACATGTCGACAGAGCAACCGTTGACTCCGAGAGTGATGCCTTCTGATGAGGCACACACACCTTCCGTCGATGCCTCATCGTTCGCGTCACAGGCCACACCATCATCTCCGACGCAACCATCGTCGCGTTCAACTGATTACACGACTTCCGCATGGGTGTCAGGGTCTTCGCCTCTTCACAATGCATCAGCATTGCCTCCGCTTCGAGATTCCAAAGTCTCTCCAGGCGCGGACACCAGTTCGTCGGGGACACCTGCACGCACGGCGAGCGACTCTTCTTCTACCGGTCACACCTCTGCAGCGACGGATTCACCGACCAGTTCTGTGCCGCCTACATCAGAATCGGCACCACCAAGGCTGCCGCCGCCACCGCCGCCGAAAGCGTCGACAGCCGACCCAACACCGACAGCGACGCACCCTCACACGTCTCCCGATTCGTCGGCGCACTCCACCGCCCACACGACGCTGGCGCCAGACGCGTCGTCGACTACCGGCGACACCTCGACGCTTTCGGAGATGGCGCCGGCCAACTTGACGGCAATCTTTGCACCCGGCGATCGTGCGGAGCCGGACAGGGCGGGCCCAACAGACGGCGAGACCACCGCGAGCACGCCAGCGGCGTCCACGACCTCCAGGCCGAGGAAGAGAAAGCCGGGCGGCAGGATGTTTACGCCGGCGGGCAACGGGACGTCGGCTCCGGCGACGGGGCCCACGGGCGCGACCACGCAGGGGGAGCACGTGGCCACGACATCGTACCTCACCACCACGGGGGCTCCTCCGTTCTCTCCGACTCCGGCGGACGAACCGACGCCCCAAGAGTTTGTGCCGATCTACAATTTCCTGCTGTCGAGCGAGGCGCCGCTCGGCAGCGACCTGGACGACGAAACATTGAGGAATTTTACGGCGCGCATTCTGCAAGAGGTGGGTGCGACAATTGTTTGCTGCCGCATTGTAGTGTTGTAACTGTGTATGTATGTATATGTAAAAAAACTATGTATGTCAACATTTGTATATAAACTACGTATGTAAAAAAATAAAATATGGTCAAATCCATTGTCAGTTTGACACACGTTGAATTGTCTAGAGCAGGGGTCGTCAACCTGCGGCTCCAGAGCCGCATGCGGCTCTTTAAGGACTACTTTGTCACGTTATTTGTTAAGGACCGCCATCTTGTATTCACCACAGTGCATTGCGGCTCTTGATATATTGAGTTTTAGAGCAATTTAACCACGACATTGTGACCTTATTAACTGAGAAAGGAATGGAGCAGCCATAGTGGAGTAATGCTAAGCACCACACTGGACCTCCAATCCAGAGGTCGCCGGTTTGATTCCATCTCCCGGCGTGGCAGTTAAGACAAATGGGATACGTTTCTTAAATCGGTGCATTCGTCACTAAATTCCACTGGAAGAAGCTACCGGTTTCTGACTTTCAAGAACATTTTTGAGACAAACAAAGACAAAGATCCCTGTATATCCTTAACCGACTTTTGGGGCAAGTGCTATAAGCAGTCACCTGTGAAGGCCAGCATGACGAACGAGGAGGTGGGTGGCCAGCACCACACCCGGCCGCCGAGGACCGGTTCTGATAATCGTCACTGGTGTTGGCCATGAACCTGAATCGAACTCGGGTCGCCGGGTTCGTAGTGCTACACTCGGTAGCGTGCCGTTGTTAAGTAGATTATTTCTTCTCGGGACCATGGGAGATGGGGCTAACTTGGGGAAGACGTTCATCCAGCAGCAGACAGATCGTAACTGACAATGATGGTGCACTGCAAGCGTCAGTCAATGCTCTTACGCGGATTTATGTTTCAGGTAACTCAGCTCATGAACAACACGGACCTTGAGAAGTATTCGCACAACATGGATGTCTTCATAAGGTAGAAGCAACTCTGCAAAGACTCACAAGACACCAGATGCAATGACAATCACACCGTAGTATGAATATTATTATGATTGAGTGGCAGGGTGGCACATTGCACTGGCGGAGCCAGTGGGGCGGGGGGGGGGGGGAGGGTGGCACATGCCCCCCCAATGATCCGATCGAAATCCCTAATTTCGATCGGATCATTGGGGTTTATTAGTAATAAATCGGCATTTTGCCACCCCCACTGCCACTGTGTCGCATATTATTACGTGCCAGGGACTCTATGAGATGATAGGACAATAGTGTGAGTCCATAATTGGCAATAAGTAACAGAAACGCAGTTATAAGTGACTCACAGAATTGTGCGCAGTTGCGTCGACAGTACACGACTTCCCTGAAGGCATTCACCTTCAGTGAGCGCGATGACGATCACACAACGCGGTTCGAATTCGACTCTCGGTCGATGGCCATGCCATCGCCGCACACGCGTCGAATAAAAAGCAAGGGACAAGTCCTTACTTACTAACAACTCCTTTAATTTTTCATTGCTGGATGGGTTGCCCCCCCCTACTTGAAAATCCTGGATCCGCCATTGGCGCAAGTGATAACCCTTATGCCTCGTAGCAAGAAGAACCTGGGTTAGATTACTGAAGCGGGTGTCTTTCTGTGTTGTGGAGTTTGTACATTCTCCCACGGTTCTGCAGCCAAAACTTGTGGTGTCATTGGTGTTGGCCAAACAATCGCAATTGCAGATCCCTCCTGACTCGGTGTGGCTTCCCTGGGTGAATGAGAAAAGGTAAAATACGGCATTGTCAATCCATTACTAGATGAAGGCTTCCGCCATGCCACTTCAGTCACGCGGCTGCTTGACCATACTTCACCACGCAGGTCATTGGGGGCTGCTGGCAAATATCCGTGCTCTTATTATACACCGAGAATCCCACCGCGCGAATTGCAAATAAATACAAGCAAACGTGAAAATATCCTGCTTATTTCTCAGTTGCACAAATGTGAACGTCCATTGTCACGTGCGCTTCCCCCTTTTTGTGTTTATTTCCTCAAACAGAAATGTCTCGAATGAAACCTACTGCGTGACCATCGGGTAAGTGACGCGGTGCACTTCTTAAGCGCTGGTTCGTCTAGAGGAAATTCGTGCAAGCTCAGGCGACCGGGTGGCCGAGAGGTCAGAGCGTTGTTGAGTCGGCACTGCTGAGATCCAGAAGCTCGATTAAAATGGTTGAGCCACCCATGATGTTAGCCAGCTTCTCAAGCTTCGTGATTTTGTGGTCTCAGCCCATTTTGCTGGTCGACTGCGCAAAAAAAAACATCAATAAATTTGATGTTCCACTTATTTGGCTAAATTCCAGCTCAGCGAATTGAAAATGTGTACGTAAGGGTTAGACTGTCACGTGACAAAAGCTCTCGCAGCAGAGTGCATGGGCGATCGTGTGAGTTAAATGCCAATGTGTGTTTTACACCTTCCTCCACCCGACGCAGCCAAACAGATTAAGTTGTCAGGTAAACAATCGTTCCAATGTATCATTGCGTCAGCACACCAGCACCTATATGGTGGAGAGCAATCCACACACGTGTAACAACTGAGTATGGACATTATGCTGGTAGTTGCATCCAGCGTCATCAGACCATTGTCAGGATTGAACTCCTGCAGTGGACAATGAACTTCATCGTTGAGAGCCACTTGACTGAATGATTTTTTGGTAAAGGTCCTCTGAAATATCTCTTCTATAACCATTGCTTGACACATGGGGGGGGGGGGGTTAAACTGTTCTGCGATATTTATAAATGAATTCTGCATCTAATTACATGACACCAAGAGTACAATTGGACTCAATTGAAGGAATTCGTAGGTCGGTCAAAGTCAAGATGTCATCGTAGCAAATGCTGTTGATGCCGTCCCAAACAAGTTGGTGGGGTTTTGTTTTGTTTTTTACACTCGGTGAAACCTTAAGAGACCAGGATAGTCGAATTGTCAAGAGTGGGCTGGGTTACAGACATTCTAAACGCAAAACGAAAGGAAAAAGGAGAAGAAAAATAAAGTATCGAAGCAATGGCGCGAGATAGAAATGAGAATTTAAAAAAACTGGCTCGAAAATATTGCACGAAAAATTAATCAAGGTTAAATATTAAATTCCATGTAGCGTAAGTCACTAAAACTTTCCGTTACGAAAACCCACTGCTACCAAAATAAACCTCTTGACCTTATCACAGACACAGAGCATTGTGTTACTGTGCAGCCCTGTCTGCATTCACTGCTGGATGAAGGCCTCTAGGTCACGGAAATTATTTGAACATACTTATGTAATAAAGGTCGTGGAAGCGACTTCTGGAATCCGGTCTTTATTTGTCTTTTGTTCACAACACTCCTATCTTACTCCTTCACGCTGCTGACAGACAGCGTGAGAGGGAGAGAGAGAGACACGCGCGGCCACGTGGCAGCCTGGGCCCCGCTCCAGCGTGGCCTCACCCTCCGTTCGTTCCAGATCTGACCACGTGTTGTCCGTCTCCACCCCTTTTAATACCCGGGTCACGTAGTACCTTTCCACCAATCCTGGTTAACCTCTATAAAATCTTCTAGACTCCATCGTACGTTCCTAGGACCACGCCCCTGACTCGTCCCCCCATTGGCTGTGGCTAAAGCCAGCAGATCCAATCCTCTACTTACAGATGTCACCTTCCCATTACGTCAGGGTCATGCCCCTAGACTTCCCCCCATTGGCTATGGGCCAGGACCGGTAGAGCCAATCATCGTAACGAGGTGTGATCCATCAGCAACCCGGATATATCCTCACATTACACTTACAATGCTGCTCAGTGCCGATTGATGAAGGTATAGAACATTTGGGAGTATGTATGTTGAACTTCTTTCGCACTGTACGTAGCCAATCATGCTAGTTGGAGGTACGGGGGAAGGTCAACAAAATAACACAGAAAAGCAGTTCTAAAGAAATTAGTTTTCAACATAGATGATTTAAAAGTGCAAAGCTCCAGTGGCTTCCTAATATTGGAAGGACGGCCATAGAAGCACATCTGAAAGCATACGATGGGGTGACCGTCTCTGTTCGATGGCCAGCCAAAAGCCCCTGCTGCGAGGATGACCAGAGGTCACGTGATGATGGTTTAAGCTCCTTGACAAAGGAGCTTAAACCATCGAGGATGACCAGAAGTACAGCACAGGAACGGATTTCACCGCACTGCTCTCTGCCGCGTGCCACCACATAGTCCCCGCAAGTCCCACGTTGACCTATTTTCCAAGCGCTCTGCAGACCAGGAGCAATCGTTAACACACTCGCTCAAATTTTGCCTTCACAGGTTTACGAACGGGACCACGGTGGAGGAGTTCTTCCGGAACAACACGGAGTACGCGTTCGAGACGGTGCTCTCGCGTCACGACCTCAACTCGACCTCCGTGCTGTCCGGGTGGCAGCCGACCAACGTGTCGTGCATCGAACCCGGTGAGGCGGAGTGTTCCCTCGGGAGCTCTGGCCCAGCGGCTACGGCGTCGGAGCGCTGAGCCCGGCACCGCTGAGAGCATGGATTTGAATCCTGAGTACTGTATTAGCCACCGCCACCTGTGATTAATTCGGGTTCTCGAATGTAGCAAGTCGATGGTCGTGTGCAGTGAGATGACTGAACATGGCTACATTCCTGATCTGGGAATTAAAATCTCAGTTTGATTATCACGTGATGACACATGCCAATCTCATAACAGAGTGTGTGTGTGAATGTGCACGGTAGTGGAGAGTGGTAGTGCAGCGGCTAACGTGCTGCGCCACAAACTTGGCGACCGGAGTTCCAACGATTATCTGAAACGGTCCTGGGCCTCCCCCTAGGTTAACTCAGCCTCAAACGAGTTCCTGGCGTGGTGTGTTTATAAACTGCTACTAGGGAGACAAAGGCGGCCAGTAGCCACCCACCGCTCGTGTGTTGTGCTGGCCTTCATAGGTGCTCGTTAACAGCAGCTTCTATAAACGTCTGTAAAGGCTATACGGGGGATCTTTGTCTTTGTTTGAAAGTACGCCCCATATTGTAAAGGGGTTTACAAAATAATGTATGTCAAACTTTGTTATGCTGCCACACCAGGTGGCAATCCTCGGCGAGATTTCCGAATGATTCGTCATCCCATCCATGATATCTAGTGGTCCAATTGGAATCATTGGGGGAAAAGTTAATATATATACTAGCAGGAAGTACCCGCCGTTGCCGGGATCTTAAAAATATTTCAAAACTACTCTTAAAATCTAACAGCAGTGCATACTGTGGTGCTACCTGCTATAGTTACAGCAGTGCATACCGACTGTGGTGGTACTTGCTATGATTACAGCAGTGCATACTGACTGTGGTGGTACTTGCTATGATTACAGCAGTGCATACCGACTGTGGTGGTACTTGCTATGATTACAGCAGTGCATACTGACTATGGTGGCACTTGCTATGATTACAGCAGTGCATACCGACTGTGGTGGTACCTGCTATCACTACAGTAGTACATGCTGACTCTATAGCAGTATTTATCGACTGTATAGTACAAAGTACTCACCTGAAAGAGAGGCGTGGTGAGGCCTAGTTCCGTGCAGAGCCTCCGGCCTCGCCTAGATTATCCAGCCGACCGAGGTGGCACCTTGGCAGGCTGGAGCTGGGCTGCTACCCCTAAGCCCCCCCCACCCCCAGCCACAATCTCCAAGGCCGCTCAGGAGTAATATGTACGGCCTATAGTGGTAGCATCTAGCGACTGTATAGTAGTAATAACTGCACGCATCGGGGTGTGGGGGACATCACACAGTGAATAATTAACGTCAGTATTTAATGTATTTCTAAAGCATTTTTAACGCGAAATAAAATGTCCCGCTCACTCCCACCGAAGGCGTGCGACTTGGCATGGGCCGTCCCCCCCACCAAAGGCGCGTGAGTTGGTATGGTCGTGCACGTGTCATAAATAAATAAATAAAAGGGAAGCGCACATTCGTACTAAATCGCTAATTTTACTCATTTTAAGTTGACGGATGTGAAGAAGGAATAGCGCTTGCTCACCGCGGGTTTTACGGCGTGGTTCCTGGCTATTTCTTTTTTAACGTAAACCCACACACACACAAGTTTTGACTTTTATATATATAGAAGAAGAAGAAGATACACATTTTATATATATATACACAAAATACATGTAATTAATAAATCTACCAATGTCGACACATCGTCACAACCTTACCATAACTTCCTTGGTCGAGGGACACGACGCACCGATCAGGCACTGGGAATAAAATTGGAACAAGATCGACAAAGGAAGATAAAGATGAAGTCGAGGCATTGCTTGGCACGGCCGACCGCTGATGAGCTGAAACGGGAGTCGTGCGGGAAGACCTCCGATCGAGGACACACGACCGTACGACCATGACGATTGTACGTACGGCGTGAATATTGAAATTTGTTCGCACCGTACGTAGCCGACCGCGCTAAACGGAGGTGTGGGGGAAGCACAACAAACTAGAAACAAGAAGCAGTTCTAAATAAATGAGTTTGTGAATCGAGATGATTTAAAAGTTCATAGCTCCAGTGGCTTCCTCATATCGGATGAAAGAGCTTTCCAGATGGTCGCAGGAGCACATCTGAAAGGGCGTGATACGGTGAGCGTCTCGGAGGCTTTCGATCGCTCGATGTGTCGGTGACACGGGACGGACTAACTACCGAGTACCGTATTGACACGGACGTGGGTTGTGACCACCGGCGTGAACTCCTAACCTCCCCCGCCTCTCTCGGCAGGAGTGATGCTGAAAGACGTGGAGGTTTTGGGCGGGTCGGTTATCTGGCCCGTGCTCATCACCCTGCTGAGTCTGCTCGCGCTCGTCCTCCTGATCCTCCTCATCTGCCTCATCCTGGTCAGTGGCGCTCAGGGCCGTGCGTACTGGTTCCCGTAGACTTCAATGTTAAATCCTCCCATAGACTTCAATGTTAAATCCTCCCATATACTTCAATGTTAAATCCTCCCATAGACTTCAATGTTAAATCCTCCCATAGACTTCAATGTTAAATCCTCCCATAGACCTCAATATTAAATTCTCCCATAGACTTCAATGTTAAGTCCTCCCATAGACTTCAATGTTCAATCCTCCCATAGACATCAATGTTAAATCCTCCCATAGACTTCAATGTTAAATCCTCCCATAGACTTCAATGTTAAATCCTCCCATAGACTTCAATGTTAAGGGCTCCCATAGACTTCAGTGTGGTAGGGGAGCGTCCGCCCGTGGTGCAGGGACACGTGGCGCACCACGAACAGTTTGCCGGCTACCATCGCACAACAACGACAATGCTAACGCCACGGCATCACCATTATCACAACCGCCCGCACCATTACCACCACGACACCACCAAAAACAACCACCACCGCATCAACGTGACCAACATTACCACCCTTTTATTCTGTGCGCCCTCTGCGTTTACATTTTTCGCACGACAAGTCAAACTGTCGCTGTGATTCTTAGAGCTGAAACATTTTCCATATCAAGCATCAACACCAAACTTTTTGTGCAGTTTTTGGCTTCCTGAGTCGAGACCATCGACGCACTCGCTCTGTTTACGAGCCCACTTTAACCAGAGGGCAGCTGCCTAGACCCAAACCCCAAGTTCCCAGCGGTACCGGATGCTCGTGTTTGCGTGCTGCATGAATCTGTGACCGTGCGTGCGGGTCGACGCTCAGGCTCGGCGACGCAAGCTCAAGTACAGCGTGGACGAGGTGGGCATCTCGTACCGCACGCACGACCTGCGCCCATGGAGCATTGGTGGCATCCCGCACGTGCTCTACGAGACTGCCATGGAGGCGCCGCCCCCCTTCGACGCCGGCGATGCGCAGGTTCGCAATGCGGAGCCGGCGCTCGCCTGCCCGCCCGCCCACTCTCGAGCTCACGCGAGCAAGTTGGCACAACCGCCAGATGTATAATGAGAACAATAATACTAATAATAACGATAATAATGATGTTTTGCCGCGGCATCTGTGCGATTTGCACCACGGAAAACTGTAGAATTTGCTATGCGAATTTCCAAAAAATAATAATGGCCACTTTTGGCACACATCGTCATGCTCCGTTCACTGCTGGACGAAGGCACCCCCCCCCCACTCCCCCCCCCCTAATCTGCTACCATCTTTCACGGTCATGCGCACGAGCTGATTTCATCGCTCCATCTCTGCGGTGGACGTCCCCCTCGTTTGCGTAATTGCCTCCTTTTAGCTGCCACTGCAACGTTGGTCTCGTCCAGTGCCGGTCTTGTCCAGTGCCGATTCAAACATTACTCGCCACTGATGGCAGACGTAGCCAGGACATCATGTGACCGGGGTGACCGGGGTCACTGGGTTCACGGGGTCACCGGGTTCGCAGCGGAAGAGCCACCAGTCGTGGCCAATTCATCGTGGGTTGTGAACAGGACACAATCCCCCGCGGTGATCGGATTACTCATCGGCTGTTACTTTTGCAGGTGTCGTTGGCGGAGCCAGAGCAAGGCACAATCGACAAGAGCAAGTTAGTGGTGAGTCGACGAGTAACTCCTCCACATGCTCGCTAGAGAGAGGCCTTGTGCTTCAATTGAGCAACACCGTTAAATAGCATGGTCTACTGTACTGCTAAGTTTTTGTGTCCTAAATACGGAACGTGTGGCTCCATGTGCCAGGAGCCTCTTGAATTCAGTTCATGAGGAATCTAGAATTCAGTTCTTGAGGAGTGCGGCGAAACGTCGGACATCGTGCCGTTCAATTCCGCAACCTCCAATCTGCCACAGGTGCCCTCCTTCCGTGTCGAGCCCCACCATAGAACTATGGAATTTCCACCGCTGGCTCACGGACACTGACGGATACAAATGATGAACCACGTTCGTTATGAGAAGTAAAACACTTTCGACCTGACGTTTTGTTGAACTTTGACCCCATATTTTCTACGAGCTGTCAAACCAGTGAGGGTTCATTTGACATGTTGACGTCGGAAGGGGAGCCAAGTGGTTTTAGTTAACATGGCTGCTGAAAAATTGGCAGCCATTAGTGAATCGCTCTTGATGTGACCCCCAGGTATCGGTACGAAGTGACGTCTTGGCATGTACATCAGATATTTTGATCTGATTAGCTTGAACATGCCTCACACGGTCGTGCTCGAGTTAGGGCTGCAGGCTGCCCGTTATAAAGCAAACTCAGCAGAATTGTAGGGTCCCATTGTAGCTCAAGGGAATCATGGCACTAAAATAAATAGGGGCGCAGCGTATATCACCTTGAACTCATTTCTTCAGAACTGTGTTTAGTTTGTTGTCCTTCCACCGTATCTCTGATAAGCACGGTTGGCTACGTATGATGCGAAAGGTCAACATACATACATACTACCCTGCTTGCCTTCTTCCCTGTCTCTTGATTGCTCACCCGATCCCGTCTTGTGTTGCCTGAGATGCATCTAGTCATTAAACTAAAATTAAATAGTAAATATTTGACCAGGTAAGGCCCACTGAGCTATATAGCTCTGTTTCAGAAGCGACCTGGCCCCAAATGACAACTCAACGAAGTGGCTTATCGTGTGGCAATTTATGGCAGCCAAGTACTCTAAACGCGTGATATTGATTCTAAATGTGGAGGGGAAAACATGTAAACTCCAAATATACAGCAGGCGTCAAAGGGTCGTGATCGAACCCACGACCTCCTGTGTACCAGGCGAGGGCGTTAACATCTCGCCCCCGCGGCACTCCGTGGGTCACCCTCGTAAGGCCTGACAACAAACCAGACTCAGATCAGCAGCTCGGAGCCACAAAAAGGCGTGGCATAAATGTGTTATATTATTACTGATGCCAGGATGATAGAAGCTCACCGCTCCTTTTTGATGTGGCTGCTGGGTGGGCGGTGGGAGGGGGAGGGTCGGCTTGGCAGCACCTTCGTGACACTCATCTGTGGTTTGGCTTCCCCGGTGTCACCACGCCGGCTGTGCACACTGTCGGATTAACCACAACTGCAAAGGGGGCCACGAGTGCCAAAGGCCGAAGGCCTTCAAAGGGCCCTTTGTTCTCACGGGGAAACGAACCGCGCTCTCACGCATGGCCAGGGTACACGAACACCGTGACCAGGACAGTCGTAAACCCTAACGACCTCGTCCCTCGTGGGACGAGCGGCATCCTCGCCTGGTCATTAGCCCCAGGACTCCTTGATGTGTTCTAACACAAACAGGTTTGATACACTAGGGTAGAGGTGTGCTTAGTCGTTTTGCTTGATTTTTTTACACTTAAAGTGTGTGTTCCAATCGTGCCAGCGGGTGTAATATTTAGTTATTTACTCTTGCCAACAGTCGCGCCCGGAAAGTCGGCAAACGCTAGGCCTGCTGCGCACTGGTGGTTTGCAGAAATATTGTAATAACCTGGCATTCTTACATTCTATATTGGTGAAGAAAAACTAAAATAATGTAACTTTATCGATGCCGAGGCTCCCACAAGGGCATACGGGAGGGCGTGTGGCACAGTTTGGCGCCAGCTTTCACAAAATGCGGTCGTGTCGCTACGGTTCTCTGCGGTGAGTACAATGTCTTTAACAACAGTGGCACTACGCCTCTGCAACTTGCAGACGTCTCGCAACGGGAAATCCGTTAAACCCATACTGCTTGATATTATTTGTTCTGGAAAGCTCCTGACGACTGAGGTTCCACATGCTGTGCTTCTCTTCAGGTGTCCATATGAGCCTCTTGCCGGCCTGCGCCGGCGGGAGACCACCACGTCTTGCAGCGGTAGCAAGCGGGGCCATGTGGGAACGCCGTCAACGCAAAACGAGATCCACGGGCGGACGCAGTTCAGACTGAGGTGGACAACAACGAGGCTCACGTCACCACCTCCTTGAAGCCAGGGTCCACACCTGAAAGTGATCGGTTGGATGCAACCTGGTTGGATGCAACTGAATGGCTCAATCGGTGGCTTGCAGGAGAGACAGGCTCAACTTTCCAAGCGACCTGTTTGGCGATTTGCAGCGACGTACTTCATCGCGTGACACATTCACAAACTATTATTGGTTAACTTAAGGCGTTGGTTTTATTCTTGACTACCTGGAATTTTTTTTCTGAAATCCCGGATCCTGTCCTGACGACGTGTAACGTGGTTTCAAGCGAAACGTCATTTCTAATTGCTGAAGTTGGTTGTTAGAATTGTCCTTCAACTTAACCCGCGGTGAGCTGAAACGATAACCATTGGCGCGTCGTCAAATGCTCGTACACGTGCCAATTCAATTCGTTTTCGCAACCAAACGCGGCCTCACTCAAAACATTAATGACGATTGGTTGTTACGATCCTGACGTAGGTGAGGTGGGGGGGTAGCTAATCAGAAAAGGGGTGGGGCTATACTGTAAAGGGCATGGCCAGACACGCCCTTGCCGCACTCAACTACTTGCTCACATGTGGACAAAGCAGTTGCAGGCAATTTTCAAAAGCTACTTGGTTGGGCAATTGACCTCTCCGGTGTGGACCCGGCTAAACAGATGAGCGCTCAAAACACACCGTGCACATTTTACCACCTCGGGAAATAAAGCAAATTTAAAATGTTCAAAGGGAAATTTTGATTGAGACACAACAGTGCTGCACATCTGGGCCCTCGTTACGTTTACTCAAACACATTCCAGGGTAATATTTTAGGGGCTTGAATGTAACGCTCAGTAAGGTTAATAGCACAAGGCAATGTCATCATTTTCATGAGGCTTTTGGATTGTCGAAATTTGTTGATGTGCGCACAACTCTAATGGCGCCCATTCTGGACGATGTAGTTGCAACGTCGTCTGCAGCTCAACGTTGCGTATCCGTTGCATGCTGTAGACTGAGATATAGGCGGACGTATGAACGTCTAGTAGAAAGTCACAGTTACACCATCGTGCACGAATAGGATTACTGGACAAGCACAAATCGCACGCACGGCTTGAAACGTGGGGAAATGCTGTCGGAGTAAAGCGAATGTGTACGCGATGTTGTGAAAATATCTGATTTGTGAACATCTGTGGAAAAATCACAGTTGACACCATGCACGTATACCACAGTTAGTTGGTCAGGGCGGATTTGCGACGGTCAGATATGCGACGTTGTACGGTACAACCACTTGCATCTGCCACACAAGCCAACCATCTGTCTTCGACTAATGTGACAGAAACCCCCCATGAACTGGAAGATAATGCGTGTTGTAAGTGAGGACAAGATAGCGTATACTGTGATGCTAACGTATATTTAGCCTGCAGAGCATCTCGGCATTAAGCCCATTGTTGTTTGGGAGCCTAAGAGAGGCGTGCATATGCACAGCAACACGATCTATGCACCGGTTTTTACAAAGGGCATTTTAAAATTGGTACTTGTGAACCAGATTTGCATTAAATTAACTGCTTATTCCTTAAAGCTTGAGGCTGTATATCAAATGTATAACTTTCCTAGTTCTCCACTGATTGTGTGCCTTAAATAATACTCTCAAGGTAGATATCGTATTGTTGTGTTCAGTGGGTAGCTCAGTGGCCTCGCGATGGCGAGCAGCACATCTGGGCTTCGAGATCAACTCAGAAGTGCTTTGGCGTAGCACATGGTCGATGTCAGCCTCTTCACTCGCCCCTGGGGTTTCGTCCCAATCGTCATATCGTTGTCACGTCACGGGATGAAGAATCCGGAGGAGTGCAACCGTTCGGGTTGGAGATCGGCCCGTGGAAGTAGACACGCCGTGACGTTCCCACCCGGCGGCCGTCACGCGCCCGGGAGACGAATGTTATCGCACGACAGTAAGGAGCATGGGAGATTGAGACGGTCACTCGCCGCAATGAAATCATTCTGATGGCGTTGGCCGGGTGGCTCGCGGGGTTCATGAGGTCCTCGTGGGAGCCCTGAGCCCCAGTGGTGGTGCCGGGCAAACGCAAAATAAGCAAAAGCATAGGGCCCGAAAATAGCTCAAGGAGTACCCACATTCACAGAATAAAGGGATGTGCCACATGGCTACTCGAATTCAGATCCGAATATGAGGTTATATAAAGCCAATTTTATATAAGCCCATTAATCTCTGTCAACTCTATCTTGTATGTAGCTGTCTTCTTTCATCTCACTACATTTCTGTCCCGTGTGCTGTTCGGCATGATGTCCGACGTTTTTCAACCACGTGCTGGGAGTTTATGCAGGAACTCCTGAACGTAGAGATAGCTAAACAAGCTCGCGGCACGTGGAGCGAAACGTCGGACATCATCCCAAGTTTAATTGATGATTGGAAGCGTGCTTCCTTGCAGGCCTTTAAAATGAGGACAAACATAATGGATCGACAAAACAGATACAACCGCATTCAATTGAGTTTAAATGTACTTAAATTCGGTGCAGACTAGCAAATAAAACATAAAGCAGCATGCCAATGAATTAAAAATACGATTGCAGTTATATGCATTGTGTGGGCGGACCGAGGGACACGGTGGTTAGCGGACTGCACTATGATCCCAGCAACTTAAGTTCGATTCCTGACCGTGATAAGCATCAGTGACGAGTGATATCTGAAAAAAAAATTCTTACTGCCACCCCCCCCCCCCTTTAGCAAAGTGGACTGACTGGCGTGGTGAAGTATGGTCGAATGTGGGATCATCCAATATTGGATTTTAAAATTCTTAGAAGTTGCTACGTTTTATCATTATTATTATAATTGCACATCATAGTAGATTTTGACACAATTGCAAATACAAGGGATGCTTGACGATGATTTAAATCGGCGTACGCAAGTACTGCACTGTTAAGAGTTGAGTTGCATTTGTATATATTGGGCAATGATAACAAGAGGAACATTGTGATTTTGAACACGCAGGAATTGCTGTGACGGTACTGTTCTCTGTGAATTTGCATAAGCATTGTTGTCCTCTTAGAATTTTAGTAATAAATTTGCTGCTCACGTACGATCGAAAAGTTACACCGCATCTGCCTGAACTCAATAACTTATCAACGTCACGGATGAAGTCTCAACCCCTCTTAGCACCTCTTCTTTACGCACCGGCACACGTAAGTATTTTGCCACCAAACAATTTGTGCAATAATATTGGGGGTCGTTCGGTAAAGTCACGTAGATAGGTTCAAAGATAATAACAAAACAAAAATAACGAAAAAACTACGACGTTTCGATCGCAACGCAAGCGGTCGTCTTCCAGGTAAAGGGGGGTTAGCTTCAGATTGTGATCGAAACGTCGTAGTTTTTTGTTATTTTATTTGAACCCATCTACGTGACTTTACCGAAAGACCCACGAATATGAATCCCTGCAGTCACGAAAGCTTTAAATCGAAAATGTTAGACGCTCTTCATACAAATGATCACGTTAACATTGTAGTGGTCTTTTTTGTATCAAATTGAGCATGGAGACGTCTGAGCAATCCGTGAAAAAACAACCTGGGGGACATCCGCACGCTCAACCGTATTGCCTCTCAAACTCGTTGTTAAGCCTCACAGTAGCAACACGTGGTCTGACAGTGCCTCCTGGAGGAGGACGCCTCTGCCTCTAACTCGAACAACGCAGCGCGCGCCGCCTACCGAATGCCCAAGCGCCTCTCTCTAAGCTCAACTCAGATAAAATCTTCTGGCCTCCGTCGACAGTTCGCATGTTGAACTTCTTTCGCACCGTACGTAGCCAACCGTGCTAATCCACCCCTGAGCCAGCGGTGGAACGTCAACATTCCCATGGTTGGTGCCAGTCTCTCTCCACAGAACCAGCCGACCCCTGTTAACCTTCCACAAAGTGGTGCTCATTTGTATCGACCATGCAAGGGGGTGATAGTCCGAGTTGAACCGGTCCTGGGCCTCCCCTAGGTCCACTCAGCCTCAAACGAGTAACTGGTGTGGTGTGTGAACATCGCCACTGGGGGGACAAAGGCGGCCGGGCGTGGTGAATTAAGTCCCGGGCGAAGCCGGGGTAGTAAAGCTAGTTAGGTATAACCCTGTGAGCCATGCGGCTCTTGACTCGGGTGCAACCGCAACAAAATAAAAACATGAACAAGAAACATCTTAAAGTGATTACGTGCAACAGAAAAAAAATCCTGGAAAAAACAGTAAAGTCTTCCAGAAAAAAACACCGCATTTCAACGCTGTGTGCAAAAAATCCCAGTGGGATGCAAGTCAAACGATAACAACCATGAGACAATGTAGATTAAAGTTATCAGGCCAACTCTGTACTGCAACAAACAAACATGGCTAAACCAAACCGTGATGCCGCCCACCGAGCGAGCTGTGCTCGTGAGCGCTGCGCTACGAACCCGGCGGACGCGGGTTTCGATTCCCCGCTCACGGCCAACACCGGTGACGATTGTCTGAACCGGTCCCTGGGCCTCCCCTAGGTCGACTCAGCCTCAAATGAGAGGACCTGGTGCGGTGTGTATAAACATCGCCACTGGGGGAGACAAAGGCGGCCGGGCGTAGTGTTGGCCTTCATAGGTGCTCGCTAACAGCACTTGCCCCAACAGTCTTTTAAGGCTGTACAGGATCAGACTGCGGGTCGTATTAATTGCAGTATCGAAGGCAAGACACAGGGTGATGGTGCGAGTCCAGACACGAGAGGGGAGAGTCCAATTGAAACTGCATCTGCTCAAATAAGCGAGGGGTGGCGCTCATTTCCACAGCAGGCCAATGCACGAGCCGGTGGTGGAAATTCCACGTTATCATGTCGGGGGCCATGCGGCCACTTCATAGGATAACCAGGTTGACTTCCCACAACAGCGCTCGCCCCAAAAGGAGAATGAGCCGAGTTGAACCCTGGGTTGAACCCTGGGTTGAACCCTGGGTTGAACCCCGAGTTGAACCCCGAGTTGAACCCGGAGTTGAACCCGGAGTTGAACCCCGAGTTGAACCCCGAGTTGAACCCGGAGTTGAACCCAGAGTTGAACCCCGAGTTGAACCCCGAGTTGAACCCCGAGTTGAACCCGGAGTTGAACCCTGAGTTGAACCAGGAGTTGAACCCTGAGTTGAACCCTGAGTTGAACCCTGAGTTGAACCCTGAGTTGAACCCTGAGTTGAAACCTGAGTTGAACCCGGAGTTGAACCCCGAGTTGAACCCCGAGTTGAACCAGGAGTTGAACCCCGAGTTGAACCCCGAGTTGAGCCCTGACTGGAATTTGAACCCGCGGCTTCCAGGTCGAGTTAAGTGCTTTAACAACGCTGCCACCTGCTCAGAAAGTGTTTGTATGCAAGACTAATAATATACAGCCCTTGTTGAATCCACTGCTGCATGTGAGAATTCCCATACTTCACCACGCCGCTGCTCAGTGCAAATTGAATGGACGTGCTAATGACCCTTGGGGGGGTATTAACTCGCTACTGATGTTAGCCGTGGCCAGGAATCGAATTGAGCTCACTGGCTTCACAAAGTACTGCGCTAGCCACAGCTCCAACCCCTTGCGTTTCTATGGCCCCACCATGAAACTCTGTTTTGCTAAGCTCCATCTATCGATCTAAATCAGCTCAATCTTCCTGTGACTTCTGTGTGGCGACCCCCCACACGCGCCGAAGGATCGCCGACACGTCTCGGGACAGACCCAGCAGGTGCCATGGGTTGACTGACTCAGGTGACTGGCAGATGCGCCAGCTGTGCCCCCTACTGTGCAAACTTTTAATTTTATCCGCCCGGTTATGCTGCGCTTGTTGTTGTAAGCGTCGTTTCTCTGCCCTCCGTTGTTGTTGGAGGGCGACAGCCACCCCAACTGCCCAGTAGCAGCGTGCTTCACGAGCCTCCTCCATCTGCTAATGCCACCTTTTCCACAACCCAAACCCAGACACGCATCTGCTGAGGATTAGTAGAGAGGCTCCTCTTAACATAAAAAAAACATTAAACAACATGAACATTTGATTAACTAAACACTTACATTCTAAGCTACAAATCAATAATTCACAAAACCGCATAGTCATTAATGAACAATTAACAGATGTAAGTGATTCCAATTCGTTGTTGTGATATATGGATCATTGTGCAGGGTGTAAAACTGAATTCTGGAAAACTTAGATATTTTTGCATACCAATGGGTGTGAATGCTATTTAAGCAATATAACTCTATTAAATATCATTAATATTGTTAAATCTTTCCAAAAATCCTTTCAAACATCCTTCACAGTTTCTGTCTGGTTTCTAATCTTTCGTGAGCCCATGCGCTCACTCCAAGCCGTTGTTCAACAATATATGAACTCGTATCAGCCATCGGAAAGAAATAAAGATGCCTTTTTAAAACAGAAAAAAAATGTTAGGGGTCGATTGATCTTGGGGGCGGGGGGGGGAAAGACATTTGAACCACCCTTGAGTTGGCAATGGAACCCCAGCTGGTGAATGAATGTTCGTGGTCGCTTCGCCTCTCTGCCTGGCGCAGTGAAGGCGTCTCACGGGGGACTCCCCTATCGCGGTTGTGAACGCCGCCACGAGGGCGCGCCTGAGACATTAGTAAAGCCTCCTGCTGTTCACTTACACGTGGTTGGAGACTCGTGTAATCAGGAGACGTCTGCTTTCACACGCCTTCAATTGCACTCTAGACGCGCAATCAGAGAGGATGTTTTCGTGGCCCTAGACGAAGCGGGTCCGTACACTCAGGGCGCTTGTTCCCGCACCAGCGAAACGATCTCAGGTTCGTCTAGGTCCTCCAGATTTGATTTTTTTTACATCCGCAAATTACTTAATCTGGAATTACTGTAATGTACTCAGCAATCGTCGTCATCTGTTGAGTGAAAAAAAAACAACTTAGCAGGACCCGCCTGAACGCAAATCTTGAGACTGGGTGATAAGGAGAGGCATATACAGGATAATAAACTAAAAACTAAACTATGTACATGTTACTAGGTAAGGCCCACTGAGCTGTGTAGTTCTTTTTTAGAAGCGATCTGCCCACAAATGATATCTCAACGAAGTGGCTCATCGCGTGAAAATGTAGAGCAGGCAAAATGCTCTAAACGCGTGTTTCTAAATGTCGAGGGAAAACCCGGAGGGGGAGCCAGAGAAAAATCCACACGAATACAGGGAGCGAGAGAGACACGCAAACTCAAAATATACAGCAGGCGTCGTCAGGGTCGGGATCGGGATCGAACCCACGACCTCCTGTATACCACGCGAGTTAGTTATTATTTCTCCACCGTGGCGCCCTACATATATAGTAATGTGCAGGTGATACTTATAACTACTGTATTACTCAGCATGCAAGGTTTGTGACATGCATTTAAGTGCACGATGTGGCAAATAGTTTTTTTTTCATCTTAAATAATTCTGCCCTCATCTTCACCACGGTTACTGCTCTGACGAACATTGGAGCCTGATGATTATACTGACATCATTTACTGTACCGTTTAAACCATCGTTCAGGGCTTATCTCAGTCCATTCTCCTTTCGGTTTTGCTACGAGTAAACGTGTTCATTTGTGGCCAATCAATCCGGTTATCCTATGAAACCATTTCATGGCCCCGGACATGATAACGTGGAATTTCCACCACTGGCCCATGCATGGCCTGCCGTAGAGATGAGCGCCACCAGCTAGCACACACGCGTTGATAATCTCTCCGCGTGCTGTTCGGCACGATGTCCGACGTTTCGCGCCGCGTGCTGGGGGGGGGGGGGGGTGAGGAGGCCGGGCTCCTTGAGGAATTGAGAGGCATGACAAAGTCAGCTTTCAACGTGACTTGAACAAAGGCAGGCATCTACCACCACCGCTCTTATACAAACACGTCCCGGTGAGCCCTGCAGTGCGCATGGCAAACTCCCATCGCGAGTGCCGACTTGTCCCGTTCCGGCCACTTAGCCTCAAGTCACCCGGAGATGAACGGCAACCGCAGGCTCCTCGTGCATCAGCACAGTGTGTGTTGATGCACGCGCAACACCTGGCGCAAACGCTGCGGTCATGCCTTGCTCGCTCCACTGCTGGCGGAAGGGCCTCCACTCGCTGGCCATCGAACAAAGACGGTCGGTGGCATCGCGCGCTTTCGGATGCGCTTCTTCTGGCCGTCTGGAACGCTCTCGCTTCCGCTAACGAGGAAGCCAGGGGAGCAGTGCACTTTTAAAGCGTCGAGATCGACGAACTCATTTGTTTAGGGCCGCTTCTTGTGTCCAGTTTGTTGTCCGTCCGCCGCACCTCCGATTAGAACGGTTGGCCACGTACGGTGCGAAAGAAGTTCGGCAACACAAGAGGGCATTTGGCCTACTCTTCCACGCCGGCCAGACGTCTCGGAAGAGGCGGTGTTACCCACGTTTTACCCCACCACGCGCGCCTTGCCGCCGGTTAACTATCGGCGCTCCACCTACCGACTCGTCGTGCTTCGGTGGACGGAGACGGGGTGTGGAGGGGCTTTGGGTACGAAACTTGCCCCATTGTTTCAACTTGCAGACACCGGGAAGGGATAACTGGTAGGGGTAACTCGTGGACGGGTAAGGGAGGCGACATCAAGAGGGGTGTGATCTGGAGCGGGGCGTCTAGGGAGTACCAAATTGAAATTGGCGCTACGCTGCGCTTCGAACCCGGCGACCCGAGTTCGATTCTCGCTCACGGCCAACACCGGGGACGATTATCTGAACCGGTGCTGGGTCTCCCCTAGGTCGACTCAGCCTCAAAACAACGCCACTGGGGAGACAAAGGCGGTCGTGCGTGGTACTGGCCACCCAACCCCCTCGTGTGCCGTGCCGGTCTTCATAGGTGCTCGTTAACAGCCCGAAAAAAGTGTGTTCGGGCTAACACGGGGGATCTTTGTCTTTGTCCACGCTCGCCTGAACAACAACAAGAAGCGGTGTCAGTTCCCCAGGGGCAACAATACGAGCAGAACGCCCGCAGGGCATCGAGTTGCACGGCAAACGTTAAACGCGGTGGCTGATGATGGCCGTGATGGATGGTGACCACCTCTTCTTGTCACTTTTAAACTATAAACTCGTTTTTTTTCATTTCACCAGGTACGGCTCACTTGAGCTGTGTAGCTCTTTTTTCAGAAGCGGCCTGGCCACAAATTGATAGCTCAGGGCGAAGCGGCTCATCGTCGTGTGGAAATTGTGCAACAGCCATTTCCTCTAAACGCGTGATGTTGATTCTAAATGTGGAGGAAAAAAACCGGAGGTCCCGGAGAAAAATAATCGCGACCACGGGGAGAGAGAAACACGCAAACTAAAAATATACAGCAGCAGTAGGGGTCGTCAGGGTCGGGGTTGAACCCACGACCTCCTGTAGACCCGGCGAGGTAGTTAACATCTCGCCACTGACAGCACCCCAATTGACCGCAGTGGGCCAGGTTCTCAATTTCACTGCTGCTGGACCAGTGGATCTGGGCCCCCCCCCCCCCCACCCCCCACGGCCGTGTTTACGCAGGAAAGTTGATTTGACCATACTTCACCACGCCGAGTCCATGCGCTTTGGTTTCTATTCACTGCAATGCTCACAGGCGCAAAGGGGTAGCGCAGCCTCGAATTAGCCTCGGTGACGTTTGAAGTGCGCGCAAAAAAAAACCCTCCGGCGTCGATGACCGCACCGATCACCGCGTCCACAAAATACATGAGACGATTTGATTGCTGGAGTAACTAAAGTCATCTCAGACAGTGCGCTGGGTTCATGTTGAGCCAACTGAATCCTCCATCAATTGAAAATCCAGCCCCATCATCCTGGGTTGCACGACTTCGCTTGATAGTTCGCGTGTGTGTGTGTGTTTGTGTGTGGTGGTGGGGAGCGGTGGTGTAGCGGTTAGCGCTACGCTGCGCTACGAACCTGGCGACCCGGGTTCGATTTCCGCTCACGGCAAACACCCAGTGACGATTATCTGAACCGGTCCTGGGCCTCCCCTAAGTCGACTCAGCCTCAAATGAGTACCTGGTGCGATGTGTAAACATCGCCGCGGGGGAGACAAAGGCGGTCGGGCGCGGTATTCGCCACCACCCCTTCGTGTGCAGTGCCGGCCTTTATAGGTGCTCGCTAACAGCACTTGCCCCGACAGTCTGTTAAAGCTATACGGGGGATCTTTGTCTTGGTAGGTCATGCGCGTTGTTGCTGGGGTGCGATAGTGCAGTGGTTAGCGCACTGCGACCCCGAGTTCGACACCCGCTAGGACTACTCGGCCTTAAAGGAGTACCTGGTGTAAGCATCAGCGCCGGGAAGACAAAGACGGCCGGGCGTGGTGCTGGCCCCCCAGCCCCTCGCGCGCCGTGCCGGCCTTCAAAGATGCTCGCGGGCTGCACTTGCCCCAACAGTCTGTTGACAGGCTATACGGGGGGTCTTTGTCTTTGTTCTAAACCAAACCTTTGTGAATCCTGATTGTTTGGCATAAACAGCGAGTATGGTAATTACCCACATGTTACCTTTATACCAGTAAACATTGTTTTTTTTTATTATAAACTCAAGCCACTGCGGTGGAGGGAGATGTGGCATAGTGGTTAGCGCACTGCGCTATTAATCCGTTTATCTGAGTTAGATTCCCGTTCACGTCTCTTGTGAGTGGCGGTGTGACATAAGAACCGGTCCTGGGTCTCCCCCCCCCCCTGCGCCCTCATCAAGCAGCACTGACCAGAGTGATGAAGTATGGTCAAATGACCCCTCACGACTCACTGTGGCGTGAAGGAAAATCTGTGTTCAACTTTCAGTCGACGAGCGCCGTCTGTGGAACGACGCCTCCGTCAGTCGAGGTTTTTAGGGTCTCGTCTGAAACCACATTTATTTTTATATATTTTATTTATATTTATTATTTTGTAAAAATTGTCTCAATATTTCGTTACATTTATTATGGATTTTTATTAGTTTTTATTTTATTTATATATTTAAAAAATGTATGTTCTCGTCTGAAACCACATTTATTTTTTCCTAGCGTATCCATCTGCGTATGGGGGTTGTTCACCTCCTTTTTAATGTGAACGGGTTTGTTTTTTTAATTCTGCGATTGTGTTGGAAATCGCTGAGGCCTTGTCTGAAGGGCGCTATATATAGACAGAACTGAGTTTGACTTTTTCTTTATTTATAAACACGAGTTTTACTTAAGAGCTTCGTTATCCATCGGCAGTGAACTCTGTGCAAATAAGGCAGCGACCTGGGTTCGACTCGAGGCCATGGATTATTAATCATTAATTGAAACTAAATCTGACTTGGGCCACCCCTTAGATCTTTAAAGGTGTATTTACATTTTTGTATTCTGCTACTGATACTCCTGTTGTTATGGAGTGACTCATGCAGCCAATTCTGGCTGCAAAGTTTGGTCGTACATGTTATGTATATCGTTTATTGTTACATTTGAATCACAGTTCCTATGATCACTGTTACATTGTTTTTATAGCTTTATTTTGGTGATTTTGAAAACGGTTTGGTCTAGCCATGTTTGTTTGTTGTAGTACAGAGTTGGCCTGATAACTTGAATCTACATTGTCTTATGGTTGTTATTGTTTGACTTGCATCCCACTGGGATTTTTGCACACAGCGTTGAAATGCGGTGTTTTGTCTGGAAGACTTTGCTGTTTTTTCCAGGATTTTTCTGTTGCGTGTAGTCACTTTAAGATGTTTCTTGTTCATGTTTTGTTGCCATTGCACCCGAGTCAAGAGCCGCATGGCTCACAGGGTCTTACCTAATAAATGAAACTGAAAACTGAAACTGAAGTTGACTCGTTTGCGCAGTGTGTTAACCATCAGCATTGGGGAGACAAAGGCGGCAGGGTTTTCACTGCGCTGGCCATAACCCATCCCGGCGAATGTATCATACCAGGCCTTAATAGGCGCTCGCCAACACACACTGAAAAAGCTTAAAAATAATCCTGAGTTTGTTCTCTGCAGTGCCCCGTGCTCAAGTCGTCTTGAACATGCTCGGGCAGGGGTTGCGTTTGGTGGGTGTGGCTGTGTGGTTTGCAGGAGTGCGTGCGTGTGTGTGTGCGTGTGTCTTTGTGCGTCTGTGCGTGTGTCTGTGTGTGTGCGTCTGCTCGAGGGACGTGCCGCAAATAGTCTGGGTCTGGCTTTTGTCGAGGTCCGTTTCCTTTGCAGCGGCTCCGTGACAGCAAGCGGCTTTGGCTGCCTCCCTGGACGACAGCAGCACCCATCGCCACCGCTCTCACCCACACCATGACCCAGAGCACGGGGCTCAGGGTAGTAGTGACCCTCACGTGTTTCTCGTGCCTCCTGACGGCTCTGCTGCACACAGGTACCCCGCCTCGTCTGCGTGCGTGCGTGTGTGACACCCGTTGGGCGAGCCTTCGAAACGTCACGTGGCCTCGAGGTGCACCTAGCCTGGCACAAACGCCGTGGTTGACGTCTAAGCCGCGGTGCCGAGCTGTTAGCTCCCTCGCCTGGTATGCAGGAAGTCGCGGGTCGCGGGTTCGAGCCCTTCCCTGACGCCTGCTGCTGTATATTTGGGGTTTTGGTGCTCGATCTCTCCGTGGTCGCGTGGATTTTTCTCCGGGTCCTCCGGTTTTCACCTCCACAATTATAATAAACGACATCAGACGTTTAAATGATGTGGATACCGCTGTACATTTCGCGCATGATAAGCCACTTTGTCGTGCTGTCATTTGCGATCGCCAAGTCGCTTCTGCAAAAAAGCTATGTAGCAGCTCAGTGAGCCTTAGCTGGTAAAATAAATAATATAGGAGTTGTTTTTTTAGTTCTAAGTCCACTTAGTGGCGAACGGAGGCTGATATTCTTGTGTGTCCCATTCGTCACCACCCACACACCAGTACGAGCAGTGGGGTATTTATAATTTCACCAACAAATCGTACAACACCGCAGAGAGACAATTTGATGGCTTAAATGACACTTGAGCATCGTGCACGTACCGGGCTTGCAGTCCAGATGCCGCCGGTTCAATTGTATCTCCCGGCGCGGCAGGCGCAAGGATCGGGGACCTTCCCTTCAAAGCCCCCCTCGTGCTTCTACCCACCCAGCAGACGTGAATGGGTTTCACCCACTGTGGCCAGCGTGGACGAGTAGGCCAATACACCCCGTAGGATTTCAGGGCCACATCTTTTCACATTTGCATAAGCTACTGTTTGTGTAAATTTGCGGACCCATATGTCAATCCACTGCTGGATGAAGGCCCCTCCGCGTACTTGTTTGTCTGTCGTCACGTGGTCAGTGTTGGTTCGGTCACCACGTGGCTCTGCACACAGCCAGTGCCGCCACTGCATTGGAGACTACGTATTGACTCGCGATAATGAAGCCAAATACAGCAGCAGCCACCCTTTAATCCAATGACGGTTGGATCTTTGCCATAACTCCCTTCGGCACAATCATCCCTCCATGTGGGGGAAGGCAACAGACAGCGGTTGTCCTTTGCATTGACTCGCCCACCCCCCTCGGCCATGGGAATGTGGAATTTCCACCACTGGCTCATGGCTGTAAACAGGAGATAACACCACCTCGATGCTCACCCTTGAAAGTTGAGACGTGGGGCCAGGCCCGGCCGAGATGTCACCACCGACTGCTGATGTGAGCCCTGGCTGGGAATTGAACTCGGGTCGTTTGAAACGGTGAGATATATTAAGTAATATTGAATGAGTTGAGTAGAACATCGAGTTTTATGTGTTATTTTACTCGTGTGTGTCGCATAGCTGTGCAGTTTCGAGAGGGGTTTAGTTGTCTGCAGCAACATGTGATTCCATATATTTATTTTAAAATCTTAAGATAACAATCTTAACTTGTAACGTGCGCCGCGCAGCATCCGCTCACTCTCGTCGAGGGAGAGAGAAACTCGGAGGCGCGAGGAGGAACCACAGACAACGAGTGGGGAAGGCAGCCACGTGGCGAGCCGGCAACCACAATTGCCCAAGTTCTGCAGTCCTCTTAATTATGAAGGTGTTACCGGCCAATTGATGAGTTCTTACATGTGACAGGAAAGCCTGGAGAACATTCACACGTGTGAGGGGGAAACGCTCTATCCCCACACAGACGGAACAGATTCGTTTTGACCGTACCGCCATCTCCGGGCAGAGCCAGGGTACGGGCTTCCTCCTCGACGCCCACGTGAAGGGAAGTTTCCCAACATTTGCGCTGTGATCCATCAACCCTCGCTGCTGCCTCCACAGTGCGCCATGAGCCGTGGTGGTATTCGGGGGGGCGGGGTCATTCGGGGGGTCATTAGGTCGTGGGCACATGGTCCGGACGTGTCCCCCACCTCCGGTTAGCACGGCTGGCTACGTACAGCGCGAAAGAAGTTCCACGTGCGCGCGTTGTCGACTTGGCAATCGGTGCTCGTTCGACGTTCGGTTCACCCGCTCGTGCGGTTCTGGTGCCGGTCCCTGGCAGGTGTCGTCTGCGCGGCCAACGCCACCACCACGACCACGACCGGGCGAACCCCAGGTGCCGAAAACTCCACGGCGGGCGGAGAAAAATCCACGGCGGGCGGAGCAGACGAGACGGTGGCAGCGGTGGCAACGGCAGGGCCGCAGAGTCCGAGCGACGGGGCGAAGCCAAGCGGCGGTGGCGGCAGCGGCTCCAGCGATAGCGCGACGCCGGAGAGCGCGTCTACTCCGCCAGCGCCGCCCGCCGCGGAGAAGCGGAGCAGAGTGGCCGTCTCTCTCTCCTTCGTCATCGAGAACCGCAACTTCACGGCAGAGCTCGACAACCCGATGTCCGATGCCTTTCGGTCGCTGGAGAGAATCGTGACGTTCCAGGTGAGCTCGTGGGCAATTTCCCCCAGACACCCCCCCCCCGAACTACACACCCGACCCCTCCCCCCAACCCCCCTTGGTTTCTCTGTCAAGCACGAGCCCAGAACATGTCTAACCCGGCACAAACTCCTGATTTTCCCAAACGCTTTGGGACACCTGGATACATGCATTTATATTTATAGATATTTATAACTGGGGCCTGTCTCAGCTGAAACCAGGACATTTGTTAGATTTTACGGATTCTGCCGTGCCTGGTTGCCAGCGAGACACGTGACCGACCCACGGACCCAGCCCGGTGGAGGCCACGGAGCCAGCACGCCTTGCAGCTGCTGTGGAAACGCGGTCAAAGTGGAGCTCGGTTAGGCGTGGGGTGAGAGTGGCCCCAGACACGAGCGCTCGCTCTGAACTCGGGGGCGTCGGTTGCGTCCCATTGCCGGGGTGCTGACCCAGCGCCGCCGAAGGCCCCCTGAGTGTTCAAGGGCCGCGCCCGCCCTTGCCTCAGCGCGCTGTGTAGCGAGCGTGGTGGCTTGGGCTACTTCGGTGGTCAGAGCTCACCGCTAAGGTCGCGAGCGTGGACCCGGGCTTTTAAGCCGCTGGGTTCTCAAGCGTAGCGAGTGAAATTGTGGTCTCGGCCGAGGCGAGCGGAAGGTGCGTTCCGCTGTGTCAGCGAGCAGCTATTGAGGCCAGGAAAACACAGCAGTTTGCCCGATGAGCCCAGAGCAGATATCTCGCTTGTCGGTACCAACCTAAGGTGGCGTTACTTTCGTGGTTACAATTTCTCTGTGTGTCTGTCTGGGTGTGTGTCTGGGTGTGTGTCTGGGTGTCTGTCTGTCTGTGTGTCTGTGTGTGTGGACAACGGTAGTCTAGTGGTTAGCGCGCTGCGCTACGAACCTGGCCACCCGAGTTCGATTCCCGCTCACCGGTGACGATTGTTAGAACCGGTCCTGGGCTCCCCCTAGGTCAACTCAGCCTCAAATGAGTACCTGGTGCGGTGTGTAAACATCGCCACTGGGGAGACAAAGGCGTTCGGGTGTGGAGCTGGCCACCCACCCCCTCGTGTATCGTTCCAGCCTTCAAAGGTGCTCGCTAACAGCACTTGCCCCAATAGTCTGCTAAGGCTATACGGGGGATCTTTGTCTTTGTTTGTGTGTGGACATTAACAGCGCATTGTGTGTGCAACCACTTTGAATGCGCGGGGGTTATCAAATAATCAAATAATACACTCTCGTTCGCCGTGTAAATCAACCGGATTACTGCAGGGTTTTTTGTTTGCAACCGTAGATTTTGCCTAGTTCTGCTCTGGCCGACGGACTAAGCGAACCCGTGGCAAGTGGCCAGTTTCTTTTTGCTTCGAAGCAACTTCCCACGCGTGAATCATCAAAAGATACGCGTTCGAATAAATACATTCCGGCCGTGTCGGTCCACCGATGCGTTTGACGGACTGCTGGTGACGATCAAGACGGGGTGGTTTCTTGCGACGATGCTGACTCGGCCAGACCCGTGAATGGGGGTGAGCTCGGGCACGGTTCAGACACCGATGTTAGCCATCGATGAAAATCAAACTCGGGTCCGCCTAGCACAGCGAGCTAACTACCTCTGCCTAGTGCTCCGCTTGGGATAATGCCACGTATTTATTTGCACGTAATGGTGTGACTGCGCACGATGATGATGATGTGAAGTTGAGTATTTATTTATAAGTCAGTCAGTTTGGAACAGGTAATGCACGTAACAAACAAACAAAAAACTCCACATCATCATCATGACCATCAAACTATTATTTGCCGATACAGAATATATCCGGTGTTGTCTGGCATGGAGCAACGATACTGTAATTAGTCGTGATGTTTCTTTTATTTTGCTTTTTCAGCTGGACCAAGTTTTCAAAAATTCGACGTTGAAAGATTCGTACATCACCAGCGTGGTGCGCCGGTTCTGGTAAAGTTTACATCTTGCATCTACACAAGTCACCACATATACGAGTCACCACCCACACGAGTCGCCACGTACACGAGTCACCACCCCGCATGAGCAGCCACATGCAGCATAACCACCTTTACCGCCGCACGGGATTCATTCTATTACTATTTTAGTAAACTATTTGTAAACTATTTATTTACCAGATAAGGCCCACTGAGATATATAACTCTTTTTTTCAGAAGCGACATGGGTAACACAAATGATAGCTCAACGAAGTGGCTTATCACGTGGAAATGTATAGCAGCCCAAATGCTCTAATGCTCTATTAACGGACGTTGATTCTAAATGTGGATGGAAAAATCGGAGGACCCGGAGACAAATCCACGCGACCACGGAGAGAGAGAGACACTCCAAATATACAGCAGCAGGCGTCAGGGTCAAGATCGAACCCACGACCTCCTGCGTACCAGGCGAGGTAGTTAACATCTCCTAGCTACTGTGATGATGATGAGAGAGACACGCAAACTCCAAATATACAGCAGCAGGCGTCAGGGTCGAGGTCGAACCCACGACCTCCTGCGTACCAGGCGAGGGTTAACATCTCCTAGCTACTGTGATGATGATGAGAGAGACACGCAAACTCCAAATATACAGCAGCAGGCGTCAGGGTCGAGGTCGAACCCACAACATCCTGCGTACCAGGCGAGGTAGTTAACATCTCCTAGCCACCGTTGATGATGATGAGAGAGGGAGAGAGACACGCAAACTACAAATATACAGCAGCAGACATCGTCAGGGTCGAGATCGAATCCACGACCTCCTCCATACCAGGCGAGGTAGTTAACATCTCCTAGCCACCGTGATGATGATGAGAGAGAGAGAGAGAGACACGCAAACTCCAAGTATACAGCAGGCGTCAGGGTCGGGATCAAACCCACGACCTCCTGTATACCAGGCGAGGGAGTTAACATATCCTAGCCACCGTGATGATGATGAGAAAGAGAGAGACACGCAAACTCCAAATATACAGCAGGCGTCAGGTCAGGATCAAACCCACGACCTCCTGTATAACAGGCGAGGTAGTTAACATCTCCTAGCCACTGTGATGATGATGAGAGAGAGACGCAAACTCCAAATATACAGCAGCAGGCGTCAGGGTCAGGATCAAACCCACGACCTCCTGCATACCAGGCGAGGTAGTCAACATCTCCTAGCCACTGTGATGATGATGAGAGAGAGACGCAAACTCCAAATATACAGCAGCAGGCGTCAGGGTCAGGATCAAACCCACGACCTCCTGTGTACCAGGCGAAGTAGTCAACATCTCCTAGCCACCGTGATGATGATGAGAGAGAGACGCAAACTCCAAATATACAGCAACAGCAGGCGTCAGGGTCGAGATCGAACCCACGACCTCCTGCATACCAGGCGAAGTAGTCAACATCTCGATTTAAAGCTTTCGTGACTGCAGGAATTCGTCTTCTTGGTTCTTTCGGTAAAGTCACGTAGGACGGCTGCTTGCGTTGTGGCCGAAACGTCGTGAGAATTATTTTATTATGTTTTATTTTTATTATTTTATTACTTCCCTTCTACGTGACTTTACCGAAAGAACCAAGAAGATAGTCAACATCTCCTAGCCACCGCGGCACCCTTTCAATCACCATCAAAGAGTGGACCGTGTACACCCGGTTAGCGTTTTTCCGCCGTTCCCTCCCCTGCTCACCCCCCCCACTTCCACTCTGCTGTCCACCCTGCACCCCAGGCGCGGCTCCGTGGGGGTGACGTCCGACCTGCTGTTCGACACTCTGCTCGGGGCCCCCCACCCGGACTCCGTGTCGGCCGTGTTCCTGCGCGGCACCCACGGGGGCACGCGGCTCGGCGAGCTCAGAGTGAGCGGCCCCATCGTGCCCGGTGGGTCCCCGGCGAGGCGCCCGTCACCGTGCGAACGACGACGAAGGCCGACGGACGAACCCAGGATTCGTTCGTTCGTTAGGGGCAGTCCATAAATGACGTCACGCACCTGGGGGGGGGGGGGTCAGACATTTGTGACGATGTGTGACGAAGAGGGAGGGGGGGTTGAGAAATGTGACTTCACATCAAAAAGCGCAACTTTGAATCAATATAGACAACACGTTTTACTTAATTAAATTAACTTTTTTATAAATGTTTTCTCCTACAACATCAGAGTGCAGCGCCTCATTAAATACGCACTACAATAACAATAGTTTAAAGCGATTTTAAGCATTTTTATATATTTGGGGGGGGGGCAGAGCTCTGGGACGTCATATTTGAGGGGGGGTCTGACTTTTTGTGACGCTGTGTGACGAGTCGGGGGGGGGGGGGTCAAAAATCTTCAAAAATCGCGTGACGTCATTTATGGACGGCCCCTAAGGTTGGAAGCGTCCTTGCGTGATCTCTGTCCATCTGGCTGACCGTCGTCCGTGTGCCTGTAACTGGGCTGGGGGGCACGACAACACTTGTGAAGATGACTTGGTGTGAGCGAAGGCATTTGGTGCTGGTAAAAAAAATACCACACGAAGACAAACTTGAGTAAGAGGCAGAATTCTGGGTAATACGGCAAAGACGTTCGCCTTAAACACACGACAACGAAAGAATCCGAGCCGGACCGCCGTTCGTGCGCTCATGACGCTACGGCGACAAGAAAACACCCACAATCCCATTCTAATATAATATCACTCCGATATGAAGAAGCTACTGGAGCTATTCACTTTTAAATCTAAATTGAAAACTAATTTCTTTGAAACTGCTTTTTGTGTTCAGTCTTGTTGTCCTCCCCCCCCCCCCCGCACCTCCGATTGGCACGGTTGGCTACGTATGGTGCGAAAGAAGTTCAACGTTCATACGTAGGTGTGGGAATCAACAGTCGGGAGTGTAAAACACCGTGCCTGGACCGTTGCAGTGATGCAATTTTGACATGAATTTGTACACTAGCAATCATAATGCGATGTGTCTACCTGATGTATGGAATTCGGCGAATCATTTACCTTGGAAGCCATGCTCATCCATGTGCTCTGCCTCTCACATTCATCTTCTTGGTTCTTTCGGTAAAGTCACGTAGAAGGGAAGTAATAAAATAATAAAAACAGGTGAAGAACCTGAGGACGGCTGCTTGCGTTGTGGCCGAAACGTCGTGAGAATTATTTTATTATGTTTTGTTTTTATTATTTTATTACTTCCCTTCTACGTGACTTTACCGAAAGAACCAAGAAGATGAATCCCTGCAGTCACGAAAGCTTTAAATCGAAACTCTCACATTGACTTGACTAAATTAAGTTGATAATTGTTTTTTTTACCCTTCTATCTGGCAACAAAACTGACACCTTTTTTACAAGGAGTCATGTTTGCATAGACCACAATACCTGCAGCCATAATGCAAACAAAAAACATAACTCTGATAATATATGCACTGTCCTTGAAGTTGATTGGTCCACACCCGAGACAGCTTTCCTTAGAGCCTAGTCTCACATGGTGTTGGACCAGATGACGCCAAAAGGCGCACAAATTAAGTTGTTTAAGCCGTCAAAGCATCCTTTCGGCCTTCCGCACACAGTGAACGGTGAGCACGGACAGTGGGTTGAGATCTGGAGATTGATCCGCAAGCAGAGGAGGAGCAGGAGGTCTGGAGCATGGATCTCAACAGCGGCAGTCTGTCAATGGCACAGAAGACTGGGGGAGCGATCATCCAGCAGCCACATCCCTTTGGCTTGATGTTGACTGGGGGTTTTGAGATTCGGCACTGGTCACTGGATCAGAGAGCACAAATTTACGATTCTTCTTTGAAGTTTTAACATGCTATTTTTTTTTTTCAAACGCGCTATGAATTTTGCATGCGCAATTCTAATTATTTATAAGCTATCCTTGTGTTTTTTTTATTACCCGCCTTTTTGATAATTACCCCACTCATCCCTCATTGAGGCAATTCGGTATCAATGATTAATGTGCTGCCAAATCAATATGACAATAACCCCATTACAGTGCCACCGTTCGCACCACTACCCATCTTGGGGCATTCCGAGCGCTTTTTGCTTTGCGTTCACCACGCTCGTGCCGCCGGTAATTATCTTCGGCATCTGCCGGTTTTCTCACTCGCAAAATACGCCTGTGCAGAAGAGCTTCATAAGCTCATCGGATTCCTCCAGCGTAAAGATTCTGATTCTTCTGAACATTTAACAGCTGCTATTTTATTGCAAAATTCTAACTTGGGACGTTTAACTTACTTCAGAGGATACATTCCCAACCGTACATAACCTGTATGGGAATAACTTTTAATTCGTTGACTCTGACAGCATTTTATATTTATTGCAGTGCATGATGATTTTGATTTGCCTTCAGCAAAAACAACGACATCAGCAAACAACAGTTGAGTAGTTTGTGTGTTGACGGAAGCTGCCGTCTTAATCCAGCGAATCGAAGTGGCCAAATCAGTGGGAAACAGCTGACAGGACCAAATATTGTTTGGGTTCCGTGGTAGAATTCTCTCGCCATGAATGACAACCCTTGATTCAACACACCACATCAAACACAGGAATCAGGTCTACTGTCTCAACGTACGCACACATGCATGTTGAACTTATCTCGCACACGTCCGTAGACCCAACCGCGCTAATCGGAGTTGCCAATGGGCCGTCGCTCGGTTTCTAAACGGTCGAGACGGCCACGAATTGAACCGCCGCCTCTCCCCCTCCCACAGGAGTCACGAACGAGTTCCCCTCCTGGTCCATCGCCCTCCTGGCCCTAACCAGCACCATCCTCCTGCTCAACGTCATCATCCTGCTGGCGTGTGTGAGTACAACTGTCGGAAGCCCAGCATGCAATGCGGACGCGCCGTGGACGTTAAATACCTCGTGACGTTATGTGATTAAAGAGTGAGCGACAGCGCACGCGTGCGTGTGCCGGCGTTTCGGTCCAATTTTTACCAAAGGTGAAATTTTACCCACGAATTACTGAGTTGGGGAAAAAAGAGCGAATGGCGACAACGCTCCCCGACTGCGAAACAAACTGCTGACTATCGGTGAGCCCAATGTAGCCGGATCCTCCTACAAACAGAATCTTGACACCCAGTGAGGCTTTTTCTGGATAACTAAAAGACATCGTAATAACACCAATTCAGTATTAACAACAACAATAACACGCACATTCACGTGTCGTAGACGTACGAAGGCACCGATTCGCGGTTGAATTTCTGGACCGTTTTGGAATTCCACCGTTTCACCCGTGGGCCCGCAGACCAGTAAACAAAGTCGCAGCCGTGTCGGGACACGCGACTGTGGTGGCCACGACGCTGGCAGACTTGGCGTGGGAATATTTCGACTCGAACGCAGTCCTCGGCTGGCAGATCCGCGTTACGCAATAACACACCGAGAGGGGGGCGCAGGTGCGGCACTGCAAGCGCTGGCTCAGGAGAGAGCATTCTCGAGGGCCTTTTGTGGCCTCGGTTTTCCCCACACTGGGCGGAACGTCTTGGAAGAGGAGTGGGAGAGGGGGCACCCACGCTTTGCCCCACCGCACGACGCCACCCTGCCGATCGCACAACTGTGGCGTACCCGTTTTGCCCGCTTGCGCCGTGGTTGTTTAAACCGCCGCGACCGGGAGGTTGAATCGAACTCGCCGGTGTGACTAGCCGGTGTGACTAGCCGGTGTGACTAGCCGGTGTGACTAGCTGGTGTGATGAGCCGGTGTGACGAGCCGGTGTGATGAGCCAGTGTGATGAGCCGGTGTGATGAGCCGGTGTGATGAGCCAGTGTGATGAGCCAGTGTGACTAGCCGGTGCGACGAGCCGGTGTGACTAGTCGGTGTGATGAGTCAGTGCAACTAGCCGGTGCGACTAGGTGGTGCGACTAGCCGGTACGGCTAGCCGGTGTGATGAGCCGGTGTGATGAGCCGGTACGGCTAGCCGGTGTGACGAGCCGGCGCTACCCTCCCTGCAGGCGGTGTGGTGCTGCCGTAGAGGCTGTGCGGCCCCGTACGGCGACGGCGGCACGGAGCTGTACTACACCGGCGAGACGGCGTCCTCCTACCCGCTGTACGACACGCACGGCACGCTCAACCAGTCCAAGGCCGTGCTCAGCCCCTACGTCGAGGTGCCACCACTCGCCACCACCGCGCCCCCTCGCCGCCCCTAGCGCTCGCCCACAACGCGGTGCGACGGCGGGGATGTCTTCACATGACCGGACGTCCCAAACGCGCCGAGCGTCGCTCAATTCCGTGCAAGACACATCGGTTCCGACTTTCCTTCTCGAAAAAAACGAAAGCTTCATTTGTTCTTTAATTTTACTCACCACGTACATATAGATATTCACTGTGCGCGGTTGCACTCCGCCACCTTAGTACATCCCACAGAACCGAGTTTCGCTCAGGCAATGTTCACAGTTGTGTTCCTGGCGGGTTTTTTTCATTCTTCTTGTTCCGTACTCCTGTAGCGTTGCCGTTCTGTTGTACGGTGCACCGATGCCTACTTTATTGTAGGGCGATATTGGCGAGTAAAATAAAGATTGAGCGATTATAATTTAGTGCCTCTTGGTTAATCCACTGCTGGATGATGCCCATACCCTCAATGCAGTGTCGGTCAGTGTTCACATCGTCAACATTCTTTTTTATCAGTCATCCTGTGGAGTTGTAGTCAATGCCTCGTGTCTGTGGATTCCATGGAGTCGCTCTCATCGTCTGGTTGACTAAAGCAGTGAAATGTTTTGTCACACGCTACTTAATTTGGTTTAACACGTAGGCTTTTGCGACCAATATTATTCGTAATAAAGTGTTTTGGGTTAGATCGCGTAAGTATAATCTGTCTCGTTTTAAAGCTTTCGTGACTGCAGGGATTCATATTCTTGGTTCTTTCGGTAAAGTCACGTAGAAGGGAAATCATAAATATTGTTTGATTTTCATTATTTCCCTTCTACATGACTTTACCGAAAGAACCAAGAATAACACGTACCTTCGGAGTGGGCAGGTAGGAACTTGGTTAGACAGCGCATTCGTGCGATCCGTGTCACGCAGCAGTGTGGAACTGTTGTTCCTACCTGTATAAATCTGTCGTAACCCTCCACCACTTAACACAGCCGGTAAGGTTTGTCACGTAAACAACGCGCCAAATCGCCCGATGATGCTGGATGTAATTACCAGCGAAACGCCGTAGTCAAATTGTAAATGTTGTGGATTTACTCTCCGACACACCGGTGGGCTGAAGTAGTAACTAATTGGCGCGTTGTTTACGTGACAAACCTTACTGGCTGTCGGGTGGTGGAGGGTTACGACACATTTATACTTGCACAATCTAAGCCAAAAACCTTGATTATGAACGCTCCTTAATTATAAATTATTGGTGTGAGAGACACGCAATTCCCCCCCACCCCCTCAAAGACACACTTTGACCAGACTTCGAATGTAATCTCATCTAATTCATATTTTGGAATATTTTTGGAGAATAATTATTTGTACTGCATGAGGAATCCGATGAGCTATAAAGCTCTTTTTCACAGATGTCCAGTCTAGGCACGGGGTTAGAACGTTACAACAACAAACAGTACAACAACATGCCAGAAGTGCAAAGTACAAGAAAGGTACATAAATCACCCAAACACAGACAAATACAAACTCAACCATCCCCACCCTACCAGACAGCCCATTTACAGAGCGCCTTCACTCAAGGTGCTGGACACAGTTTACGAAACGCCGACAGAATAGAATGATTTAGATGGCAGGGGCAGTGCTACAAGGTATTGAGGAATGGGTGACAGCGATAGAGAGGTGCTTATGGATCATGAAAGGCGAGGGGAGGGATGGGAAGGGCTGACGAGGCGAGGGAAGAGAAAGAGAATGGGCGATAGAGAAGAGGTGAGCTGTAATCAATCATTTTAAGCCGCATTTGATTGCATTAACAACTGATTGTGTGTGTGTGCATCTCTACAGAATTCGGGAATGACATTCACCAACAAAGGAATGGAATCGCCGATGTGATTCTGGATCCGGGATGCCTGCTGATTCCGCTGGTAAATTCGGGCGTTCGGCTCCCGTTCCCTTCGTCACAGCTCCCGCCAGCAGGAGGCTCACAAGCCTCACCACATGCGTCGCAGAAATCCTCAACGCCGCAGCCATCTCCGTTAACATGAAGCACAAATTAAAGCCCGGTTACCAAGCGAATGTGACCAGCAGCGCTGCGAGGCAAAACATAAAAAAATCGACATAGGCAACGCTTAGGGCCCCGGATTCATAAATTTTTTGATATGGGTGCTTGAAATATATCGGCTCAAATTCAAACCTTAACATAACACGCCAATTTCTATAAAGTCAATTAAGATCTCATCTTTAAACTTGCCTGTATCTATGGTCTTTCATCTCGACATTTTTTCATGTCTACATCTCTTCCATCATCTCGCTAGAAGTTTTAAAATGGAAAGGCGAGGGGGCTTTTAATTTTTTTTTACTTTTGCTTAAGAGTTCCCCCAATGAACAGCCCCACCAATGAATGATGTAACAGATGCATTTACACCACATTCTTCCAACGTTGTCTATTCTGCTGAAGCAATAACAGCAAGGCATCCCTCGTATAACGTGCGAATCTGCAGTTTTGCGGTTAATCTTTTAGGGGCACATATACTGGAGAGAAGAGAAAAAAAACCCAAAATTGTAAAACTACGGTTTTCTAATTAATTTTTTTTTTTCAATTATAACAAAAATAAATCCCGATGGCATCACGGCGCCCACCACAGATGGAGCTGAGTAGAAGCAGCCGCCCACTCAAGCGTTCAAGAAGCCCTGAAAAGACTCCTTATTAACTAATCATTGCAAGTAGTAATCTTTTTCATCTCATCATTTGTTATTAAACTCCTTTTTAAAGTATTTTTTGTAACGGTGATATAATTTAGCATTACATTTATACGTATTTTGTAAATCCAGGGCAAGAATAATTAAATAAAATACTTAAATTTTCTTTGGTAACGCCCCCCCCCCCCCCCATCAGTCTATGGGAAACAAACTTCAAAACAGCATGATTCGACTTGCACGCTGTTGATCAGGAACACATGCCACGCGTTATGTAACAATACGCCTTTAATATTAAACATACTATGCCCGTATTGTTTTGCTCTCTTAAAATGCAGCAGTATGAATATAGTGGTATACCAAATTTTTATATGGTGTCTGTGTAGAGTCATTGGTGACCAGGCTGAGTGTATCAGCTTGTATCATCGCACTTACGAGCCTGGTTTACATCACGAAAGACCAAAAAATAACCCAGACCTGAACCCAGCATCTCAGCAGTGCTGGCTGAGTGCTGGCCGACACGGTCATTACGAACACCACGAACCAGCCAGCCACCATGAGAAATGTTAATCTTGAAAACTAAACACGTACCGCGCTCTCGGGGAGGGGGCGGTGATGGCAACTAAGCTGCAGCTCGTTTTCCGCTCGTTGCAAAGGTTTGCAGTTGAAGACCAGCGGGCCTCCCTGATTAATTGCTGCAAGTGGGCGGTGTACAAACAATAGACGCACGGCCTCGCGGTGGACGTTCATAATGTCGTGACGCTATTGGGCAAAAGAGCAGGCCACGTGGTGCTGTCGTCGCGGTCCAAATTACATTTCGAACCTCATCACAAATTTCTTAATTGCATAAGTAATGTCACCTCCCCCGCCCACCCCCCCCCCTATTGTGAAACTACTACAGACTGTCATCATTTGTGAAGAGCCATGGCGTCTTTGTGATAGCCGTGGCGTCATAAGAATGGCACGAATACCAAATCATTTGATTTTATTTGACGTTAAATTAAACAATTTTTTTTTCCATTAACGCGAAATAAATAGAACTTCACCAGCGTCGAGTTCAAAACGGAGGTGCCACTTCGTCGCGCGTGTCCACTCTTCCGAGCGCCCCTCTTCTCCGTGACGTTGGAGCGCCCGCCCGGTAGCTCGCACGCCTCGAGGAGTTGCCAACGGCGTGGCTGAACATCGTCTTCAACCTGAGCGAGGTCGAGCGGCTGGGTCGTGGTGTGTGACGGGGTAGAGCGGTGGGGGTTACTCTGTGGCCAACCTCCCAAGGTTCTCCCCACCATCATGGCAAAGATTTCTAGAGGGGGTCTCTCTTGAGGGGGCCCTTCTGCCGGTAGTGGGGTGAGCAAAGCAATTGCAGGGGGCTGCGCTTTTCGCAATTTTCTTCGAAAGGCCTTTTGGATTAACACAATGCACGCGTTGCTTTTTGGGGGGCTAGGACATTTTTTTTCCAACATAATAAAAAAACACCACATTTATAATTGTATACATATTAAAAAAACTAATAACCAGATAACAATTTAAAAAAATATCTAGTATCTGTGATATTACAATGGATGAGATATAGTTAACGTTTTAATATGCAGTTTACATTATAAAATATTTTTTAAAGAGACTTCTGTTTTTTGCATTTTAACCGCTGGAATTGAATGAAAACGTAGCAGTTCGTTGCTTTTGCAGGTTCACACGCGAACCTGAACATAATGAACTTGTACTTTCCGTTTCGATTTTCAACTTGGCCATTGTAGAGCAGCTGAAATGCTACAACCTTTCGCCCCCCCCCCCCCCCCCCCCCCACAATTTGCAATAAAATGTAGTCGTCGTAGTAAATTAGTTTGGCTTGCAAAGAGACTTCTTGGTCTTTTGTTGCTCCACGTTTCAGGAAAAAATAATGGGGATCGGTGACGTTTTCGTTTAAACGTTTTAATATACCGTACTTATATACCATACCATACCGTACTTCTTTATTTTTAACATGTCTTTGCAATTGTGTTCTAGCAAACGCAATAAACACCACAAAACCCCGCGACTTGGTATGACGTTTACTTGCTTCTCAAAAAGAACAAAAATATATAGCTTTTTTTTGCCAGAACAGCAGATAATTAGTGTTTGACACCAAACACTTTTACAGACGAGAATTCCTATAACAGCAAACAGAAGATACACCACATTGAGTATTACATACCCATCAACGTCACCACTGTACACAGACTATCTCACCTTAAAAATAGCAAAATATGCGATATGATGCCCCAATTTTTTTCATTGTACACAAATCCATCGATGCTTTTTTGTGTGTGTGTGTCCCTCACCCCTCGTTTTGTATTTCATTTACAAAAAAAAGAGAGTCAAAGACACAACAAACAGCTACGGTTATGGGTTCGGCGTGTGTGTGGTTGGTGGAAGGTGGCGTGGGGAATGGATCAGTTGGGCAAGGGGGGTTATTGTTGTTGTTTGTTTGGTAAAATTTCTATGTACAAAAACAAAAAGGAAGGTAGGAAGCATGCGTATCCCAAAGGGGATGTTACCACCCTGGGAAGGTCCAAACACGTCCGAAAGTGCATTAGTTGCGTTGTTGGGGGGGAGGAGGGGGGGGGAGACACGAGCGAGTCAATTTACATTCATGGTAACACGCACGGACAACGGCAACGTTCAAACCCGGCGTTCACGAAGCTTCACTTTACGTTTCCGAGAAAGTTATTCACAAAGCGACAGAATAAACAAATAGTAACCACCGGGTCCCGAGTACTTCTCTCTCTCTGCGGTATACACTTCTGCGGCCGTCTGGAACGCTCTTCCTTCCGATACGAGGAAGCCACTGGAGCTATGCACTTTTGAATCATCTAGATTGACAACCCATTTCTTTAGAACTGCTTTTTGTGTTTAGTTTGTTGTCCTTCGACCACTCCTCTGATTAGCGCGGTTGGCTACGCACGGTGCGAGAGGTTCATCATACATACGACGCTGCAGCAACAACCTTCAAGCTTTGGTTATGCTCCATGCAGCGGCATAGGCACGGACGACCCCACTACCTGCAGTGCAGAGGCAATGAATGAGGCCATGGCTGCGTGGCCCTGCACACGCGTGTGTGTGTGTGCTTGTTTGACAGGTGGGAAGCGGTATTGTAGTGGTTCGTGCACTGCGCTACGAATCTGGCGACCCGAGTTCGGTTCCCGGCCACGGCCAACATCAGTGGCTCATATGTGAACTGCTCCTGGACCTCCCCTGGGTCGACTCAGCCTTAAATTAGTACCTGGTGCGGTGTGTTAAATCAGCACTGGGGAGACACGTGGCTGAGCGTGGTGCTAGTAACACCACTTGCTCATGCCATTCTTAAAAAGGTGCATGGTAAGAGCACTTTCCCCAACACTCTGTTCACGGCTATAAGGGTGATGTTTGTTTTTGTATCATAAAGGTGCTCGCTAACAGCACATGCCGCAACAGCCAATGTAGGCAATATGGGGAATCTTCCTCTTGATATATACTATTACAGAAAGGACTTTACACATTTAAAATGTTAATCTCCATTGGTTTAATCAACAAAGCGTTTATCAGCTATGAACCAGTGTGGGGAAATTCCACATCAACCACTACGTGGAATTTGTGCCATCAGTGCCACTTTCTCTGCAGGATGACAACACTGTTGACTGTACACAAAGTTGTACTTATTTTACTGACCGCCCCAAAGTCACGATGAGATAAGTATTAGAAACTCTACATTCCTAAAACAAGAACAGTTCATTCTCCGAACAGGCCAAACTCTCTGATCACAGCAAACCAGACACTTCAGAGAGACAGAGAGAGTAGAAGACAGAGCGAGAGTAAACTCAGTGTTGCAATTCCACAACGCATTTGCCAGCACGTCTTAAGTGTACAAAAACCTGCTGGAGCGCACGCGCACACGGGAAGTCAACGTCCACTGCTGCGTCCGAACCAGGCGAGAGCCCCGAAAAAACCTCGTTACGTCTCCAGCAAGACCTGGGTGCACGACAATTATCACTACGCGTGGACAGGGGGTATATCTTTTGCGAGCGATGAGAAGTGTTTGGATTTGTTGAACCGGGCCATGCCGACGCCTTCGCGCGGTGGCACGGGTGCCCATGGCATCGCTTGACGCTCCCAGCCGTACGGCAACGTGCTTTGGTGATTTCCAATCCCGGGAATTATTATTTTTTAAACCAAGCAGCTGCGGGGGAATCAAACCGTCGAGTTTCCGCACAATCTGGGCTCATCAGCGGGGTGAGCGCCAGGGCGACTCGGCCACCCCGAGCCACCCCCCGTGGGCCAGATTTCCCACGCCGGCGAAAAAAGGGGTGAAGCCGCGCTGGGTCACCGGCGCCGGAGATGGCGCAGTTTCGCCAAAAAATCGGGACGGGAATGAACGTTCGCCAACACACGAATCGGGCCCCGTACCCCACATAATTCGGGATGTGACGATGAATTTGTCCTTAAAATGAAAGTCGATTCCTCTGCTCATAATACATGATTTTAATTGTCCCTATTAGAATCTATCATTTCCAATGAATACATGTTTTCCATGCGATTGGTACGTAAAAACCAATAGCCATTGCCACCACCATGGCAGGATAAGTTATGCGACCGAGTTGGATATTGCCGTTGTGCTGCAAAGCTCTCCGGCGTGTTCAATTTGTGCAGAGCATTGTTTGGTGTCATGTCCAACGCAAAGCTGTGAGCTTCTTGATGAACTGAAGCGAAACGTTGGGCATCGTGCCAAACAACACTGGGTAAAACCCACAAATATATATCGGAAGCTAAAAAAAAATGTAAGTATTTGCTAAATTGAATTTTGACCCCCAACTCGTGACCCCAGCCCGATGAGCGGATGCCCTGAATCGTGACATCCCGGTAGAGCATCAGCAGTGTACGAATACTGTTCAAATGAGTAGCAGTCAAAATGTCTTCAGATTGAATCGCACAAACCCATGAGTGTAGTTTCATTCCAAATACAACTCCCCTGCGAATACATTCTATTGCGTAGCGGCATCATTTCACGGCAGCAAACGAAGCTTCGATACGATGGAACTCTCACGGCTATCAATGCGCTCACCGTGTCAAAAACGCCTTGAAATATCATACCGCAGAAATACTTCTGGCGCAACTTCAACGAACCTCTCTCTCATCCGGTATGTTGATCATCTCGTAATCGGTGTCCATGAGAGCCGAGCTCGGCCACAGAAAGTGGATTTATACACCATCACGGGATATTTGTCATTTGCGCAGTCTTTAGTAACCAGGCTTCTTCGGTCATTAGACTGAGATCGATCTTCGTGAATCCTGGAATTAAACCCAGAATCTCAGCCGTGTCAGCTTACTCTGGCACCGTGCCGGCCTCCTCAGTTGGGTCTCCACCTCTTTCCAGACCAAACCCGGGGACTATTTCTCGGTCAGCCTCGGTCTATCAAAACCGTGCACTCTCCTGAAATAAAAGTCAGCACAATTCCTGTACCAAGTCTAAGTATAAATCAATTAATGCCACTCCGCACACAGATGCAAATTCCCAGACTGTCCGAGTCAAACTCGGATGGGTGGGGCAGCCCTAATCAAAACCCATCCAGCAAAATTAATTATTTTAAATGGGAACATCTCAAAAGCAATGTTTTTTTTCTTCCTGTGGCTGCCAATTTACTGTGAAAATAAAAACGGATTCCTGCTCAAACAAAGCGTACGGCAGTGCTTCTCTCCTTCATTACATCGCTGAACCACTGGTGGAAATTCCACATTCCTATGACAGTGGCAAGAGTATCTATAGCATGACCATTGTTAACTTTGCAGTCGCAACTCATCTTTTGTTGACTCGGGAAAAGGACTAAGATTTTGAATTTGCAACCTTCTAATTCATAATAAAGGTTTTTGGATTAGATCGCGTAAGCATAAATGTGTCGTAACCCTCCACCACCCGACACAGCCAGCAAGGTTTGTCACAAACAAAACGCGCCAATTCGTTTACTACTTCAGCCCACCGGTGTGTTGGAGAGTAAATCCACAACATTTACAATTTGAGTAGTACGATGTTTCGCTGGGAGGGTTACGATACATTTACACTTACGAGATCAAACCCAAAAACCCTTTTCATGAATATTGGTCGCGAAAGCCTACGTGGTAAACATCCTGATTGCGAGTCACAAGCTCTGAACCACTGCACACCACGCAGGCAGATAAATAATATGATTATGGAATTCAAATAATCAAAGCCACATGTGAGAAGTTTACCATCTCACACTCATCACGTTTTGACTGCCCCCATGCATTCTCGTGTATACACACGGTATACGTACTAGGCACACATAAGTATGTATATGTACACAGTACCGATATGCACAGATACATGCGGCATAACACAGTATATGTACACAGGAGCTGGGGGAAAACTAAACTTCCTTAAAGCCTCAGAAGAAGAGGATTCGATCTGCACTTGCAGGAGGAATTGTGTTTCCTGGACAACAGTGAAGGTCTCTTGGCTTTTGAAAAAAAAAAATTCCCTATAATTTAATCCCAATTGTGCTACTTTGGTAGTGTTACGTCATGAGAGGAAGAACGCATTGCAGGCCTCTCGCACAGCGGTGCTAACCTGCTGACAGTGATATTACTCACATGGCAATGAACAATTTCTTAATTCTCAAAACTCGGGATTTAGCCAAAATGCTGAACCAAAATGAATATTAGTTTCTTTGTACAGTCACTACTGATCAGGCGAAGACCATGAACGTGCTATAATTTAGAATTTAGTATAATCATCGGGAGCTGCATGGATTCAAACCCCGAATCTCAGCAGTATCAGCTCAGCGTTCTGACCTCAGAGGCATCTGGCTACCTCCAACTTCCCTGGCTATTAAGTCACCGTTAGCATCCAGGGATCTGTGTTTGTATTTGGAGACTGGTCACATCCTCAGGAATGGCTGCTCTTGGTCATAAGGAACACATAGAGAGGCTGATGAAAGCTTGCGATTTAAGCTTTGCAGTCTGATAAGCTCAGTTTACAACTTAATTTAAATAGGATTCAAATACTCTCCCTCCTGCCTGTGTTGTCACCTGCTGTTCCAGTCCATTTAGGCACACGTTGAATTTCTGATTGAACTGTCCTCATATGTAGAATTGGAAACATGGCTTAGGCATCAACTGCAGCCAGCATGCATCCTAATGTTCTGAGGTTTTGAGGTCTCACAGCTTGCCGATGCATCTGTGTCCGAGACTAACATTCTGTAGAGAAAATGTCGCGTCGAATGTGGTCAATAGACATTTCAAATGAGGCCCATGATTGAGGCCTACTGCAGACAGGATGCTCGCCTAGCTCTCTCTGCAACCCCTGAAAGTGGCCATGGGCAAAATAAATCTCGACGAATGCCTTGTAGTAAAGTGAGTCTCTCTTTGCCAACACAAGTTATTTTATAATGGGAAAAATATAAATGTGTGATGATCAACAACTACAATTTTATTGTTAAAAAAATACTTAAAAACAGCACAGCATTACTAACATCAGTAAAAAAATTGATGAAAGACAATTATAACAATTGGTTTATAAACAAGAGGCCATCTTGATGTATTCAGATGTCAAGGCCATGAGTAAATGATACATCGTCCTCCCGTTACAAACGAGGCAATGCAATAAAGATTATCAAGAGGCCAGGGGACCGATTCATGTAGCCATTTTAATTCATGTGAGGGGGTCCATGCCTTACAAGCATGCACCAATTCAACCGCAATTAATTCTGGGTAGTGTAAATGGCTCATCGTGGGGAGGTGGATGTTGTGGTTGGTGGATAATCACCATCATCAACTACCACAGCAGCATCATTATCATCGTTTTCATTTATCACCATAATTATTGGCATCTTCATGATCACAATGATTGTTTCCACCATAATTATAATCGCTATTATTTTATTCATTATTATCCTTTATCCTCATCATTACAAAATTATAATCCTCGTCCATCATCTTCACCATAGTAATCATCATCATCATCGTCGTTGTTTCTAAGTAGCTTTAACTGTTTTTGGCTTAACACCACAATTCCACGCCTCGGCAGAGGGCGTCACTCTCACGCGTACGTGAGCACGTGTGGGGCCTCGAGTGGTCGGCTCAGTCCGCTGGCGGGGGTAAGTTGTTCTCGCATGTAAAGACAGCGGTGGCTCCTGTCGGCACTCCACCAGCTACCGACAGTTTACGTGCAGAGAGTGGGAGGGGGGGCGGGAGGGGGGCTTCAACCAATTTTCCGTAACGGCGAATCGAGCCACAAATCTACAATTTTAGCGGAATAATTTTGTTGCGGAGTTTCCACCGGACGATGCTGGGATCGAGTAAAAGCTTGAAACCTCTACATGAATCGGGTGCCCCGGGTTCTGGCTCCAGGCTGCATAATGTAACTAGAAACTGGCAATGTGTACGTATGGGAAAACACGTTTTTTTTTACCGCATATGCTTAAGACCTTGAATGCGCACTATTTTAATACACACTGTGTTACAGGTCACCCCCTCCCCCGCCACACGTGATGAATGTAAAATGACGCAAAAGCAACCACTGCAAGATCTTCCCCATCCTTCAAGGGTCTACCTTACCACGGAAACTCCGTTACACTCTCGCAAGCCGTGCGGATCGAGCTCCGTCGCCGCGACACCTCGAATGAGCCCCCCCGATACACCCCACCCACCCCCCCCCCCCCCCGGCAGAGCCGCACTCGGACGGATCAAAGTGCAAAAAAAAAAATCCTGCGCCGAGTTTTGTCGTGCGGTGAACGGGCTGAGACCGTCAAAGAGCATGCAACACTCGAGAGCCTCCCACCCCGCTTGGTCCCGGCTCCCCACGGACGCCTCGGCAAGTGCTGGCTTCGGTGCGCTGACAACGGCAACAACAGCACTGGCTACAGCGTCCCCCCCCCCCCCCCCCCCCGTGAACCGCCACCCAGCCACGTCTTCCACCACGAAGCCGTTGGACCACGCAAGAGTCTCTGCCACGATCCGGTTGCGTCTCGTCGACGATTTATTTTTCTCTCCCCCCCCCCCCCCCACCAAACGTAGCCTTCCCCCTCCGAACTCCAGTGGCGTTCTTGGCTGCAGGAGCCCCGGGCGTCGGTGGTTTCAGCGCCGCGGTAGGAGCCACGGTTCCACCAATCAAGGCACTCACGCGGCTGCGTTCCTCCGCCGCCGCACTCTCCCCCACCCCCTCGCGTTTCTACATTCGCATCACTCCGAGACCTTTGGCCGTTTGCGTAGCTTTTTCCCGCTGCCTTCTCCCAAAAGGTAGGAGGCGTTGATTGCTAGAGGGTGGAAAGAGGGGACGGCGGACAGAGGGTAAATGCGGGGGGGGGGGGGGGGGGCGGGCGAATGGGGCACGCAAAGACGGCACGTGTACGCTCAAGCGCACGCGCACACAGATACACGCGCGCACACACATGCAGGTACACGCAAACCCATATGCACGCGTAGACACGTACATGAGACAGTGACACACACAACACAAAGATAAATATTAAGAGCATGTTAAACATTGGGAGCACCAAGGTAGAGCTACAAGATGTATAACAGTGACTGAGTTTATATGGCAGGGCAATCATAATGTAACCAAGATGCACACAAGCAAAACATACAATTCATCACATTCTAAACAACAACAATATAAAAAAGGAACTGAACACATCAGACGTGACAGGATTTCGTTGATATTGGCCATACGTCCGAATGCAGGACCCTCCTTAAAAGGGTCCTGCACGTCACCCCGTCTTGATGCGCAAGCTCCGTTAAATTGCGCACTTCAGTTGGCGCTCAAAGTTCAAAGTGGACGGCGACCCTCGAATAAAAATAGCGCCACCCTCCCCGTGGTCGCCCCCCCCCCCGTGATCCGTGGATCAAATCACTGGAGACACACCGGCGGCGTACGCCGGCCAAGAGCGGTTTATGCGAACGCCGTCGCAAAAGTCGCAAGTTCGGCACAAACGGTCCTTCTCCGACTACGCCGTGATGCGAATGACCCTCCTGAAGAAGCCTGGGGCCTCAGCGCCCTGACCTCTGAGTCCCCCGTCGTCCTGCGTCCGAGACTCTCTCACCGCTGCGTGCGGGAAGCTTGTCCAGCAGCCTCAGCAGCAGGGAATCCAACCGCTCGGTCCCGCTGCGATCCATCTCTTCCCCAGACTGCCCCCCGCCATCCAGTTCGCGAGCATCCATCGCCTCCTCCTCCTCCTTCGCCTCCTCCTTCGCCTCCTCGCGCAGAGGCTGCACGGCCTCTTCCGTCGTCGTCGCTGCCACCACCTCGCAGTCACGGCCCCCGTCTAGCCCGGCAACCGCAGGACCCTGGCCCGGGTCCTTGGCAGCCAGGTGCGGCCTCTCTTCTGCCCGTCGGAAGGTGTGCTGCCTGTCCACGCTGCCACGCCTGTACTTGTCGTTTTTCCACGTCGACCTTGGAAGCAATCGTTTGGAGTGAAACAAATTGATGTTTTGCGTTAATCGGCATTGCTGTATTCGTGACGCAGCAGTGAACTGCTGGTGCGTCATTGACCTTTTGCGAAATCAATGGCGGGCCGCGTAGAAATGCAGCGTGGGGTTTTTGTCAACGTTTGGATCGATTGGCATTCTTCAGCAATAACAATAACAAGGCCATTTGGTTTAGATGTGAATATATCTTTTAGCCTCGTACACAGAAATATCATGTTATTTTAATGTCTTAAACTGCTGTTTATTTCAGCGGATATACATTGCATTATAAATGAGTTTGATTCAAAAAATCGTAATTTTCAAGTGAAACATCTCAAATATAAGCTATTATTTTTTTTAGTGGAGCCTATTCAACCAACAGTGTGGCATGAGCATTTTTAAATCTTTTTTACTATAGCCTTTAACAAACTGTTAGGCCAAGTGCTGTCAATGAGCACCTACTAAAGTTGGCACGGCACCATTCCCGGCCACCGTTGTCTCCTGAGCGACCATGTTTACACAAACTCTTTCACAATAACAAGACCATTTGGTTCTAGATTTGAAGCTTTCGTGACTGCAAGGATTCATACTCTTAGGTTTTTTCGGTAAAGTCACGTAGGTAAAAAAATTAACACGGTAATACCCATCGCTTTCACACTCACATCTGCTGCTGTGTCCTCACCGAACTCTAAACAGATTTTATTTAACTTGTATCTTGAAATGTTTTGCCTCACTTGATACAGTAAATCTAGCTGTGACGGTCCCACCTGATGACGGAGACTTGTGTTGCCTCCGAAACGTCGTGATTTATTATTTTATTTTTATTATTACTTTAATTAATTAAAATTTTATTATTTTTTTACCTTCGTGACTTTACCGAAAAAAACCCAAGAGTATAAGGCCATTTGGTTTAAATTTGAATATATTTTTGCCTCATACACAGAAATATTATGTTTTCAAAAATGTCTTAAGGTGCTGTTTATTTCAGCGGATATATTGCAATATAAACGGATTTGATATTTAATTAAAAATATATATATTTGAGGCTGAGTCGACGCAGGGGACGCCCAAGACCGGCTCAGATGTTCATCACTGGTGTTGGCCGCGAGAGGGAATTGAACTCGGGTGGCTGGGTTCGCAGTGCAGCGCGCTACCCGCTACGCCACCGCGTCCCACGATTAGTGCAGCACAGACGGTAATGAAGGCCAACCTATCAAGAATTCCACAGGAGAACCATCAAAGGCAGCCCTGCACGGCTGCCTTGTTTCATCGTGGTCACGGGGAAACATCAGAGGCTGTTCAAGCAGCCCTGCTGCCCGGTCAGCCCCACACTTAGCCCTGGCAAAACGCAGCGTTTATTACCTTCCTCCGTTGCGCTTGTAGCAATCTGGTACCTCGTGCGGCTGTTGAAACACAACAAAGACAAATACATTATCTCTCACCTCTTCAGACGCTGACATGCACAGGGCACCCAGTCACAATATGCATAAGGGACAGAGTATTTATTTGCAGGATGAATAGTTGGTAGGCTATTATCATATTCCCCATGGTCAAACTAACTGTGCTGTCCCTACCAGGAACCGATGAATATAAAACAAAAACAATAGTTCCACCGTGTTGGTTTTTCGCGGGTTGTGCTGCGCGTTGTTCAGCACAATGTCCAACGTTTCCCCCATTTGTTCAAACTCAACGGTTTCTGTGAACGATGAGAAAACCCATCACGAACAGAAAATGCGTGCAGGCTGGAAACAATCGGATGGAATAACGCACTTACGTGTGCTCACGAAATCGGCGAACTTGCTATCCGAAATTTTGGCTATCCGCCACTTGCATCTGTAACTCTACACGACAACTGCATCGAGAGAGAGAGAGTCAGCCTCGCTCTCTTCTCCCTTCCACCCCCGCGTCCGCCACCGCTGCCTCGCCTGCCAGCCCTTGCTCATCTACGGACGATCCGGATGACCCCCCCCCCCCCAGTCTATCCGGATGTGTCTATGTGGGAGCAGTAACGACATCACAATGTTCGTCATCATCATCATTACCACCACCGTCATCGTCGTCAGCACCATCATTCCTGCATCCTTGCACTGCACAGAATGATCATAATTTAAGGTAAGTTCATTTACAAACTATGATTTAATATTTTAATGTTCATTTTTTTTTACTTTGTTTATTATAACCAATTTTGCTTATTGTGTTATTATAATTTTCATGTATTTAATAGTTTTTATTTTATTTAAGGTCAATCATTAAAAAGGTCAATATCATTATCTGCGAAATTTGCTATTCACGAGCATGTCCAGAACGTATCTCTCACGAATAACGAGGGAGTACTGTACTCCCATTATTCTTTCCATGTGACCACCATAATCTATTTAGAAATCGCTCAGCCTTGCCCAGACCACTTTAACAAGAGCTGAATGTGTGGCCAATTTCGTTGATTAGGCCAACAAGAGTTGACATCACAGCCATCCCAAGAGGCAACAGTGAAAGAAATAAAAATACACGGGTTGACTGGTATCATACTCACTATGGGGACCTCATTTGCCAGTAAAAATATGATAATTGATTCTTTACCCTTCTATCTGGCAACAAAACTGACACCTTTTTGCAAGGAGTCATGTTTGCATAGACCGCAATACCTGCAGTCATAATACAAACAAAAGAACATAACTCTGATAATGTGCACTGTCCTTGAAGTTGATTGGTCCACACCCGAGACAGCTTTCCTTCGAGCCTAGTCTCATATGGGTTGGACCAGATGACGCCAAAAGGCGTCAAAAGGCGTCATCTGGTCCAACCCATATGAGACTAGGCTCGAAGGAAAGCTGTCTCGGGTGTGGACCAATCAACTTCAAGGACAGTGCACATTATCAGAGTTATGTTCTTTTGTTTGTATTATGACTGCAGGTATTGCGGTCTATGCAAACATGACTCCTTGCAAAAAGGTGTCAGTTTTGTTGCCAGATAGAAGGGTAAAGAATCAATTATGGTATCATACTCATTTTGATTCATCAGTACAGCACAGTTATCAATTTTCACTGCTGTCATATGCCTCTGGGAGCTCACATATGTAGAGGGCTGACCTCTACACTATGGGGACCTCCCCCACTGGCACTTGCCTAAAGACAACACTAACTGAACTGTTGTTTCCGTGCGCCAGGTGAGCGTGGGGGCTACTGACCGTGTAGTTTCGCTTGGGCTGCAGACGCTGCTGAAAGGCCTGGAAGGCGTGCGGCTGCGTGCACACGGGGTACGGGTTGCGCTGAATCTTGAAGAAGAGGTGCGCCGACCTGTCCAGGCGGAAGTCGCAGATGTACACGTCCTTCTCCTGCGCGCCCGCGGGACGTCCTGCCGGCGGGAGGGGGCGAGTGTCCCGTCGGTGTTAGCAAAACAAACAGTTTCAATTTAAAGCTTTCGTGACTGCAGGGATTCATCTTCTTGGTTCTTTCGGTAAAGTCACGTAGACTTTACTGAAAGAACCAAGAAGACAAAACAAAGTTTCGATTTAAAGCTTTCGTGACTGCAGGGATTCATCTTCTTGGTTCTTTCGGTAAAGTCACGTAGACTTTACTGAAAGAACCAAGAAGACAAAACAAAGTTTCGATTTAAAGCTTTCGTGACTGCAGGGATTCATCTTCTTTGTTCTTTCGGTAAAGTCACGTAGACTTTACTGAAAGAACCAAGAAGACAAAACAAAGTTTCGATTTAAAGCTTTCGTGACTGCAGGGATTCATCTTCTTTGTTCTTTCGGTAAAGTCACGTAGACTTTACTGAAAGAACCAAGAAGACAAAACAAAGTTTCGATTTAAAGCTTTCGTGACTGCAGGGATTCATCTTCTTGGTTCTTTCGGTAAAGTCATGTAGAATGGAAATAATAAAATAATAAAAATGAAATATGATAAAATTATTTTATTATGTTTTATTTAAAATTATTAAAGAACCAAGAAGACAAAATAAACAGGTCAGGGTGAATAGGTCATCGCAGTCAATGCCTCGTGCCGCTTCATTCTTTCTGCCACAGCTCGCAGCTGTGGCTCAGTTGATACTGGGCCACACTTACAGTCTCATCATCACCACCTACTTTGGCTCATTATCTTCTCTCCTTTGGTCATAAAGTTGCTCTTGCCTACTTCTCCCCCACCTCATGTTACTCTCCTCCCCCCCCCACGCACACTTCTCCCACCTCTCCATACACTCTTTTGCTCCGGCAACTAAAGGCTTTCTGTCAAAGCCCCAAGTCATCCTCCACTCAGTGGGCGGTCATTCCATCTCATCTGCTGCCCTTCGTGCCGACTTCCTCCCCCCGGCAGTCCGCGCTGTCGACTCCTCGACTTGTTTTAGTCCAGGACCGAGGCCTCTTTTCCGCCTGTAGTCAAATGTGTTTATCTTTTTCAAACGACTGAACGAGTCTACTTTCCTCAGGGTGTCCCACCGATTGCTTTGGCCTCTTCAGATGCGGTTGCATTTAGACGCGATATAAATCCCAGCTGTAATTGACCTCTGGGTGCTACTGACACATGCCCTCCTTCCACCCTACAAACGTACACATACGTGCGTCCAACCATTACAGCCTCCCTCTACAAAATTACGACACAGCCTCTTAGTCAGATGCTGTTCCGAACATCCAAATTTCCACCGTGAAATTCCTTGGGAAATGTCCTAAAGTTATAAATGTCACTTGTAAACCAGCTCTAGAGCCGAAGATATACACGCACACACACATGCATACTGTAACAGCCAGGTGGCACTGTTGCACAATTGAAACTTTAAAAGCAAAAAAAGCATTTACTCTCCATGTAAACTAATGGTTGCGCAGTGGTGGTGCAGTGGTTACCACACTGCGCTATCAACCTGGCAACCAGAGTTAGATTCCCAGCCACGAATAACATCATAGGCGAGTGATATTTAAATCGGTCCTGGGCTCCCCCCCCCCCCCCCCCACTTACAAACCCACACTGACCAGCGTGGTGAAGTATGGTCAAACGACCCTCGTGACTCAAATGGTATCGCTCGCCTTCATCCAGCAATGAATTGACCAAGGGTTGCAAATCATTCTGAAGCATAATTATTAACGTATATATATTGGTTAAATAGTAATTTAAAATTTTGAGCTCATTCAGATTGTGGATAACATGAGATGGGAATGATAAGTTGACAATGTATTTCAAAATGTTGCAAAAATTTAGTAACATTTATCACACATGCTTGTCTACTGAAATACAGTATTTAATTAGCCATAAAGAGCGTTACCTTCTGATGGCTTATGATGCCATCATTTTGGCCAAAAAGGCTTACAACAATTCTCATTTTTTTTATTGCCAAGTTCTAGGTAAATCCGTAAAATACATTTGCATATTTTTAAGTCGCTCAAAGTCCCTCATGAGCCAATGCATTAACGCTTAGTTGGAAAGCGTTAATAATAAAAAGATAACTTCACCAGGAGAGCCTCACCGGGTCTCAAGACTCATCATCAGTCAGATCCTCCTTAGCATGTCTGCCAAATTTCTTTCGGATTTGCACAAGCATGTGGGAGCAAAGAACACTTGAACGCACAGGGAAAACCCACGCATTTCAGAGAACACTGTACTCAAACTGCAACTGCGCACACATGCAGGGCGCCGCAGGCAAGCGCTCCTGACAAAGCATTCAGACTCAGCGAGGATGTCTGGGGTAAACGGAGAAATAATGTATCGTCGGAGCTGACTTCCAATTTCACAGTTATTGATTGGGTGCTCATTAAACGCTGCGTGTGCCACTGGGACTTGCTGCTGAAGGAGGTGAAGGGACACAAGATTTATAGTGATGACTCATCACCGAGATTATATATTTTTTTCTTACAACAAATGAGGTCCAGAGACGAGCTAACGGATTCACCACTGCCTCCGACATGTAGGAGGAGACACGCATCTCCCCACTTACGCCTACGTGCATATACAGCCCTTTTGCCAATCCACTGCTGGACGATGGTTATAGGGGATTATTTTTTCCACACTTCGCCGCCGCTGGGCAGTGTAACTGGTGGTGGGTGGGAGCCCAAGACCGGTTCCGATATCTCCCCCGCCTCCCCCACCTCCCCCACCTCCCCCTCGTCGCCACCGATGTTAGCCGAGGCCGTGTTCATGGTGCGGTGCAGTGCCAACTACTGTGCCACTGCTCCACTCCCTGTACCACACGTGTACATGTGAGATTGTCTCATCCACGGCCACCAATTACTGCAAAGCAAATAAACAAACCGTAACATCACAAAATTTGCTCCGGTGTTTCATATCACTCGCCGTTAATGTTAGCCTGGGCCGGGAATCGCACTCGGGTCGCCAGGTTCAGAAGGCAATGCACTAGCCACTGCAACACCGCTCCACCCCAGATGAGAGATTTAATAAAAACATTTATAAAAATAGGGTTGTTTTGTGCAGTCGTTAGTGACTGGGCTGAGACCAGAAACTAAATTCACTTAAACCCAGGACCCCAGTAGTGCTGTCGCTTGTCTCTAACAGTCATTATACGTCCCCCGAGCCAACCGCTCACCTCGGCCAACTGCTTTAGCTGCTGCTGCTGCTGCTGTCAGCTGAAATCTATAAAGAAACCTGGCTGCCCAGACTGTCACACAACGTCCTCGTGCAGATGCTGGCTCCTTGCTCTCTTGGACTACGTTAACCACGTCAGCCACAGAGCCATCCTTTTACAATGGTGTGGTTTAAAACATTTCTACATATATAGGGCCTCTGAGCAAATCAGCCATAATGTGCCCGATTGCATTGGATCTTGGAACTCAAGCAGGTTGGAGCCCGGCTCGTGCTCGGATGTGTGCGGCCACTGTGTGCGTAACTGGTGTTTGCAGGCTGCGGGGGCAGCAGAGACGGCGGTGCAGCAAAACGTATTGTTGCACCCTACTGCTATGCTCCCACGTCCTTGTTCCCTGCCTTCAAACTCTTTCACCAACCCAGCACTGGTCAGCCGCGGTGAGCAGAAGGTCAAATAGCTCCCACGACACCGCACGTGCATGGGTGGAGGAGGCCCTCATCCTGCAGCGGGATTGACAGAGAGGGCTGTGCTCGTGCTGGTAAGCCTGATGACCCAATTTAATCACTGCAGACCACTCTGGGTTCAAACGCAGAATCTGAGCCAGAAGGCGTGCGTGTGCTGTCAGTCAGGTCACGCCAACTGAATGCAAACTGCAGAATCCACGACACATCAGCCACAGGCGTGTTCTGCATCAGGGGGAGAGGAGGGGGGGGCGGTGGTGGTAGTGATTTAGAGGCCGGCCATGCGGCGTGCCGGTGGCAGCCCCGTGATGTTAATTGCGCGAGCTGTCTGATGGGGGGCGGGGGGGGGGCAGAAGCTGGCAGGGCCCCGTAGAGCTGAGTTGTGACGCTCCGCTCCGATGCATTAATATCGCACACGCGGAGATATTGGATTTTCTCCGGGTGCTCCGATTTCCTCCCACACGCAACAAACTCATTAAGGAATTGCAAGGAGAAGAGGAAGAAGAAACATCACAATGTCAGTAAAGGTACAGCCCTGAAATTACTGGCTCATGCCACTTGCTGGCAGGAAGCACCTTCACAGAGGGAGGTTCAAGAGAGCCTCTCTACACGGTAATTGGCATCATCCTTCGACGCAGGGCAGACGTCTGAGAAGCAGTGAGAGTGCCCACACTTTACCGCACCCACATTCCACCTGCCGATCAACTAGCTGTTCACAATGTAGGGCCTCTCCTAAAATATATATATCCTTGAGATTCAGTGAGGCTTTCCTGCATGAATATAGGAAACGGGTGCTATTTATCTACATGAGCTTCCACATTAACATATACATTGAGTAATGAGAGCATGTATTCCAAGGGAAATTTGGAAACTATAATAATGACAAACAGGCATCCAGGTGTCTGTAAACTATCTTTTTTAAAGAGTGGTGAATTGGATTGTGTTTTTACAAAACTCCATTTTGCATATTGCTTGGCACGTGGGAAGAAATCATAGAAACCGGAGAGATCAAACCCACGTGAAGGAATAACACTGAAAAGTCTGTAAACACAGGCTTGCGAAACCCACTTGCTGTGCTGCCTGGCCACCTCACCGCCCAGCAGGTTTGAGAGTGTCAACGGTTCCGCATGATCCATCAACCCTTGAATAGGCGCGCGTCCTACCACAACCAGCTTCAATTGAATTTGCTGAATTTCTAAACGTTTTTAGTTTGTCTGCGACAACGACTTAGAAAGCACGTGCTCTTGCGAACAATCTCGAAAAGGGTCTATAACGCACGCTGCTCTCCAGCGGACGTTCTGACAATTTCACCCAAATACATTTTAAGGAGGCTGCAGTGGGAATCAAATTGTCAACTTTGCAAGCAAACCAGCTGATTAGTGAGTGCATTGATAACTGCAACATTCACTCACTGTGCAACTATTAAACAAGAAAAGAGACAGACACACACACACACACAGAGGAAATGGATATGTGTGTTTGCAGTCGCCATTCATTGAGGGTAAAATTGATGCAACCGAATCAATATTTTTTAATATATTACCGCTGACAATGATGAAACGTGACGCCAATGACTAACGGATGGCCTGAACTCTGACCGGATCATGGTTAAACATTATTAAGAATTAATTATGCGGAAACAACCAAATAAATAATGAAAATCACAAATGACTCCAGAGGCCTCATGGGCAATGTTCCTCCCATTGCCTTTGACCTTGGCATTCATTCTCTGCCACAAGTCAAAGTCAAACAATCATCTTAGAATTGTTATCCGGTGGCTAAAATGTTCACATCGGTTGTGGTGTAAATTCCACGTTAAGATTATATGGCCTGGTGTAGCCTTCATAATGACATCTCACTTCTCGTAATGATGGTAGTGGTGATAATAGTGGTGATGGCAGTGGTGATTGTTTAACACGTAAGCTTTCGCGACCAGTATTATATTTTTCATAATAAAAGTTTTTGGCTTAGATCGCATTATTTATAAATGTGTCGCGACCCTCCACCACCCACACGGCCAATCAGTAAAAAATGTGCTACGTTGACAAAAGACAAATTGTTCACTACTTTAGGTGAGTCACATGCTAAGTGGCTGATTACTGATCTATTACATAATTGTATACACCCCCATGCCCGCCTCTGATCTCGAAACCTGATGGGGTTCAACATTGATGACGTTATTCGGCACTATTTAAGACCAGAAGCAGGTGGATGGCTTCACTATTCTGGCAAATCTCCCGAAGGTGCTGGATTTAATTTCAAGCGAAACGTCATACTCAAATTATAAATGGTGTGGATTCACTCTTCAACATAGTGAACTATTTGTCTTTTGTCAACGTGACACATTTTTTTACTGATTGGCCATGTCGGGTGGTGGAGGGTTGCAACACATTTATAAATAATGCAATCTAACCCAAAAATCTTTACTATGAGTGCTGATTGTGTTGGTAGTGATGATGGTGGAGGTGACAGTGCTGGTAGTGATGATGGTGGAGGTGACAGTGCAAGTGTTGATGATGAAGGTGGTGGCACAGTAGGGGGTGCAGGGGTACATCTGGTACATCTAGCAGTCATCTCAATCAGCCAACCCATGGCACCTGGGTCTGTCTCGAGACCTCCTGTCAGCGAGCCTTGCCTCAAAGTGCACCTGGCCTGGCACAGGCGCCGTGGTGATGTCACTGTCACTTAGTATCCAATGGCGGGTACCGATGGTGATGATTGCGGTAACAGTGGCGACTGGTTGCGATTCCAGTGGTATTCACCCGAATTAAAATAGTGATGGTGCTTGCAGTGGCGATGGTTCTGCCACGGGCGTTTAGCATAGGTGCTGAAGCCCAAATTGGCAGCGCCGACGAAAACGGGTGACCACACTGGCGTGCTGCTGGCCACCCACCCACTCGTGTGCCGTGCCAGCACCCGTAGGTGCTCGCTAACAGCACTTGCCCCAACAGCCTGTTAAGGTCACACCGGGGATCTTTGTCCTTGGTAGTAACAACGTTAGTGTCGATGAGCGCGGTATCGATTACAAAGCCTAATGGCAGTAGTGACCAGCGGCGCGCTAGCAGTGCGGCGATGGTGCTCGTCGCGACGATGGCGTTTCGAATCGCACGCGAGTGCAGGTGCCAGTGCCGGTGCGTGTGCGTCGGGGGGTGCCGCCGAGCTTGCGTGCATGCGTGCGTGCGTGAGTGGGAGGCAGGGCCCACCCTTGCAGTACGTGGACTGGTCGAGCACCCAGCAGTGTGCCTCCACGGCATGCAGCGGCATCGTCTCGTACACCGGCACGCGGAACAGCTCGTTGGGGAAGAAGCGACGCGACGGCGTGTGGTGCGTCTGCTCCGGGCGCAGGTAGTGGTAGCCGTAGGCAAAGCGCTCTCCGCTGCTCGCGCAGTCACAGAGGCAGAGACACGCATATACATAGACACGCATATACATAGACACGCATATACGTAGACACGCATATACGTAGACATGCATATACATACACACGCATATACATAGACATGCATATACATAGACACGCATATACATAGACACGCATATACATATACGCGTATATACATAGACGCGCATATACATATACACGCATATACATAGACCCGCATATACATAGGACAAATAACAGCGCAGCCCCCGTATAGCCTTTAACAGACTAGTGGAGCAAGCGCTGTTAGCGAGCACCTGTTAAGGTCAGCATGGCATACGAGACAGTGGGTGGCCAGCACCAAGCCCGACCGCCTATGCCTCCCCAGTGGCGATGTTTAAATATCGCACCAGGTACTCATTTGAGGCTGAGTCGACCTAGAGGAGGCCCAGCATCGGTCCAGATGTTCGTCACTGGTCATGGCCGTAGCGGGAATCAAACTCGGGTCGCCGGCTTCACGGCACAGTGTTCTAGCCCGCTAAACTACCACTCCCCATAAACAGACACAGACAGATATATTCACACAACAACAAATACACCCTTAACAGCCTACACAGACTGTTGGGGTGAGTGCTGATGTAGGGTGAGTGAGTCCTAATGAAGTGCCTCCTATTGGACCGACTCCTACAGGACTGGGTCCGTGGCATCATCTTCTTCCGGGACCTATCGTCAACAAATTAAAAACCTCGTTGCAGGAGCTGAATAAAAATTGAAAACTCAACATCTAAAGTGGCTCTATCCAGGAATCATTATTTAAAATACATTTTAAACGAGCAAAAAATTTAATTGAAATGGTATCTGACAATTATAATATTTTTTATGTCTTTATTACAATCTGGATATTCCCTTTGAGATGGAAGGTCTCGTTTTTGCAGGTGTCTGGCATACGACTGTTGCTTCATCGAAAATAAATATATTAATCTGCAATATATTCAATATACATCATATTAAAATTTATAATGACAGGCCGTTTTCTGGCAGAGCGAGAGACCTACGCATTAGGTTGAGAAAACAAACAGCTCCTGAAAAGTGAGATTTTTTTTTTACTTAGAAAAAAATACACCCGAGACTCCGTCACATTCCGTCGCGTTTCACAGGCGTAACCGGTTCGGAGCGTTGAGTGAACTCCACTCGAGGGCACTTAGCGGCGCTTCTCACGGCTGCGCGCCCCGCTCAACCCTGCCGAGTCCCCCCGCATTTTGATAGTTTCAAGCTGGGCAGCATCACGGACAGTAAACGTGTCTAAACAGGCCTCCGCGAGCAGCGTCTCTACACATAAACAAAGCGTGACTTTAGTCGCCCGTCGGGTGCCGAACTATGGCTGCCGATGCATTATCGGAAGCCAACAAAAAGCAACAGGGTGTTAACCGCCTGTGCGTGATCGCAGGATTCGCGCCAAACACCGGGACACCAGCGGAGCGGTCGGTCGCGAGCAAAATGGAACGATCAAGACGTGTTGAATTGTCGCCAGACATCAGAGGTCGCAAACGCGTTTTGATTCCTTACCCGTACCCGTACCCGGCCGCACCAGGGTCGCAAACGGGTACTCGTACCCTACCCGATACCCGGCTACCCGTACCCGGCCGGGTATTGGGTAGGGTACGGGTACCCGATTGCGACCTCTGGGATGAAGCCATGTTGCAGGCGCGGGTGGGTTGATTCTAGGAACTTGAATTGTGAGAAGAGACAAGACGTTGGGAAATGAGTGACAAACGATTACTCACCAGTGACACACGGCCTACCCGTACCCGTACTTGGCCGCACCAGGGTCGCAAACGGGTACCCGTACCCGGCTGGGTACGGGTAGCCGTGTATCGGGTAAGGTACGGGTATCGGGTACCCGATTGCGACCTCTGCCAGACATCCACCGCATGGCCATGCTACTCAATTGGGATAATGCACAGCAATCATCGCCCCCTTCTGGTAGACCAATGCCCCAGGTAACTCTTGCAAACGAGGCTAGCCTGGGTCTCTCGAATTCTAATACTGTTGAACAAAAATAAACTTTGGCCGTCTGAAACCACAGAAAAAGGTTTCTAGCCGCAAAATAAGTAAATGGACTGTAAATGCACATCGACGTTGCAGAATGCCTCGTCGATGGTGCAGACAAAGACGGGTCGGCCTGGATATACCGTAGTCATTTTCGAACGAGTCAGCCGTGTCAAAGGTTAATATGTGGAAGTGGGGCTAATCTAGCGACCCTGACACATTTGGGTTTACTGTAGCCACCCCGACACGTGTGACCACGGTGAAACACAAGACTGCAGCATCTGTGAGGTCTGTCGTCTCCTCGGAGCAGCCGTGCACTTTGGGAGAGCCTCACCACACATCCGATACTGGACTGTGGTGGCAGGACATAGGAAGTGCGGTCTATTGGCTTTCCAGACCGATGTTTACATGGAGTGATGTTTCTAATAACATGTGATCGCACAGCGGCATTTGTTTAACAAGGGTGACTCTGCTGACGAGAGAGAATGTCAAAACCTGTCCAGAGTTTGCTTGCTTAAGCAATACAAATATATACTCATATATATACTAAAGTATATTTGTATGTGGAGGCAGAGAAGGGAGCTCGGCTTGTGTATGTTTCAAGCAGAGATCAGCAATGCCCTTTGCATCACGTGAGACATCCGCAGCCTCATGCAGGGCTGCACCTTTACCGCCCTTACCTCAACTATAATGTTTGTGCGGTGATGCAAATGTCACCTGTCGTCCTTCCACAGCTTCTCGATGCGCATGATGTCCAGGGATTTGGGGTCGGAGGGCGACTGCCCGGCACGGCGAGGGGGGAACCGGCGAGGAGGGAGCTCCCGGGACGCATACGTGCAGTCGCCTACAGCACAGACACACGGGGAGATGTCACAGCACATAGAGATGTCACAGCATACAGAGACACACATAGATGTCACATGTGCCGACCTTTAAAGGTGCAAACAGCACCTTCCCCAACAGTCTGTTAAGGCTATAACGGGGGATTCATATTCTTGGTTCTTTTGGTAAAGTCACGTAGAAGGGAAATAATAAAATAATAAAAATAAAACAATAAAATTCTCATGACGTTTCGAATCCCTGCAGTCATGAAAGCTTTAAATCGAAATTTATACAGGGAATCTTTGTCTTTGTATGTGCATGTGTGTGTGTGTGCACATCTGTCTGTTAACTTGACCTTACGTGGCCGGAACGTCTACTCTAAAAAAAACATATGTGCAGCTCCTAGTAAAGTAGCACCGGTAGAGTCATGATCATCACATCGCTGTGATTACAGCTTATCAAATAAAACATTCATATGGCCGTCGAGCAACGGACGTTATCTCTCTTGTGTCACGGTGCATGGGAACAGTGCTGTCCCTTACTGTGTGGGCCTGGGTCACTTGAAGGGATGTCAGAGGTCGCTCTGTCGGTATTTTCTTAGACGGGTCATTCTTTAACAGGAAGGGATCACAATGCTCTGTGAGAGATCCGATGGGATACTTCGGTCTCGTGAAATGACGCCGATATGACAATTTTGCTAAAAAAACTTGGGGGAAATATACTTTCCTTTGAATGCCGATAACGAGCGATGTGGATGGAGAACCTGGCGGTCGACCGCAGTGGCGGGTTGCATCCGCACTCACCCACTTTGATGAGCAGCTCGTCGAGCTCCAGACACATGAAGTAAGTTCTGCCTGGCTCAGCGAACGGGGGCTGAGGAACCATGGGCACCTCCTGCACGAAGACATTGGCGGGACAACGATGAGGAGTCATCGTTGCGTAAAAACACGAAGACGCAAAGGTTGACCATAGTTGTGGCATTTGCATCGACGCGGTTTTGCAGACCCCTGGAGTTCGTCCTGAGTCAGTGTGTGATAGATGCTGCCATGGTGTAAGGTTTACCGCAACAACTCGACGTGTGATACAGAAGTTACTAGTTTGAATAGATCTCCCCGTGCGGCAGTTGAGACATGCAAGTTTCTTAAATCTCTCCCAACTCAAGGACCCACAGCCTCAACGCTGACCCACAACTACGACCCTCACCCACAACCACGATGCTCACCCACAACCAGCACGCTCACCCACAGCCACCACGCTCACCCACAACCACGACGCTCACCCACAACCACCACGCTCACCCACAACCACCATGCTCACCCACAGCCACCACGCTCACCCACAACCAGCACGCTCACCCACAACCACGACGCTCACCCACAACCACCACGCTCACCCACAGCCACCACGCTCACCCACAGCCACCACGCTCACCCACAACCACGACGCTCACCCACAACCACCACGCTCACCCACAACGACCACGCTCACCCACAACCACGATGCTTACCCACAACCACCACGCTCACCCACAACCACCACGCTCACCCACAACCACGACGCTCACCCACAACCACGACGCTCACCCACAGCCACCACGCTCACCCACAACCACCACGCTCACCCACAACCACCACGCTCACCCACAACCACCACGCTCACCCACAACCACCACGCTCACCCACAACCACGACCCTCACCCACAACCACGACGCTCACCCACAACCACGACGCTCACCCACAACCACCACGCTCACCCAAAACCACCACGCTCACCCACAAACACCACGCTCACCCACAACCACGACGCTCACCCACAACCACGACCCTCACCCACAACCACGACGCTCACCCACAACCACGACGCTCACCCACAACCACCACGCTCACCCACAACCACGAAGTTCACCCACAACCACGACGCTCACCCACAGCCACGATGGGGGATTTTGGCCTCCATCTCCGCATGTGGTTGGGGGTCTTACCCTGTCGATGGATCGAGGATCACACTCCTCGCACAGATACCGCTCCACGTCCCCAGCCACGCGCATGCAGTCGCTGTGCTGCCATACCTGGGGGCGGTGACGGCAGGGTGGCATGGTACACGCACATGCGTACATACACACGCACACACGCGCACACACACACGCACACATGCGCACACACACACGCACACATGCGCACACACACGCATGCACACACGCACGCACATACAAACGCACACACACGCACTCGTGACTACGAAATGCAAATGTTCGAGCGCATCTTCGAAGTGTCAAAGGCTCGTTGGCAGGAGAGACCCAAGTGCCATGGGTTGACTGAGATGACTGGCAGATGGATCAAATGTCCTCCCGACTGGGCCAATTTTCTTCATTTTAGCTGCCCGGCGCTCCACTCGTTGTTGTGAGAATCGCTCCTCGTGTGCCGGCACGGCACACGAGGTGGTGGGTGGCCAACACCACGCCCGGCCGCCTTTGTTTCCCCAGTGATGATGTTTACACCAGGTATTAATTTTAGGCTGAGTCTACCTCGCACCAGTTCAGATAATTGTCAATGACGTTGGCCGTGAGCGGGAATCGAAATCGGGTCGCCAGGTACGAAGCACAACGCGCTAACCGCTACACTACCGCTCCCCACACTAGCATACAAACACGGGAACGCACGCGCGCACACCAAGACACGAACGCACGCAAGGCACGCACCTCGCACTTCTCGCACTGGATCATGAGCCCCTCCTCGCGGAAGATGCCGCAGATGCAGCGGATGATGTCGTCCTCCGTTCCCCGCGTGGCGCGTCGGCTCCGCGCCGCCCGTCGCTCCTTGAGCCGCGTCGACCCCCCTCCCACCAACGCGTTCGCAGCGGCCGCCGCGGCCGCCGCGGCAGCCGCCGCCGCCTCCGCCGCCGTCGTCACCGCCGCCAGCTGCGGCGCCGCCGCTGCGGATGCGTCGCCCCCCCGGGGAGCCGGGTCCGAGCTCGTCTTGTGGGCCGCCCACTGCCCGAACGCCCGGCGCCGGTTCCTCAGCAGGAACACGCGGTTGCTCTGCAGGAAGATCCTGTGGCACGGCGGCGAGGGGGGGGGGGGGTACCTCGTTTGAATGTTTTATTCTTTAAAAAGAAAATGTATAATAAATTTTCGCAAGCACTCTTGCGAATTACGTCACGCGGGGGGGGGGGGGGTCTTTAACGTCCGCAACACCCGCAGCGATCATCCGGGTTGGCTGCTGGATTTGAACATGTGCTCCCCCCGCTGGGCCATTCCACCACCCACCAAATTGGTCATTCCATTTTTTTATTATAAAAGAATTACGTCAATGCAGCAGCTGAAAGCCAGTGCTTTAAATTCAACAAGTACATATGCACTGCTTAATTCCTGCACCAGGCTGCAGGACGACGAAAGTACTGCCATGACAGATTGCAATTAGTGGTGTTTCTAGCACCGACGTTTGTAAAAAAAGAAAATGTTATTTCCCACATGTATCACCACCACCCTCGCCAATCCCATTATAGAACTTCATCTCAGATACACAGCTATAACCAGATCTCATCAATTATGTATTAATAGTTTTTCGTAATTGCACACATTAATCATCCCGCCTCAGACCTTAGGTAGTATTAGGCCTAGCCTCTGGTCACACACAACCTTTTTTGTGTGTGTTTAGTTTGTTGTCCTTCCCCCGAAACCTCTGATTAGCGCGGCTGGCTAAGTGCGGTGCGAAAGAAGTTCAACATATATACAGGCGCCCCCCGCACCCACGACCTAATTGATTCCTGGACGACAAGTCGCAAGTCGAGCCGTTATAAGTCGAACCCCTTCCTGGAAACCCGTTACGTACCATAAAAATAACAAATTTTACCTCGAAAATAAATGAAAAATAACCCGAACAAACATTAATTATAACTTTATAACTTTTCCAAACATTTATTAAATGAAAAAAAACACCTTCTTGGTTCTTTCGGTAAAGTCATGTAGAAGGGAAATAATAAAATAATAAAAATAAAATTATTCTCACGACGTTTCGGCCACAACGCAAGCAGCCGTCCTGAGGTGAAGACCAGGTCTGTCGGGGAGACAGCGTCTGAATGAAATTATATTTTATTATATTTTATTATGTTTTATTTTTATTATTTTACTACTTCCCTTCTACGTGACTTGACCGAAAGAACCAAGAAGATGAATCCCTGCAGTCACGAAAGCTTCAAATCGAAATTTAAAAAAACACTTACATTGGAAAATCCTTAAGTACTTTTCTGCGTGTGCATCACATTTCCTCTTCTCAGACGTAGCGAAAGGCGAACATTTTTCGAAATTTACGAAAAAGTGAAGAGCACTGCGAAAAAGACACGTCCGCTCTTGGCGCAGCTACAGACTGTCTGTGCGTGACAAACGCAGCAGACTCATCGCCTGATGGCGCCGAGTCTGCACATGAAAATGTGCGGATTCGTCACCAATCGACTCGGCGTCGGTAAGAGTCGTCAAGGGGGTCGAGTTTTGGTCGTGACTGTGGGGGTCTTACTATAAGAGAGGTCGTTAAAGCGGAGGGTCGAAAGTCAGACCGTCATAAGTCGGGGGGTACGCACATACAACCCTGGCACTCACCTCTCCTTCTCGGTGAGAGGCTTGAGCCGGAAGGAGCAGGCGATGGGTTTGGGTCTCCGTTGCGGCCTCTGTTTCCGAAGTCTCTCTTCAGGACTAGGCCTGATCTGACATCAGAGGGAATGGCATTCCCATTCAATCCACAGTCCTCCATCTATCCAGGGCAGTAGCACTACGAGCCTCGTCGTTACACTGAAATTATATTTTGTCGTTCGTATCCCTGCTTTTAATCCATTACTTTAAACAAATATTCATATTTACTCACCACCCCCCCCCACAGTTGTATTACGATTGAGTCATGTTATGAGATGAAGTGTCCATTTGGAACTCTCACATAGCAATACATCACCCCATTTTAGAGACGGGCCCCGCAGAAGCTGATATTACAGAACTGCCTCAAATACCTTCTGACGACATCTGATGCTTGCATGGCAGCCAGTCTGTCAAACTTGAATTATTTTTTAAAATTCTTAAAACTGAATTTTTTGCCTGTTAAATGAAAACAAATATTATGCGAAGGGTTTTTGTGCAGCCATTGGTAACCCGCAACACCCATCAATTTGCTACACTTGAGAACCCAGTTTACTCACAAGTAGCCAATGCCTCAATCTGAACACAGGATGTCAGCGGTGCTGGCCCTGTGACCCTGAAACAAAAGTTATGAACCTTCCTGCGATAAAGCGGCCGTTGTAAAACAAATCTGAAGCCCAGTAGAGGTGACCGCGTGACTCAGCGGTCAGAGCTTTGAGCTGGCACTGCTGAGATTCTGGCTTCAAACCCAGAGGCAGCCAGCTGTGATTAAATTACGTTCTCAAGCGTAGTGAGTTGATGCTCTCTGCACTGGTCACCAATGACTGCACACACAAAAAAATAACTGTACTAAATTTTCCCCTCCACTTCATTTGGCTAAATTCCAGATATTATTAATTAAAATATTAATGTTGACTATTAAGTGGCGAATATAGCTCCTTGGCCAGGCAGATGGGAAAATGCTGCCTTCTAGTCCGTGGACCTGAGGTCACGGGAAAGGATGTCAGAAATAGTTGTGATACCCGTTTAATAATGATAAATATGCGATTTGTAACGCACACAATATTTCACGGACGTAAATGACCGTGACTCGCGGAGCCAATTTCAGTGTCACTCAAAAGGCGGGCGAAAGAGCTGGGGGCCTTTAAGTGTCTATTAAGTCGGTGTGGATTTAACGCTGCTACTGGCAACGTGCAGTAGCAGTGGAACGACGATTATGGCCACATTCTAGATGGTGGGGGTTGCGACGGAGAAACAATGCCCGCCAGTGCCCATGTTCATCATGGTCCTTGGTGTAGGGAAGAGGAGGTTGCGAGTCGTTCTGCTGCGGGGAGTTCTAAATGGATACTTCATCTTAAAATTGGGGAAAAGGATAAAAAGGAATCAAATAAGAAAACCTTCAGATCGACACGATGGCGAGTTTTGCGCATGGGGTACCTGAGTTTTAAGGGGTCTTGGCGGCTTTCGCTTCAGTGCTCTCTGATTCCCCTCCAGACTTCCTGGCGCATTGCTGGTGCTGCCCTCTGCTGATGCATTCTGGGAACTCCCAGAGGCCTCCGCAGTATCTCCACATTTGTCATCCAGATCGTCGTGGGAGCCAGGGCTCATTCTACAATGACAGGAGACAGAGCAGCAGGAAGAATGTGTTTACTGTGTTTTATCATACGCTGATATTAAAATCTTTAATATCATATTTTACACGCAAAAACTCACAAGCACAATACTACTGCTTAAGTAGTATTGTGTTGTTTTTCAGGTTGTGTCGAGTGTTGTTTGGAGCGATGTCCAACGTTTTACTCCATGCTCTGGCAGCTTCTGCATTATCCTTTCGAGATTCATAAGTACCGAGAAGTCAAAATTGTCCATTGGACGACCCATGCAATTTTATGAGGGTCTGCGTGTTGTCTTGATGTGGTCTGGGACTGTTTTTGTTGTTGTTTTGCTGCCTTGCCCAAGCTTGCATTTAGCATTTTAAAAAATCGACAGGAATTTATGTACTTATGCAATTTGTACTTATATAGTTTATATATTTTCATTTATTTACTTCAGTGACTTGCTTACCTTTTCTGTCTTTTTGCACTATCGTTTTCTGTACTGTCTGTTGTGATAACTTGCTGACCCACCCCAACTGGACATCGATGAAACAAAGCTTCAATGGCCTACTCTTTTGTAATGAAGTGACGGGATCTTTAACGTCCAATGGTTAATACACCTGCAGTATTACCCAAGGCGGCCTGCCAGATTCGAACTGCGAAATACTGAAATAAAGGCGTGCACGCGCTAGCGCTGTGCCATTTTAGAACCCTGATATACAATATATATGCCACAACGATGCAATTATATACACTACATGACAATGACATATTCAGATAATTGATTCAGTCACTACATATTACCAATAGTCTTAGCCAGGTGATACCACGGCAGATGGTTCGGCTCGCAATCGGAAGGTTGCTACTTCAACTGTTACACAGCGCGAGCGTATTCTCTATGACGTGGCGGTGCTCCACATATTTACGCGCGTGTGATGGCGGTGGTAATGTTCAAGCGCTCTGCCCTGGCTGTCCTCTTCCTGTTCTTGGCTCGGCGTAATTGTACGCACTGTGTACATCGCACAAGCGTGCTTTTAACGCATGCGCGAGATGTTTATATGTGCGTCACTGCACGTTTGCTAAGTGCGTGTCAATCGACAACGTGGACACCGTTGCAAATTAGATGCTCCATCTCAAGGGATTATCCAGATGATTAATACGTAAATAAACTTGCTACTCTTCCAACAACGGTGCAAGTTTCTTAAATCCTCCTTAGCCTCTCTCTCCACCCACCAGTAATAATGGGTAACTCCACAGTTAGTCGATCGGTAGATCGAATGAGGGTGGGGTAAAGTGTGCATATTCCCACCTCTTCCGAGACGCCAGCGTGGAAAGATCGACCAATACGCCCTCTCGAGCGCCTCTCTAGAGTTCCCTCTGGTGGAGGCCCTTTCCGCTAGCAGTGGCGCGAGCGAGCAATTGCAGCACCGCCCCTTTACCTTTACCTGCGGCTCTGGCTGTGTGAGTGCTGTGGTTGTGAACGTTGTTGTGTGGGCAGCAGTGGGGCCGGGGTCGTTCATGATCGCAACCTGCCGTGGGCACCGCCGGCCGACTTCCTCTTCCCCCTCCGGCCCCTCCGCCCCGAGCTGCGCGAGCTGCGGCCCCCACCGGGGTACCCCCTCCTGCGCCCCCCTTCCCCGCCCCCTCCGCCGGGGCTCCCCCCGGTGCCCCCGCCGACGCCGCCGCCGGCCCCGCCGCCCGCGCTGCCGCAGCCGCCCCCGCCGCCGGCCTCCCCGGCGCCACTGCTCGACCGGCTCTCCGGTTTCCCTCCGCCGCCGCCGCCGCCTCCGCCGCCTCCGCCGCCGCCGCCTCCTCCTCCGCCGCCGCCACCGTCTCCGCCGCTGCTAGTCTTCTCCGCCCCGCTCTCCTCGTCCACGGCTCCACGGCCGCCGTCGCCGCCCTCTTCCCGGCGCACCTCCACGTGGCTCCTCCGTTTGGGCGCCTCCCTCCCCAAACCGACGAGCGGCCGCCTGGACGAAGCTTCGGGTTGCTCGGCGCAACCGCCGCCGCCACCGCCGCAGCCGGTGCCGCCCCCCACGACCGTTTCGTCGCGCGGTTCCGCCCTACTGCTCCGCCTGCTCCTCGATCGCTCGCTTCTTCCGCCGCCGCCGCCGACTCTGTCGGGTTCGCGCGACGCGTCCTCCTCGCATTCTCCCCCTGCGGCGGCGTCGGCGGCGTTTTTGTCGGGCATCGCCTCGGAGTCGGCGCTCGCCGGCGTGGGCCCGGCGGCGCCGGAGCGGCGCTGGGCGCGCCGTCGGCTCCGTCTCCGGGGGGACGGGGCCTCGCGGTGACGACGTCGGCTCCGGGCGGTTCTGCCACGCCAGCCCCGAGAGCCGTGGCGGCTGTTCGCCCTGGCGGAGGTCGCGCGGTCCGAGCCTTGAGAGCAATGACACGACGCAAATCAGCAACGTTCATCGGCTTCATCGTCGTCATCGTTATGAGGTGACACGGTGTTGAGATGTTAACTACCTCGCCTGGTATACAGGAGGTCGTGAGTTCAATCCCGACCCTGATGCCTGCTGTATATTTGGAGTTTGCGGTGTCTCTCTCCCCATGATCGTGTGGATTTTTCTCTGGGTCCTCAAGTTTTTCCCTCTGCATTTAGAATCAACGTGCATTTAGAATATTCACCTGCTATAGATTTCCACCTAATAAGCCACTTTGTTGAGCTATCATTTGTGGTAGCCAGGTTACTTCCGAAAAAAACACGAGAGAGCTTAATGGGCCTTGCCTGGTAAAATAAAAAAATTGTTTAGTTTCTATTTTTATGATCCATATCCACATTATCAGCAACCTTAACTCATAATCGTCACCATCATTATCTGTATAAGCATCAACAGAAATAATCATCATAATAATTTAACATCACCATCATTATCATACTTTACCATCACCATCATTATCTGTATAAGCATCAACAGTAATAATCATCATAATAATTTAACATCACCATCATTATCATAATTTACCATCACCATCATTAGCTGTATAAGCATCAGCAGAATAATGATCATCACCATCATGATGATGACCATTGTCATGGAACCAAAATGTGTAGTGTTTTGTCACAAACCATCATTATCTCTTCTCTACATTTAGTGGCCATGAGGCAGTGTTGCGATTCGCAACACAGGGGCCACATTCTCTTTTAGGCCACCACTGTTGTATTGCACCACACAGGGGTACTTATTTATAGACACCGGTGACACAATCGGCTGAGACAACCTGAGATTGGGAATTTCACTCCACCGAGAGACGAGGCCTACGTCCACAGCACTGCCAACGCTTGGCTACACCAGGCACGACATCAACAGTTCATCACGGCCAGTGCCCAGCGAGACAACCACACCACGGCATCACGGCCTTCCTTCCGCTGCACCGTCAACACTCGACCTTTCGGATTTGCTCGAAGTCTCACCACCACCGATTAGCACGGTTGCCTACGTACGGTGCGAACAAAGTTATAAGTTCACCACCGCCATCACCACCATCGTCATTTGGCTTCAAGTCTTCCACCTTGGTCACCGACTTCTGATGCCACTTCAATGCCTGTCTACTCCACCCTGCAAACGTATCCCACACATCGCAAGCTTCTATTCCTGATTGCAGCTCCAATGGTATTCTGTAACATTCTGTTCCCAACTTCCAAGATGCTTACCCTTCCCCCCCCCGCCCCCCGCGAGTAAATTCCAAACATTCTGTGCACGCACATACGCACTCCAAGGAGTAATATCGCCACGCATTTAGTGAGACGGTAACAATATGGCATCCACACATACAAGGAGGAAACTCGCTTTGAAAATGGGCAAAACCAGCTTATTTTTCATGTCATTAAATGAGAAATCGAGGGGTAGCTCTGTGATATCCGTTTCCGGAGGTCATTTGATCTCTAACGCAGGGGCTTTAACAGCTACGCAAATTCCGAATAAATACTCCATTCCTTTCCGTGACACCGAAAGAGCGCTTGGGATAAAGTTGGGCCACGATAGAAAAAATTAAAAGTTACAAATAAAATAAAAAATATTATTTAATCATGGATGCTGCATTACGGACAATATTTATAACGCTGCAACACACAGGACCAATACACAGCTTCCAAAATAGCGTGCACAACACCCACACTACACAGAGGCACAATGCCTCGTCTATAGATCAAGCCCGCCATCCCTATCTGTATATTTTCGCCGCGATAACATCAACAAGGCCCATGAATAATTGAGCGGCGTCTTAATTCTAACTGCTTCTCGGTGACATTTAGCAGCTGAAATGGCAGCCGCGTGCTACATTTAGCTCCTTGTTGTGACTGTGCGCTCCGCTTCCCGGCGATTTTCAAAGACTCTGGGCGCAGACGCTATCGACGGGGCGACGGCTGAAGAACACACAATTGGAAGTCGCAAGATTAAAAAGCGAAGCACGACCCTTGCGGCTTTGCGAGCCGTGCAAACATCTCGCCAGCGAGGTCCCCCGCAAGCGTCCGCGCCAAGGCTTACCGCGCAATTCTCCCGCGATGCTACGCGGCTTGCCCGAACATCTCTCGCCGTCAGTGGCAATTGGCCCTTGGGGGTCCCATTTATCTGGCTCTACGGGAAGGGTTCTTGGATAATTACACGATCGGCTAAGGGTAAGCTCAAAGTACCGTGTTGTCGTACTGTACTCACACGCTTCCCTGCATCTACACTCCGCCACCAACCCACGGTGACCGGTGTGGTGGAGTATCATCAAATAACAGTCACGACCCGAATGCCGTGGAAAGAGGCACTCATCCAGCAGTGGATTGACAAAGCGGCCGTTCGTGTACATATACAATGGCCAGTGTAATGTACCGTGTAAGAAGACAACCCTGGAGGATAACATCACTTCCGAGGTCGCTTTTAACGGCACTGTCACCCACCACTCGATGGAAAAAATAAATAAGCGACGTCTCCTTCACATATCCGTCTCTCCGGATAAAAGGGGAAATCTTGCAAAACCCATCAGCCGCAGGACCCTCTGGGAGTGTATAACTTCAGCAGCATTGATTAAAGGGCACGCAAACTCCGGAATGGTTTTGACAGTTTCTCATCAGCAGTGTCAGGCTTCCTTGAAACAATGCTGAAGGCACTGCCGATCTTAATGGCGAAGATGGTCTCTTTACAATGTATGTCCGCTAGATGGCACACTTTCATGTCACATGCCCAAATCGAGCCAGGGGTGATGGTGCCCATCTTCATTGGCAGGACCATGCCAGTGGTGCCAATTCCACATTCATATGACAGATATCGGTCTTCCGTTAGGATAACCCCACAGGTTTACTTCCAAATCCGTAGGAATGTGCACGACCTGTTATGAAATATGGAAGCTTGGCGAGAAGTATGCTTGCCATTATGCTGAAGAGACAAGAAGGAGGAACACACGGATTATTGAACATCGAAGTGAGAGATTTAATTCAAACTGTTAAGAAATGTCAGCAGGTTTGGGCAGGAAAATCAGTCACAGTGATGAGGGCGATGGTGAAGAATAATGACAGAGTTGCCGCCGTGGAATGGAATGCGTCCGAGCGGACGTCGACAGGGGAGAAGGAGCGATGAAACCATCTCGTGCTGACTGGTAGATAGTTACATCGCAAACATGAGAGAGGGTGATCGCTTGGGGAGGCCTTCATCCAGCAGTGGATAGATGATGGGCTGATGATCATGATGATGATGTCAGGATGAGTCAACCCCTGACGGCCATTGGGGAGTCACGGTCGTGCGACTGGCGAGTCGTGCGCTGTGCCACAGCGCTAGCCAGCCAAATCATTACACCAAGTCAGTTCGGTTGTCGCCCGCCACCTCCGTTGGATTCCGTGCCATGGCTAACCTCAGTCTCAAGTCACATCTGACATGGTCCTGCGACCAAATGCCTTTAAGAATCTCCCTTTACTAACCCACACCGACCGGTACGGTCAAACAACCTCCGATGAACGACACGGCTTGGGGAAGGGCCTTCACCTAGCGGCGGGTCGAGAAAATTCTGCTAATTATATTCCGTGATGTAATAAATTTGCCATTCAAAATATCTGCAGCCAGCAGTGCACCACCCTGATGTCATGTAACTATGTCTGTAGTCACTTTGAAAGACTGCTTTATCCTCACTCGGGGCACACTCTCTATATATGTGCCCTGCAAAGAGTGTGGGTATGTTAAAGCAACCGCTGTTTAACATTCCCATAGTTAAAATGAGTCAAAATAAATTCATAAACAAAAGATTATACGTGTTTTGTGCAGTCATTGTGACCGGGCTGGGAGCATTAACTGGCTACACCCATGTGACCGGTTTAATCACGGGGGAGCGCTGAGAACCCAACCCAGGTTCTTAGCGGTGATTACCTACACCATGCAGCCACCTCCAGCAGATGGACGCTTTAAAATGCCACGCTCAAAAATACCACTCGAGAGTTCACGGCCAAAACAGTTGGACTGGCAAATCCGTTCCCATTGCGAGACAGGAAAAATGGGAGATGACGAGCGGTTTGCAATGTCAGAAAGCTACGAGTCCGAATCCCCATTGGGGGATTGGTCTCATCCTATCATAATCCCATTGGGAAGGGGGGGGGGGTCGATAAAGTGAACACCATTTCGCGGGGAACAGTGGTTGCCCTGTGGCTAGACTTGCCCCCACCATAGCAATGAGGAACTCACACTCCTGGCTCAGGGCTCTAAACAGCAGATAGGCACCACCTCAATGTTCATTTGGGCGAGAAATCGCGTTGGCTCTTTTGAGTCTTGGCGAAAGGCACGTCTCCCCTACACATGCCAGGCAGGTTGCCCTTTTCCAACCGTTTGTACTGTACTCAAGTGCCCATGCTTACGAACTTTAATCTGAGACTTTAATCCTCTGGGCATTTCATCGCGAATCCTTCGAATGATCCCAACCAAGGGCCAGAATGCCAGAGCGAGAGAGAAGGGCCCATGTCCAGGCCAGCTGGCACGCACGCGAGAAAATCGATGGGTGGCCAAGACAGCCACAGGTCCAGCCGCTGCAACTCTCCCAAGCCTAATGGGATCAGCGCAGGCATTTGTTTGAACAATCCCATGGGAAGAATTTACATTGTTGGTCTATTATGAGAAACACGCTAACAGGCAAATGCGTTAGTCACTGAACAGCGAACAGCCTTTGGCGGTGAGTGTGTTTGACCGAGAGGGTAAGGGGATATAGCAGGTGGGTCTCTAAGCTTGTTTTGTTTCGTTCTTAACCGAAGAGAACGTCAGCTGTTGGGAGGTCCTTGTAGCTCAACATAACCACTCGTCACAAAGAAGTACGATACGGTAACGCGGAATGGACCACTTTGCAAACAAGCGGTACGTTCCACTAAGGTAATGTTACGAAAGAGACGGGGCTCCGTCAATATATCGACC